ATTCAGTAAATATTATTTTTCGACATAAGCCAATGTTATGAATTTAGTATAGACGTAAAAAGACTAAATGACGAACTTGGCCAAAGGACATAAAATAGTTGCATGTGATGTTTCTCGTGCCTCCATGTTGGCGTTTGTTTTGCCTGGATATATGACAAGAAGAAGTTCTGTTCTATTCAATACATTATTTTCCAACCGCACTCTTCCAACATATAAAAAATAATACAATGAGAGGGTATCATACCGAATCGATTAAACGTAAGTCAATTATTCATACGGTTAAGTTTCTGTTTTTTTACGATCTTTTTTTTTTACTATTCTAGTATTGAAATCTCAATCACCTGTCAAAGTTTTAATCCTGATATGCCCTTTATGAGATAGTGAAGTGACATTTTTGATTATTTTGTCAAAGTGTCTTAGACCCCACGAACCGCAGACAAGCCAGCGATGACAGTTGGAAAAAAAGAAAAATCAAATCTTATTATTCCACTTGTCAAAAACTTTAGACATTGTCTAATCGCTCTGGAAAGTTTATACTTAATGTCAAGATAGAGATGTCACGGAATTGTTTAACTATATGTCAGGATGGTATACTGCCTTACGTTAATTGATAATCTATAAACACGAATATATCTAACGGTGGGGGGGGGGGGGCTCTTAAAACTTAAATCTAGTGTCATTCATTGAAGAAGAATAACGCGTTGTAAAAATTAAATTACGGTAATGTTCCACCCTTACTCAAGGTCACAGTAGTCACACACGCATAATCGTATTTTTACTATGATAAAAAAAATGAACTTCAAATTAATAGATCTACTTGCAAAGTTACAATTTAAATTTTTAAGGTAGAGTTCCCGTTGACTTTGATAGTTGGCATTCAGAACTGTATTCTTGACACGTTTGTTATCTTCTTGTTGAAAAGGTTCTTGGAAGAGAAAGGGTGCACTATCATGTTCTAAAGAGACCGTGAAAGGAAATAGAGCTTCAATGCATTATATTCTATGTTACATTTCGTGATGATATTTCCTACAAATGTGATTTGAACGTTCCTAATATTAGAAAGATACGAATGTGTAGAAAAAATGGTGGTATTCTTCCCACAATGCGATATGCGATCTTAATCTATTAAACATTAAAGCCATATATAGCGAAAAACTACAAGTCTACAAAATGTCGCAGTAGAAAAAATGTCCTGTTTTTTTCGATTTGGCAGTAGACCTTTTTTTATTTTTTTATATCTTGTTGATATCTCAAGGTTTAATTCTAATCGTATACAAAAATAAGGACATTTTTTCCAATTTTTTTATGTCTTTCGACTTTTTTTTCATAAAAGACGACATTAATGAATCTTTGCTAACGACCACTATCTGTATGAGTAATATTTATACAACAACCCCCTTTTGTACTAATCACCGCAATACAACACCTCATATATAGAAGATAAAGATATATAACCAGCACAATCAATATGGCCTGCAAAAACGCTCAGTACAATATTGTTTCACTTGCAAACAGATTCTGAATTTCGATCGCGATCGCAGCTGCCAGATGTGAGGAATAAATTACAATCTTCATAATTGTCACAGGCTTGATCGCGCGCTCTAAGAGCCATAAAACACGGGAAAATCGATCGGCCGATAACATTGCGAAAATGCCATGGAATGGGCTCGTGTTTTTGTGAGTTTTGTCTCCGCTGAGCGCGCGAGAATCGATGTAACAGGTTCTTTTGTTGGCAATAAATTGTTCGTTATCACAATCCATATTAGAACAAAAGCATCCAAGTTTCTGATAATGAAAATTTTTGACGTCAAAGTCACTGATTAATTGATTCTTTCTTGAAACAGCCAATCACTGGCATTATATACGTCACTTTAATAGATTTTTGTTTCCATTCCATAAAATATAATAAGAAATCTAATTTCATGCTTCATTTCTGTACAAGCTATAATATTTAATGATGCGGGCATTAACACTTCTCCATTTCTTTATTTTCCGGAATGTGAACAAATTTTCAAGACATGAATTTTTTACGAAACAAGAAGCTTCAAAAAACAAGATAATTTTCATTTGTAGTCTAAAAATTTAAATGCAAACAAGCCTATAAAAATTGGTCTGTATAAAAGAAAAGAAGAGGTAAAAACGACCACACCAAAACTGAAGACATAGAATCATGTACTTATTAGAGAAGTTGGTGAAATCAGGGTCTTTTCAAGTTTGTGATAATGCGGAGGTTGTGAGACATGCATGGTTAGCTGTTTCTGTTTGTATCTCTCCGGTTATATTGGCACTATCTAAACCTATGTTCGAGTCAAACCATGAACTCTTTGCATGAATTTAAAGAAATTCGATGGAGAAAGGAAATAGGTTCAAATTTAGTAAACGAACATTATACATTGGGAAAGAGCATCCGGTGGTCCGTATTTACAGGGATAGACTTATATTCAAGTTATTCAAAAATGTTTGTAACATGTTTTATGGAAAGTTCTGATAATTATGTTCTTCCTTGATTCTCGCACGTCGCAGAAAATTAATGGTTTAAATGAATCAATTTGCCCACCGGTTTTATCGACATAATAATCGTCTGTCTGTAACATATGGTACTGTAACTGTGGAACAAGACATTTCCATGTGTCCTTTTATAATCATATTGATTAACACCAGGTGAAATTCTAACAAGAGTTATAGATACGGCATTAAAAACATAATTAGAACGCGCATCTTGCGGAAATGCGCCACCTGCTTAGTTTTTCACCAAAACGGGCGTGCAGTGTTTTCCCGATATTTTACATGTTGTGGAATTGATAGCAGACCATTGAATGATTATAATTCAGTGATAGCAATATGCAGCAAATAATGATTCTTATCAATTAATTCTTTCTCCGCAACCAAATTTATAAACAGAAAGTAGTCCGTTTTCAAAATTCGTGCAATCTGTCACGCGCCTTTCCAAATTAAAGTGTGTTGACAACATTTTGCATTTTCAACCACGACCCCAACTTATCATTTTTTAATTTATGACTTTAACTTTTAACCATTCCAAGAAGATTCAAATATACTGCGTTAAATACTCATTATTTCAAAGGAATATTTTGGAAAATACAAACCAAATACAAATTCTTATGTTCGTATCGCTGCAACATCTCTCAAAAATGGCGCGATGAAGAATTGATTGACCCCCGTGTCCGTCACGCAGTTAAGTCCCAATTATTGATTCAAAGGTCAATTAAACCTAATTGTCAATCATCATGGCCATCTCAGATAACGTCTGGGAGATTCGGTCAACAATTTGTAGCAGACGACAGTATTCAACAGGTGGGATGATAATGAAAGACTGAATTTTTTATTCTCACCTGCTGAAATTTGACAACGGGTTAGGATGAAAGGTCAAAATAAGACAGATGCGACAACAAGTGGCAGAGCAGTTATGTCTCGGGTACCAGTAGAGATGGACACCCGAAACTATTCAATCAATATTTAATCTTTTCCACCATTGAAAATTTGAATACTTAATTGGTCAAAATATAAATTTTTAATCAAACATTTTTTTTTAAAAATACACGAAACCCCTAAATGAAATTGTGACTTAAACCAACAGCAATATTTTAACCTTGTGTGCGTTCAAGTTTGCATTAATCAAATAGCTCTAACAATTCAGGGATAAAATCTTCACAAGTGTTTTCCCTTTCCTACACCATCTGTTTAAAATGTGAGGAATACGGATCCCTTATTGATTAACTTTAAACATTATTGTTGTAAATTTATGAAAATTACATTTATGATTATAATCACTGAATATAACCAATATTGATAACTATCAAGATAATTAATCAACGGTCACGTGTCTATTATCAACTTCAAAGGCAACGTTACACAATGTTATCTCAAATACATAAACTGTACAATTTTGAAAGAGAGAGAGAAAAACGAATCATCATTTAGATATATCTTTAAATAAATATTACCTTATTTGCCAATAATACTCCATTTAAGTTTTTAAATTGAGTATGAAGTTTGTGCAGACTAGCATATGTTCATTGTTATGCATTGTAATGGTTCTACATATTAGAAAATTAACAATTACATTGCTAACTTATCATTTGAAAATTACTCATATATGAGGTCATCAATCGTTAAAGACTTTCTAGGTGAGGGATAGATCCTGTGTGTTTTTGTTGTTGTTTTTTTTGTTTGTTTTTTCTTTTTTTTTATGGTTGTATTTTTTGTTTTTTGGTGTTGCTTTTAATTTTCTTTATTTTTTTTTAGAAAATTTGCTTTTAACAGCAGAGTCTGAGGTAGTATAATAAGAAATTTTTCAGCTCAAACTCAGTACTCAGATATTTGATTGGTAAAAAAATGGCACATAATTTTAATTGATTAATGGAAATCCTAAAATTATAAAGATAACTCTGAAAAATGTTTTATTACCCCAGGCCTGAATAGTATAGGGTCTCACATTGCAGTTCGTGATCGTGTAGCATTCGTAGGAAAGTTTATACAAAACATTTCCTATATATGAAAGCTATCAGGCATAATTAACATGGACAAAATTATCAACATGTAATAATCATATATCTGACACAGTCCAGACACAAGTTAGGCGATAAGTCAGGTATTAAAATGTGTTCGGTAGAGATAATTCTAGCCAGTCAATAATAACAACATTTTATATCAAACCATTGTTTTTAATTAGGCATATGATTTAATAACTTTATGTACAATTTTTATTCATATCGCAGAATAGCCCTAGGGACAATAGAATTCTGTATTTTGACACTTTGTGAGTCAAATGTTTCCTTCATAAATGCTCTGGAATATCTACTTTGAAAAAAAAAACATGGAATAGGGTTGGTTAATTTGAACCTCGTTGAGAAGAAGTGGGGGTCTTCGTAGCCGTGCGAAAGATTATTGAATTCGAATACTATAAACTCTTAGGAAAAAAAGGAAATTTTTGTGTTTTATCAAAGTAAGCTGCTGTGAAAAGTTAACTTATATAAACTGTTTCCTATTTGTCAAATGTCAAAGAAAGAAGGGACATAAATCTGTTATAACTTGAATCATGGCGGACAAATGTTTTGACCTTCCAATATTTACAGTTGACGCTTTTACAGACGAACCATTTTGTGGCAACCCTGCAGCAGTATGCTTGGTTCCTCATGGAAAGGTAAGTGATGTTTATTTATGTTTATTTTCTTCAAGGTATTTATTGTAAACAGTATAGACGTGTGTGTGTATTTTAACGAGAAAAACAGACACGGCACATTACGAGCAATTACTGTTTAAAGGGAGAGAATAAACCATTCGATATCGCTTCTGACATTAGAGTTACGTTTCCTTGTTATAAGAAAAACGAAAAGTAATGATATAGAATCTAATAAAAAAAGAGTAATGAAAATAATATAGCAGATTGCTGATCACGATATTTTGTAACATAATGTTTGAACATATCTTCTGTAAATATTGGTAATAAAATGAAAATGTTTAAGTAAAAGTTATTTTTTCTCTATAATTTGATACTGAAGTAAATATAGACAACCTTAAATTATTTTTTTATAAAAAAAAAACAATAAGATAATGAACGTTCAATCGTCTTCCACACACGTTATACAATGACAGATGACACATAGGCCAACAAAAATGTAATTACAATTTTACATAAAATACAACTTGAAATTCAAAATTTCACCAGTACCATGATTAAATGTTGGATTCTGTTTAAGCCGGTGATAGGGGTCGTGGACGGTAACTTGCACTTACAGTAACGTCCATGGACAGGCTCAATCCACTCAATCAAACCGAGCCTGCAGCATTTTCAATTTTGTCTTGTTTAGCTTTGTTTAAGGTTTCTTTTTTTCTCTCTTTTGAAACAGTTTTCGTTATAATAAGTCGAATAAAACAAAACCATCAAGTTCATATAACTTACACATTTGATCATAATATATAATTAAATACATTTGATACCATTATACAAAACGTTGATAAATATTTTTGAAACACTCAAAAGCAAAGAATAAATTCAACTGATTTATAACGAACATCAGCAACCTTTGTTATTGTTGTTGTTGTTTTTTTTGTTGTTTTTTGTTTGTTTGTTTGTTTGTTAAAGCTTTTGACGAATTGAGATACTGAAATATTTCAAAAAGTCTTTTCTTCACACTATTTATTATTTTTGTCTGTTGTTGTTTTTCCTCTTCAATTTTTATTTAGAATTGTATTTCAATATTTTTAATCGAGATATGTATATACAGATGTAGATTTATTACTGGCAACAATGTTTCGATATATCTGATTACCACAACTGATAGACATGGCTTATTTTATTGTTATTTTAAATGTATTATACCAACTCATTGTTGTATAACGTAAGTAACTATTCTCTTTATATGATTTTGTCTCATACCTATATTTGAGCCGTGTCACGACAAAACCAACATAATGGGTCTGATCCGCGCAGTCTGATCAGGATCCATGCTGTTCGCTTACAAACCCTATAACAAGTAGAGGAACCGATAGCGAACAGCATGGATCCTGATCAGACTGCGCGGATGCGCAGGCTGGTCTGGATCCATGCTGGTCGCAAACCATGTTGGTTTTGTCATGGCGCGGCTCGTTTATTTATATTCTATCATGAAGACATTGGACGAAACACTTCTACAAAAGATAGCTGCTGAGATGAATTTGTCAGAGACGGCTTATATAGAACATCTATCTGAAAACAGCAACTTCTCCACAAGTAAATATTTATACTTTTTATGCCTTAACTTTCTTAATTAATTGTCAAGATATTTTATATACAGTCAAACTTGTGTAAAAACCATCTCTGAATAATGATCATCGGGTAAATAAAGACAATTTTTCAACAACCATTCCAATTTAATGCCATGGTTAGTTGCTGACTATTGGAAGGAAAACAAAATTGTCAATATTTTGAAAATAGTTTCAAGAAATGCTTATTAAATCAGCTTTAGTATGGTCCATGTTTATAATATAAACAAGATATGTTCGTTATATTGATACAAATATTTATTATCTTTATGTCTTACTATTAAATGTTTTCTAATAATGGGTGTCTGTCTTAGTATTGACTTTGTTAGTTTTGACTTTGTTAATTGCAGATTTAAATGATGCACTGAAGAAAATAAATATTGTTTAATGATAGTTTTTGATAAATGAATTGTATCAATGTTCAGTATATGTGTTAAATAATAATAATAATAATAATAATAATAATAATAATAATAATAATAATAAATAATAATGATAATTATGATTATTATATCGTTGTTGTTGTTGTTTGATTTGTATAAAAAATTTTACACAGCTTATTTACAAATGTCTTAAAAAACAACTTTTCTTTTACTAAGGTAGCGAGTTCAAACTCCGGTGGTTCACACCAACAAATGAGGTGCCTTTGTGCGGACATGCTACTTTAGCCTCTGCAGCGGCATTGTTCTTTTGCTCGAGTAAGTTTTTTCTGTGTTCAAAAGTCTTACGTTTTGCTTAGAATCCGCTTTATCAAATTCTCATTTTATTATTTTCACAATTAACTTGTAGAAAAAAATCAAGATTTTCCTAACCAGAAGTACACTTATCCTTGTTTTGCTACTTGTTACGGTATTATAGTAACTTAATAGTAATTTGGTATGATTTGCAAGGGCAAAAATACCTTCTCCTTTTGATTTTCACGTCTAAAAGGAGAGTACAATGTATAATGATTTTTTCGATAAGTATTATGGGATCATTTAATATTCAGTTGTCAAACCTTTGTTGCACGAGGAGCTTGCTGAGTCCAATAGAGGTTTAGCAGCTGTGTAAGAACCTAACAGAATCAGTATTGTATTCAGCAATGCATAATGACCGACAGAAAAAAATCATGTTCGACATTTTTAAAGAATGAAACTATAGATTTCTGAGGCACAGTGTGCTATTAAGCAGTCTTTTAAAACCATTTAGCAATGGTTTCATGAAAAACAAATCGCTCAAAAACAAATACACACACATTTTTTGGAATTATTCTCTTTTTTTTCAAAATTCAAACGAAATTTGTGTTAACTGTAGGGAGCAGAGGTAGCTTTATACACATTAATAAAGACAAAATTTGATGAATATTCGTAAATATCACCCAGCGGTATTCATTCATTGAAGATAACTCAAGCGGCGCTATCACGTTTAGAAGTAAGAGTGGTCCTTTGATTGCTCGTCGTGATGGAGACGGTATAACGTTAGATTTTCCCACCAACCCAGTGCAACCTTACGATAAAAAGGCTGTATTACCTATCATTAAGGTAAGTATATATATATCATTCCAATTTATCATTGGGTGCATCTTTGTCATTAACTTTATTGTGTGCATTGCTCTTGTCTTAGCATCAAAATATCGAAACTACTAATATTGTAGACTAATATAGTTGTTTTAACACCTTATAAAATATAACCAATGAACAGAACCTTGTTTGAACCCTGTTATGTTACAATAGAAATCATTATTGGGATCCAGTTTTATAAATTTAGCCTCGTTTCCATTTCCAGGGTCCAAAAAGTCAAATGCATATACATTGTGTAACTTAATAATTCGTTTTTCATTTTCAGAGTAAAAAACCCATATCAAATGCATATCGTACTCTATATAGTCTTGTTGTCATTCTCAGAGTCCAAAATATTTGTATCAAATGTAAAGTCAAAAAAATTATATCAAATTATTGTACTTAAATCAACAAAGTTCTATAAAATGTTAAAAATGGTGGTGTGAAATAAAGAGGCCATTTAACATTGTTGAATATTTGACCCGTACACAGTTGAAATAACCTATATCAGACTTGGATTGCGCCTCGTCCAATATTGTACATGTACTTATAATCACAAATGTATAATAACTTCATATATAATTGTTAATAAAACTCAAGCTATCAACGTTTATTGTGCCTAATGTTTCATGAGTTACTTTTATTGTGCCTCTTTTCTTCTTTTGGCCACCAGAAAATGAAACTTTTAAAGTGCTAGTACATGCAAGAAACAAATCAGCATTTTGTTAAAGCACGTGGCTTTTCTGTTTCGTTTATTTTCGTCGAGGTGTTAACATTTCTATTTTATTTTAGAATTCTATCGAAAACACGTCCTCGATGCCTCTTTGACAAGGTCATTGACATGGATAAGATATCTCCATTAATTTACAAAAGATGTTTATATGTTTTTGTATATAGATATTAAATAAACTTAATTAATCTGTATGTATGAATGCGCAATTTCATTCATTATAGATATATAAATAAATATTTAAGCTTTCCAATTTAAAAAATGTAAACAAACTAATATGATAATCTACCGTGAAAAAAGGATAGACAATGCACGGTAAATTTATAATCTTTTCCTGACCGCGGTTCCCAAATATTCCACTCCATGCACTGGAATAGTTGGGTATCCGAGAATGATGAAGTTTGGCACGATGACAGGGAGGGTAATACAACCGGGGGTGTAAAGTGCATAAATCATTACATTCTCCACTCTATTACTTTGCTGCATTTTTGGTCGAATTACTCTCGCCATGTTTTGTCTGTCTTATAATGTAAGGGAAGTTAATGAAACATGATATAATTATTGATAGATTGGCCTGATAGGACGAACAAGGCGCTGCAACCATTTCTTTATCTTCGATTATCATCACCCAGGATACTCTATTATGCTTGGTCATGTAATTTACGTATAGCATTTGGTATAATTCATTTGTTTGATTATACATCAAATCTCTGGTAGCTGAGATTCTGTGTTAAACCCCTGTATGATTCTAAATCATGAGCAAGGCACCATGTTACTTGTATCATGAAATCTAGATATTTTTATGATGGTACTGACCGTGTAAAACAAGAAATGTTTGCAGACTCGAACTTTGACGGGTGCTTTTTTAGCAGACGTGTACCCACAAGTCAACAAATCATATTCCCGCCATTTATGTCCAACAAACATCATAAGATGGATAAACAATAAAAATTTCAATTTGTCTTGTTCGGTTCATGTTTAGATTAAACTCCATGTGAGTGCTAGGCTACTAAGTCTATATTTGATATGTTCCTGTTCTTTTCCGATCATTGATTCGATTGCATTATAATGCTTAAGGCAGAGCTAAGGTAACCAGCCATGTCTGCAATTTTCGCTTTTTGCTTTGTTTTAATAATTCAATAGTTTCTGCTTTAAGAATGTGTATTGTTCGACTTCCTCTTTTCCCATTGCGCCAATATTTTGGACCAATTCTTAAATTAAATCTACATTTACGTTCACCGATTCTTGTCGGCGTCTTTGTGAATTAAAGAAAACAATACTATCGTCTGCTGCATTGTTGTGATGAAGAACAAAACTTATCTTGTCTGGCAAAAAGTGTTTTATATGTATTGCTGAATAAATCGGCAAGTATTATGGAAAATATCATAACTTGTGACAGAAAATGTCTCCGTGATCATTGGTCGGAAATAAAGGCGACAAGAAGGTCGTCTGCTGACAAATTGAAATAGGAAAACAATGATGTATTGAGTCTATAATCTGTGTTTCCTGGTAACAAAATGCCGAGAAACTCATGGAATCAAAAAAGTAAAGTTTAGTAAATTTTGGGCTTATCTAATTATATCAAATATCTGTCATACATTGCAGGAGATATGTGACCCAGATTTGGTCAGTGATGTACAGTATTCACCGGGAACCAAAAAGCTACTACTACGATTACAAGACAATGTTTCCAGGTTAAAATATCTATATACCTTTATTTTCCTCTAAATTAAGTTTTAATGTAAGGCATGCTGCACAACTTTACATTTCAATTATAGAATAGATCATGAATATACATTTGTCTACAATGTAATGCCATATGACGTGATATAAGTTTTTTCAACATATACATGTATCAGTTCCTTTCAAGCATTGAATCAGCGTATTATACCCAAAAAAAACGAAGTTTTTTTGTTTTTTTTTTTTTTTTTTGTTTGTTTTTTTTGGGGGGGGGGGTTATAGGAGTCACCAGGTGGTCGGTCGGTTGGTCGGTCGGTCGGTCCCAGACGTCCGTTGCATTTTCCTTGTCCGGAGCATAACTTGAAGACTAATGGTTGGAATTCAATACAACTTCATACAATAGTCAAGCACATTGAGAGGAAGTGCAGTGCACAAGAACCATAACTCTATCTTCACTAATTACAGAGTTATTGCCCTTTGTTACTTTTCCTTGTCCGGAGCATAACTTGAAAACTACTGGTTGGAATTCAAAACAACTTCATACAATGGTCAAGCACAATAAGGGAAAGTGCAGTGCACAAGAAACATAACTCTATCTAAAGTAATTTCAGAGTTATTGCCCTTTGTTACTTTTCCTTTGCTTTTTTTGTCCTGACCATAACTTGAAGACTAATGGTTGGAATTCAATATAACTTCATACAATGGCCAAACCCATTGAGAGGAAGTACAGTGCACAAGAACCATAACTCCATCATGACTCATTACTTGTAACTTCCTCATTTCTGAAGCAGTCTTGTGGGGGTATTAATCACATTTAGTGATAGTTCTAGTTTTGAATTAAATAGACATGTATTGAAACCTTATCCGAACGTTTGTTTTAGTACTTCACAAAAATCACAAGTGTCTCTTCTTTTATCTTCAACACATCATGTGGTATTGCAGGAAAATATTTGACGGTATATGCCCAGACCCACGTGCATTACAAGCCACAGACAGCACGGGAACAGTAAAGGGTGTCATAGTAACCGTACAGGGAGGTTTAGGAATGACGGTTAAATCAGATCAATCTTTTGACTTTGTTTCGAGATATTTTGCACCATGGAATGGAATACCAGAGGACCCAGTCACAGGTAACATATGAACATATTTATAATTCAAGTCACCTCGATAAAGTTCTACGTGTATGTACCCGGTAGTTTACGTTAACGTTGATCTAAACATAAATCATTTGATACAAATTAATTGTAACTAAATTTTTTATAACATCATATATAATATTAATGAATACAATGTATTTATCATAGGCTCAGCACATACAGTTTTGGCTGACTACTGGAGAAAACAAGGGAAAAACTGAGTTTTTCTGGTTGAAGTTGTTTAAATTACTTGCGGCCGATTTATCTTAAACACGCTTAATAATGTTAAAACCAATACGGCTTATTGAATACATGTACCTTTCTTAATTGTATTGTACGTTGTTTTTTGTGTTTTTTGCATTGAATTCCACATTTTACCTTAAAAAAAGAGAACAACACTAAATCTATTGCAATGATACGAATTGAAAATATGACTTGTATGTCACCCTTTTGTATTATATATATGTGCCTTTTATCAAACAAGTTACCTAACCATACTACCTAAGGACCATTTTTGTCCACGTTCAAATAATTAGTTTTCAGAATTATTCATTTTCACTTTGTATTAACACGCGAGGCAGAATTTTAAGCTCACAACGAGCGGGAATTCTAAAGGTGAAGTTTCGCGGTTGGTGATCGTGTGAACTAACAGGCAAGAAGCAAGAGTTGTTCTTCAGGGAATTTTCAAGTTGTAATTGCGTTCATTGAGGCTGGGCAACAACTACTTTTTGACCAATCAAATAAAAATTGTATGTTATTATATTGAAGATATGTTAATAAAATACATGTACTATCAATAGTCTGCTCACATATAGATTTATTAATGTTATTTACTAAAAAAAGGTATTCTCAACTCATGAAAAAGAATTACTTGCTTGTTTGTAAAGTGTTTGCATGTCAATTAGGTAGTGGTGTTTGATATTAAATAAACTTAATTCATTTCTGCGTTCTTTTTCAAAAGGCAGTAGAATATGTTACAGTTACCGTTAAAGATTTTCTGGAATCATTTTACATTTCAATTTTATAATTAGTAAAATCTTTTGATAAAAAAATGGATCATTAAATTGTGCATATTTTGTTTCCCACTTATTAGCAAATCTGTTAGCCTGATTATTTCATAATCCACTAATTAGAACACGGCAATTTTTTCCCTTGTCCAAATGAACCTGGAAAATAATGAATAATATCCGGATTTGCATGTTAAGGTATCTTCAACACAACGGAGTCTGTATTAATTAGCAAAAATACCCAATGAAACAGCAAAAACACGTTATAAAATACAATTCAGATACACGGAATGTGCATTAAATTTCCTCGAAAGAATGTTTCGCTATTGATTACGAGGTTAGTACATGCAACGCTAGTGTGTTCATTTGTGGTTACATTATAATGAACTAAGTCCACAGTGAAAGCAAGTTTGTCATACAAAATGAAAGTGTCGAATGGACAATTGTATTGCTTTATTTACTATTGCGATGCAACAATATTTATTTCATTAAATAGGAATTCAATAGGGCTACTGGATTGCGTCATTAACAGTTATGATAAAGGGAAGGGACTATAAATAAATACACTTCTTTAAATAAAAGTGAATTTTTTTAAAACAGCCATTTGGTTTGTTTTATTTAAAATTCCCGGGGTGTTATAAAAGGGCAAAACCTAAAACGTTTTATTCTTTTTTTTTAAACTGAATTAAACCATTAAAATAACTACATTGCCACATTTAGGGCAATGATAAAACAACTAGTATATTTGTTCCATACAACATTTATCATTTCCCTACATGTGGCAATGCAGTTATTCCAATGGTAAATTATTATAATTAATATTTTATGAAACAAATGTAGTTGTAAAGTCATTTTATCATTTTATCATACAACGTGAATTGAATCATAGAACAACTTCATTGCCACATTAAGGTATCATTTACATCCATACAACGTGAATTGAACCATAGAACAACTGCATTGCCACATTTAGGGCAATGATAAAACAACTATATTTGTTCCATACAACATTTATCATTTCCCTACATGTGGCAATGCAGTTATTCCAATGGTAAATTATTATAATTAATATTTTATGAAACAAATGTAGTTGTAAAGTCATTTTATCATTTTATCATACAACGTGAATTGAACCATAGAACAACTTCATTGCCACATTAAGGTATCATTTACATCCATACAACGTGAATTGAACCATAGAACAACTGCATTGCCACATTTAGGTATCATTTACATCCATACAATGTGAATTGAACCATAGAACAACTGCATTGCCACATTAAGGTATCATTTACATCCATACAACCTGAATTGAATCATAGAACAACTGCATTGCCACATTAAGGTATCATTTACATCCATACAACGTGAATTGAACCATAGAACAACTGCATTGCCACATTAAGGTATCATTTACATCCATACAACGTGAATTGAACCATTAGAACAACTGCATTGCCACATTTAGGTATCGTTTACATCCATACAACGTGAATTGAACCATAGAACAACTGCATTGCCACATTAAGGTATCATTTACATCCATACAACGTGAATTGAACCATAGAACAACTGCATTGCCACATCCAGGTATCATTTACATCCATACAACGTGAATTGAACCATAGAACAACTGCATTGCCACATTCAGGTATCATTTACATCCATACAACGTGAATTGAACCATAGAACAACTGCATTGCCACATCCAGGTATCATTTACATCCATACAACGTGAATTGAACCATAGAACAACTGCATTGCCACATTAAGGTATCATTTACATCCATACAATGTGAATTGAACCATAGAACAACTGCATTGCCACATTAAGGTATCGTTTACATCCATATAACGTGAATTGAACCATAGAACAACTGCATTGCCACATTTAGGTATCGTTTACATCCATACAACGTGAATTGAACCATAGAACAACTGCATTGCCACATTAAGGTATCATTTACATCCATACAATGTGAATTGAACCATAGAACAACTGCATTGCCACATTAAGGTATCATTTACATCCATACAACCTGAATTGAATCATAGAACAACTGCATTGCCACATTAAGGTATCATTTACATCCATACAACGTGAATTGAACCATAGAACAACTGCATTGCCACATTTAGGTATCATTTACATCCATACAATGTGAATTGAACCATAGAACAACTGCATTGCCACATTTAGGTATCATTTACATCCATACAACGTAAATTTGACCATAGAACAAGTGCATTGCCACATTTAGGTATAATTTACATCCATACAACGTGAATTGAACCATAGAACAAGTGCATTGCCACATTTAGGGTAATGATAAAACGCAACTTACGTTTCTTATATACATTGGGGGACATGTACTGTATTGTTTCAAATCCAGTTATTATAAAAAGGCGGCTCTACAACTACATTTTTTCATTCACGATGAATTCAACTTTCTAGGCACTGTTTTACCTCATTTACAACTATAACGAGTTTCTGTATTTGTTTCATAGAAAATGAAGGCGTTTCATCAGGGACAACCTTGTTTCGTCGTTTCTTATTATGATAAATCTGGGACCACTCTATATTAAATAAAGGAGAACATTTAATGTCACTGTCTGTATTACTTTATATACAGTTACAATACACCAAAGCATTTATTACATACAAAATGGCACGTTCTTATAACTAAAAGCATTACATGCATGTACTGTAAATAACAAAAAAATAAATAAAAGAAAAGTGAACCGCAAGGACCACAATGTTGACTTCTTGTGAATATGCTAAAAAGAATACAAAAGACTATTTCAGAGTATTGGTTGAATACAATATGAAGATGTCCTACTGGGGCGATAAATGCCTTATTTTGGGCAATTAAAAGTGGGGTTGGGATGGTGGAGGGGCTCTACCAGACTGCGGTGTTTGACTTTAATTCGTGTTTGTTTATATTTATGTATTCTATAGCCACTTATCTTTCCGATAATACGCAACATTTCAAACATTCATTTTAGCTCAAGGTGCATCTGTGGTGGAGTGGCTAAAGTAATTGACTTCAGACCACTTGCCCCTCATCGCTATGAGTTCGAATCCCGCCAGGAATTTGGATGTATTCATGTCAGGAAGCTATCCAGCTAGTTTATTGGGATTTCGTCGGGGGGAGGGTTTACCCCAAGGAAAACCCGAAAATTTAAAAAATTTAAAAATTGTGGAAGGGAAAACAGCGCGGTGACCAATGAAGGGCTCGAACCCATCATCCTTGGGATAAGAGGTAGACGACACCTTAATCGCTTGGCCACCGTTCCCTTTAATCTATTTCAAAAATATTTACTTGATTTTTCTGTTTATGTTTACATTTTATTTGTATGACGCCCTTCGTTATCCTGAACCTGAGAAGAAGGCAGTTTATGCCAGCCATCTGTCACTGAAGAGAATTTATATACTAGTAATTATTAAACAAACCTATCCTAAATTACATAAGATATAGATACCGAAATTACAATCCTGTCTTCAAAGTACCATTTGATAAAAACATGTAGTTTGCATTATTTATTGGATTATTGTCTTATATATGTTTTTCGCCACAATACCAGAATCTTTACGTGTACATACTATGCTTTAAAAGCAGAATCAACTTTTAAATGCCCAATGCTTTTGAAGAACTACTTGAGGTTTTCCCTCTCTTACTACCATTTTCAAAGTAAGAACCAAAATCGTTTGCTATCAGTCAAGCATGTGTGTAATCATTTCAGATTTTACTATGTAATTAGATTTCAAAATTTACCCAATTTTATAGTTATCAGTAAGAAATAAATCTACCCCTTGGTCTCTTTCATACCTGCGAATAATCATAATGAATAAAATGAACTATAAATTATATTTCGTAATCTTCAGTAAACAATAGGTATGATCTTTAAAGATGAGCTACCTGTGAAGATCGCTTAAAATAAATTGCTTATAAAATAATTTGTTATTCAATGCACGTATTCATTCGACACCCCCGCCCTGTAGCGTCTTTATAGTGTTGTTAACAATGTTATTGCGTTGGCTGTCATTCAACTATATTTTGCGTGTTAAATATCTGAGTTTCACCTTTACATACTTGTAAGTTTTTCATTGGAAATTTTGAAACTGTTTCTCTTTCCGCGAAAAATATAAGTTTTATTCCAACACTGATCTTCAGTCTACCACTTCCGTATCTTTAACGATTCCAAGAACTAATCAAATGCACTATTATCATGACATTATTAATCAAATAAAATTATGACTGACTCATTGCTAATAATGATAATCCCAACATTTAATCACAATATCTGTGGTTAGTTTTACTATGAAATCAGTTTCAAACAAATTCAATGCAGAAAAGAAAGTGGTTGTTGATACTGGTTGTAATTGCCATATTGAAGGAATTGACTCAAGATGAACAGACCAGTACACCTGCTATAAATACAGCCCAAAAGGCATGTCTGTATACCCGTGCAGTGGCCTCCCTAATCATTGTACATCGGTACCATCATTAATCGTTTTCAATGTCAATGTCACTGCGTCTTTGCTCAGAGATTGATAATCATACCACAAATTAGACACATGGTGGTGTAAGCCGATGCCTTCTGCACATATAATAGTCTCTTTCGGTTCCAGCATGTTAAGGGTCAATATTTTTTCTGTTCACCAAAGGAATCATCCGACACATAGAAAAAGTCTTTGACAGTGTGACATTTGCGGCGTTTTGCCTTTTACCTATTTATTCATTGATCATCGTGAAGTCGACATCTATTTTGTTTGTCAAAAGAGTCATCTGTTATAGTGATGCAACTTACATTGTTCTACAATCATTCGCACTAAAACAACTTTAAAAGTATTCTACTTTCTACAGTCAATTATTATCCTATGAAGGTTGTATATACTGCAGACGGCTGAAACACTGGGAATGACATTTTAATTAAAGCATTACCACAAACAAAATAGTACACTGATGTTCATCTTCAAACCTAGAGAAAGAAAACAATAGTGATGTGCTAGGCCCTTAGGTTTTACAAACAATCTTTTCATAGTAACATGAACAGATTCCCATGGTTATCGTGAATTATTCTTAAAAAGGCTATGAATAAAAAGATAACATAATTTTATGTCCGATTCATTAAAAGTAGGTCATCTCTGCAAATCTGTCTTTTTTTCACGATATAAAATTGTCGCGTTTTCTTAATAAATAAATATTAAATCAAATGATATGGTAAGTAATAGTTAGTTTCCTAGTGAACAGCATTAAAGTAAAACTGTCGAAGAATAGTGAGCACAAACATTGTGTAACATAAAAAATGAACACCAGTGGCTGTTAATCCGACATGTTGAATCCCCGTCGGACAAAATTATGTAAGGACATCTATATGGCCTAAAAATGTACCCAAATTATAGATGTTATCCGGAAATGCTGGGATTTCCCTACAGTTATGTACAGCTTCACTGTGAACTACGGTAGACCGTGTTGTTTGTACGGAAAACCGCTCCGGAATATTTCTATTATGACAGAAATTCTCATAGAACCCCATATGTAATTTAAAAATGGGAAATGAACTCATTGGGTTCCAAAAATTAGAAACTAACTAGTGTTGTAGGTAAAGAAACCATATATTTGAATGTAAGTAAGTGGCCCACTTGTTTTCACTGTCGGACTAAAATACAGTTTTGTGAAAACGATTCCCCTAGTTCGGAACAAAATTACATGTTTACAAACGCATCGAAAAACTCATTAAAAACTTCTGAAATAAATAAGTTCAGCCTTACACTATTTAAAGCATCTGAGCACGCATATACATACACGCACAAATATATTAAAACTCTAAATATCTGAATGAATGTTTAAAAATATTCTAAGCTCAAAACCATGATGTGCTGTGAAAAATATAGGCCCTATATATGTATATAATTTTACTCATATGATTATATGCGTTATAACAGAGACATAGATAACAGTTATCTATATGTCTCTGGTTATAATTAAATAACCCCGTCTAGCCTACATATGTACACATATTTTTTTACTGGTTTTGGGTAGATTAGAAAATATTAAATTCATGTAGCTTCAATAAAATAATTTTATGCATTGAACTCGTTGAATAATATAATTATTACATATATGCACATAAATATAGAATTAAAAAAATATCAAATTCCCTAAATATTGTAGGCCTAGATCTACTTTGAGCTATCTACACAGGGTTCTTGATCTACAGTAGTTGCGTAAAATTATTGATTTCATTTGATCGATAACATGGATTATTTTTCATTAAATTGTCATTTTCGTGGTCAAAGAGGTAAAATTATATAAACATAGATCACAAACACACAAGCTTGCAAACATGTATTTTAACCAGGCTTATTTACCTAAATTAACCTATATTTATTGTAACACTTTCGTTTAATTTTTTTCACTGGTTATTTTGTAAATTAAATTTCCAGTATGTCTACATTTCCGAACGAAATTGTAAAAATTTAATAGCTGATGCTGTGACTTCGAGGACACCGATGAAATCGTAGCGTTCAGCTCTGAAGACGGCTATTGATTCCCAGGCGTTGGCAATGTTGCGCAAAAGTATGCGCACGAAATCATTTCGTATGCAAATAAGATGTTGCCAACGCCATCTTACAATCGGATATTCTGACTTTACGAAAATCCATTTATATCTCTCTTACGGCGGGCAATCGCCGGATTTTGACTTTTAATAAGTGATTAATAGACATTGAAGATGGCTTCGCCCGACGGCAAGCTCTCTACGACTGAAAGGGTTGTGAAAAGTAAGTGATTGGTGTTGTTTGTTTATTCGCTACTCCGATGTACGCCATATTGGATGTCGGCCATTAAACTACCTATATATTCCCGTATTTGGCAGGACTAAACAAACGGCTTGATTGCGAACAAAAATGTTTTGGAATTGCTCTTTTGCAAAAGTGGATGCATTTTTGTTTTTAGTCGCAATATCGCCGAATTAAAAGCTTTGTTGCAGTGACAGGTTTCACTTTCGTGACGTTTGACAACAAACCGGAAACGTCAAAAAGTTGCATAAATAATTAATACATTTTTGCGAAATAAATGATCGGACATGAAAAAAGGTTCACATTAACTTCTTAAAAACAGTATTCAGTGTTCAAAATGTAGAAAACAGGGCTCATGTCAACACCTTCGGATATGAAATAGGAATTTTTATTAGTTTGACAGTTGACATTTTTGACGTTTTTGTGACAGATAGATATTGATCTTAAGTCTGTGTTAATAGTTGTAGTACAATAGATACATGTGTAACGATTATCTTTAATTAAAAATCATTACTTACTGGTACTAGAGGGGTTGACATACACATAGATATCCAGTTGATTTGGAATTTTAACTTTTTTGCACATCAGGTACTACATGGAGTGTAGGGTTCTAACCAACAGTCACTTGTAATAGCAGTCCATAACCCAAGGGAATAAAGGGGACCTTTGGAAAGAAAACTGTCTGTTAATACACTGCATTGCATTGAAATTCTGAAAGTTAAACAGGCTGGTGAAAATGCCTGATCGGGCTTGTATGACATAAAAAGTCATATTTCTAGAAAAATAATAAAGATATAAATTTATTTTAAACTTTGTTTGTTTATTGAGCATAATAAATGACATAAACAGAAGAAAAAAAATTGGTTACTGTCACTTTTGTGAGAATTATTTCCCCTTTTTCATATTTATATGACACATAATTTTTGAAGTTCTTTTTGTAAAGTAACCATGTTGACTGAAACTGGCATTACCAACATTTTTCTATGTATTATGACGTTTTCTTATTTATTTTATGATTATTTTGTCCTGGTAGGTTTCTTTATGGCATAGTACTTTAAATACATCTAGAAAGGACATTTTTGAGGTTTGCAAATGAAACTATTGAAAGAGCCTTTATATAAGTAATGTTAAAAGAAGCTTAACAAGGGTGTCTAGCAATCGGCAATATTTCGTATGAGTTTCAGTTCTCACATTTTGAACATTTATAATGATACAAAAAAGTGAACCCAACCAGACAGGCTACCCGCTTGGACTTTTTATTTGACCACCCACATATTTACTTGACTATTGTCAGTTGTGTGGGTTAAGTCGGAGACTGGCTGCTTATTTGTTCTAAAATTGACTGGCCCTTAACATAGTGTTTGGCATTTCTTTAGTTGTGTTATCACTATCTTAAGTTATAAACTTTACAAGTAGCATTTAGGAAAATAAAAAGTGGTCTTTTTGCAAAAACTATCAAACAAACTATCAGAGTAATATAACTAGAACACATTACAGATCTCACTTTTTATCAGATTCAGAACTTTCCCCTTGTGGCTTAGTGGTTGTCTTTAAGGATTGAGGCATCGGAATTGCAGCCACTGGTAAGCCCTGCATGATTGTAAGAGGCGACTAAATTGGTTTGAATAACTAGAGTCCATGCATTCTTTAGTTCCGACAGGAAGAGTGGTTTTGACCCCTGGGTATTACTTAAGTTTATAACACGGGTTAGCCAAAGTCATTTTTCCTGTTTCGGCATCATATGACATCAGAAATTGTGTTTGTGCACCATATAACTAAACAAACAATTTTCTGAACCTAATCTAGGCTTTTTATACACATCAACATCAGTGGTTTATTTTCATGTGTTACATCAAGACTTAAGTTGTACTTACAAGTTACTGGCTTTGGACATGACGCGCATGAAAAATATCTTACACATTGATTTGTTTAATTCCTTACCCTAGGGAAATTGTAAGGGAGGATTTTTGTAGATTTATTTTTTCTACTTTGACTTTATGAAGCTATTCTGATTTGCTTACCGAAAATACAACTCTACAGCAGGGGTGTGGAATTCCTATGTCCAACTTGTCCGACTCGGGCCTTTTTGCCAGCGGACAAGTCGATTTTTAGCTCGACTTTTCTATGAAAAGGGGAGCTATCCTACTCGCCCCGGCGTCGGCGTCGGCGTTAGCGTTGGCGTCACACCTTGGTTAAGTTTTTCGTACCACCCCACTTTATTTCAGAAGTATTACAAGTATGGCTTTGAAACTTACCATACTTGTTCACCATCATAACCTCCATCTACAGACAAGAGTACATAACTCTGTCAAGGTTTTTGACAGAATTATGGCCCTTTTTTGACTTAGAAAGTGTATTGAGCTTGGTTAAGTTTTTTGTACCACCTCACTTTATTTCAAAACCATTGGAGGTATTGCTTTGAAACTGACCATACTTGTTTACCATCACGACCTTCATCAACAGACAAGAGGACATAACTCTGTCAAGGTTTTTGACAGAATTATGCCCCTTTTTGACTTAGAAAATACATTGAATATGGGTAAAATCCACTTATTGCCTTAACCCTTTGAGATATTGCTTTGAAACTTTTAATGCTATTTCACATCATTACCCCCATCTGTACGCAAGAGAAGGTAACTCTGTCAAGGATTTGTTTTAAAAATTAAGGCCTTTTATCGACTTAGAATCTTGGTTAAGTTTTTAGTACCAGTCCACTTTTTGACTGAACTGTTTGAGATATTAATTTGAAAGTTGGAATACTTGTTTACCATCATGGTCCCAAAACATGGGCAGGAGAAGGTAATTCTGTTAAGGATTTTATTTGAATTATGGCCCTTTTTGACTTAGAAACTCAGTTAAGATTTTCATTCTTGTCCACTTGTTGACTTAACCATTTGAGATATTACTTTGGAAGTTGGAGTTCTTATGTGCCATCATGAGACCTATCTGTAAGCAAGAGAAGATAACTCTGTGAAAATGTTTCTTGATTTGTACTTAGAAATTCCTAGTTAAAGTCTTGTGTGCCCTTAACTGTCAAAGTTTTGTTTTATAGGCAAGCACTAAAAAAGTCGAGCGCGCTGTCCTTCTGACAGCTCTTGTTTCATTGGACTTGTCGGCGGGCAAGTGAATGTCAGAGCCATTTAAGAAAAAATTAAAAGCCAAATTTTGGTCACAGATTACTCTATATCATTTTATTTCATTCCAATATTGCATATCACCTTTACAAACTAGTTTAATTATATAACCCATTTTGTTTTGCTTTTTACCCCCTATGAAGCCTCTCAATAGACGTATGTGCTATAGGAACTCATTGGTTGTATTGCGGCAAAAAATATAAAGCACAGATGATTTCATTGCAAAGTTTATTTCTTTGCATACAAAAAAAAACTTAAACAAATTCTTTATTATAATGAATAGTTCAAAGCCTGTAGAAACTCCCAAAGAGTCAAAAAACAAGGTCAGAGAGAGATAATAGAAATTAGTATGATTCGAAAGGAATACATTTATTTCAGGATAGCTAGTTTATTGTCTGGCTGCCAAAAGAAGGTAATTCAGACAATGTCTATGGTCAAACTTGCAGATAATGTTCAGTTAGTAAAATATAGCTGCTGAACTTACATAATCCGCACTGTTTTGGGGGGGCAAGTAAATTTGGGCTGCGGACAACTAGAAATTTCAATCCAACTTGTCCTCGGACAAGTGGAAAAATTCCAAAATTCCACACCCCTGTACAGGCTCACTGATTGTTTGACCGAGTTAAATTAACCAATTGTATGTAACAGAAAGCAGTAGACCAGTCAGAGAGGAGGTAGAACTCACATTTTAGCATGTTTATTATTGGTTTTGAATTGAAATAGTTAAAAATTGACTTGGAAAATTGAATCTGCGCCAATAAAACCAGTTTTGAAGCATTGGAACAAATCGTGCATCTACTAATTACGCATATTGAAAACATTTCTAGTATGTTAGCATGTGTTATCTTGTACTGACAGCCAATGCTACTTTCAGGACAAATGTCCCTGATGAACTTCAGAATATCAAACAGAGGTGTTTGAAAGTTGGTGTGTGATGTCACTCATGCTCTGAGAAAAGTTATTTATCCAATGTTTTTTTTTCACCAAAATATTCGACGAAATTCGGCCCCATTCATCCTCAAAATAGTATGTTTCCCCCCCTGAAAGCCAAAATTTCCCCCTATACGGCAGCCCGAATTTGCCTGCAGTTAATATAATTTTTTGCAACTAACTACCGAAAACTGTTTTATTTTATGCCTGTTACACTGACTGTTAAGCAAGGTTGTTTACAAATCATTCTCAGGTAGGTAAGGGGAGCTACTCCAGGCGTCCCAACAAGTTTAACATGCGACTCTTTAATATTTTAGATCCGTATATCAAGAAAAAGCGATGTATTTTAAACTTGTGTTGCAAGAGTTGCTCCCCTTTTCTACAGGAATATAAAATAAATTAAAATTCCCCCTCCTATTGCATTTTTCCCCTCCAAAGGGCACCGACCCCCTTCCCCCAAATTTGAAAAAAAAACACTGCTATCCCATGCATCCTCTTAATGACTTATTATTGCATGTATTCATTATTGGTCAAATTCTAAAAATCTTAAAGTTAAAAAGCTTCCCATTTTTCAATACAAATATACTGATACACTTAAATGATTCTACAGTTGTAGGGAAATGGACATTTTATGGCAACAGATTTATTTAATGGCTTTGAGTAAGGCTGCATAGTTTTCATTTAGATTAGTCTTTTGTATTGCAGGAATTTTTGTTTCTTCAAATGTATTAAAGCTAGAGACTGAAGTGGTATGGCAAAAATGAGGGGCTTCATTTACTTTTAGATTTGGGGCTGTGACTTCAAATATGTAATGCTTTTCCTTCTTCACATATAAAATGTGATTTCCATTGTCAGGGATTTTGCAGTCCCTAACTTGGAAATTTTGGAACTTAATGGAAGTCCTGTTTTGTTTACCCTCAAATTCACTGATTTTGGAGGAAATTGTGTTTACAGTAAAAAAATACCTTAATAACAAAGCCCTACTTGGACGCTCTACATACATTTTTAGCTTGACTATTTGGAGAATAGGAAGAGCTATTGTAGTCAGCTAGGTGTAGGTTGGTATTTCCAAACTACTGAAGGGAATGGGTTGAAACTCTGTACACTTTATTGAGAGTATAAACGGAGGTCACTGTCCAAGGCCCATTACTCTAGCATAGATTTTGACATAAGTATAGTCCCTTTCAACTTAAAAATTTTCTACATTATCCATTCTCTTGTTTTATTATCAACTAATATGCTGTCCTACTGACAGCTATAATTCTGTTCTCACTGTCATTTTGGAAAATTGCCATGTTATCTTAATTGTGTTGATGTAACTTTAAACTGAACAAAGTATTTAATAGTTGCAGGAGCAATAAAATTTATTTCTTTATGGGGAAAACTATGATCTATAATAGGCATGTTTTGATTTTAATTTGTCAATCTATCAGATCTAATTTGAAAGTTTTTAGAATAGTGAAAATGTCATCAAGTAGAGAGTTATTGTGTTTTGTTACTCAACAAAACACAGGCTTATGGGTATTGTTAGTAATAAAGGACATCCAAAAGTAAAATTTGCCCCGTAAAATCTGCTATATTTTATCAGATGTATTATTGACACCCTTCACACAGATATGAAATTTAGTACCCTTGTTTAGATTAGTTTACTCTTTTTCAGGTGTGCCATTTCCTCCTAGTCACAGACTTACTATGAATGAAGTTTTTGATGCTAAAGGCAAACCACGACCAGATGTACTGAAACAACATTTTATTCTTGAAGGCAAGGTTACAGAAGATGTTGCTCTGCGTGTCATTAATGAAGGTGCTGCCCTTTTACGACAAGAGAAAACCATGATCGATATTGAAGCACCAGTTACAGGTGAATTATTTACTCATAATAAAATATTCATTTGTAGGCACTAGCCAGTACTGAATTTCTTCTCTAATGTGCTTTAAACCTATGAAGCTTGTATTTTGCCTTTTGAACATACAAAGTTATATGAATATCCCCTGCTTATATTCAAAGTTGGTCAGTATCCATATCTCAGGGTATCTGGTAGGTTCTCAGAGTGGTCATAATGAGGCAAAGGTTGTAGAAAAAACTGCATCTTTGGGTCATCTTAAAACCTAGAAAACAATCTTTTGTTGTTTTTAAAGCATTATGTCTCATGAACATTTGGTTTGTGTGTTTGATCTCGGTAATCATTAGAATCTCCAGAGGCCAGTGATGAACGTCTGGCTCGGCTTCAAACAGTGTTTGTCCAATACTTGCATTTTAACTATAAGCAATTGCTATGGATATTTAAAAAAAATTTTATCAGTCTACTTAATCAGTCTACAAAACACCAAAATCAGTCTACAAAACACCAACATACTCGAGGAGACTACATACTTCATAGGCGGGGTTTCAATGCCCTAAGAAGGTGAATATGTCACTCATTCAATATCTGACCTGGTCATTGATTAAGCACCTGCACTTATTTGCAGGTATAGCAAAAGAACATTTGTCATGCCAGTTATTTTCCTATAAAAGGCCCTTTTCAAATAGAAATTTTCATTAAAATCATGCAGTTTTCCCAAAAATCTGAACTTAAACCTACTTTTTAGCTCGACTATTCAATAAGAATAAGTAGAGCTATTGCAGTCACCCGAGCGTCGGCGTAACCACTTATGTTTAAGTTTTTGTAATAGTTCAAATATTTTCAAAGTCCATTGACATATGGCTTTGAAACTTTGCACACTTGTTCACCATCATGACCCCAACCTGTAGACAGGAGGAGGTAACTCTATCAAGCATTTTGACAGAATTATGCCCCTTTTTCGACTTCGAATTTATGTTAAAGTTTTTGTAATACCTCAAATATTTTCAAAGTTCATTGACATATGGCTTTGAAACTTTGCACACTTGTTCACCATCATTACCCCAACCTGTAAACAGGAGGAGGTAACTGTATCAAGCATTTTTTTTTACTATCAAGCACTTAGAATAGTCGAGCGTTGCTGTCCTACCGACAGCTCTTGTTTACTTCACAAATTAGCAATTTTAGCGATCATTTTTTTCAAAATCAAGAGGCAAAGGGCTCTTCCCAATTAAGTAAAAAAAATCACAAAATAAATCATGCCTTTATAGATAAAATTGGTTTGTTGACAGCTATTGTAAAATTAAGATGCAGTTGTTGTTAAAACATGGTAAAAAAAATCCTGCTGTTCTGTGGTGACATTACTTCAGGTAATTTTTAGCTTTTTACACACAATTCTAATTGTATTGAAGATTTACATTTAATTTGGTTGTTCCAACCAACACAGTGTAGGTCATATGGCGACCTTCCAGCAAAGACTTCAGGGGTCTGTTTGTGCATTATTTCAGGCACAAACTGGCACCTGAGTAGTACCACGGAAGTTCCATAAGCTAGCTGGATAGCTTCCTCACATGTAAGAAGTCATGATTAGTACCCTTAGTGGTGAGGGGCAATTGATTTGAGTTAAGGACCTTAACTACACCAAGTTTTGTTGATGGAATTTTTTGAAAAATTGTAAAGGGGGTTGCAGATCATGAGACAAGGGGTGAAAATCGGGGAATTGTATCTGGGCCGTGGGGGGGGGGGGGAAATATGGCTTGTATTTAAATCTGAGCAAAGAAATTTTCTGTTGAAGATTGTGCACTCTGATGAAAACACAAATCATTGTCTGGTGGATGTATTTACACAAACATTCTGGGCCATTTCCACAGCCACCATAATATTATTCTGCCGGATTAAGGTGAAGCTGACATGTCACATGACAAGTTAAATTAAAAAAAACCATAAATTAAAAAAAAAAAACATTTGTAAAAATTGATGTTTATTATAATCATCCGGTCTTCTAATAAATGTTTGTTCATATCACATCATTATTTGATCTGTTCACAATTTTTGTTTTCTTTAGGGTATTTTGCTGAAAAATTTTGCTTTCATGATTATCTGCCCAGAGCTTAGATATTTTGCCTGTATCATACATAACCTTGTGGTCCTCCACAAAAGTTGTATAAATCATACCCCTGGGATAAAAAAATGGCCTTGCCCTAGGGTTGCACAGTTTACATCTTTTATGAAACTGCAATACCTAGAGTTTAGATATTTGGCATGATTGTAACATTGCCAAGTAGACCTCTACAAAAGTTAAATAAATCATGGCCCTAGGGTCAAATTGGTCCTGTGTAGTAAAAATATCTTAAAAGACTTATTTCAGAAGCTACAATGTCTAGAGCTTAGGTACATGTATTTGTCATCAATTGAGCATTTTCCATACACAAATAATCAAAAAATTGTGCAGCTTGTGTAAAAAATGACAAAACCAATGTGACCTTATTGCTGGACTTGAACATAGAAAAATTGTGACCTTTCCTTGCAAAATATATCAGGTGAGCAATCCAATGCCTTCAAGCCATGTTGGGTACTGTAATTTCGTTTAGAAATATCCAGTGGGCATGCTGAGTTTGGGAGAAAAAAACAACATGATAAACCAAACTTAACATATTGATTCTTTGCAAGTCTGCAATATTTTGCATGTAAGAAATAGTGGAAATAGGCAAAAGCACCATGTACCTCTATATGGCATGGTTTTGCGAATATACAGTATGAACAAAATCACACATTTTATCATTAATTGCCTTTAATCTATAGATTTTGTTTCCTATAAATCTATGTTGAAAGTTGCCTATATTATCTTGGATAGTTTTCAAATATTGTATGATTCAGGCTGTCTACAGGTAACCAGCGTTGGTGTGGATATGTGTTACTATTAATAATAAATTACATACACCTAAATTTTTTTTAGCTTAGGTGAAGACAAAAAAAAGCTATTAAATTATGGAAGCCTTTAAGATATTGGAGAGCAGAGAGGTTAAAGAAAACACCTATTGTTGTTGTTTCTTGTAAATGAAAACAGTGATTCTGTATCATATGTATGTCAAATAACAGATGCGCAAAACATAATGCCATACAGGTCTGCTTCTGTGGTTGTGCAAGATAACCTATTGAAATTCTTAAGATACCTTTGGATGTATTTAGGTAGCTGTTTTTATCACTGTTGTAAACAGTAGTAGTTTGTGAGTGAGTCATACTTTGACATTTGCCTTAGATATTGGTATTAAGCTTCTGGGTGTCTGCCAGAGACTGTGTTGTTATTAATTTCAGAAATGTGGTTAATTGTGCAGAAATTACAACACTGTTTTTGAAACTGAAACAGCATTATAGCGAGACAAATTATGTAGGAAGATTTGTTTGTCAGTATCAAGATAGAAAAGTGAATGTTTCCCAGTTTTCTTTAAATTTAAGAGTTCATTAAGACATTTCCATACATATATTTCTTAAGGAACATCATTTTACAAAAGTTTGAAGATAGTTCAGGTTAATCCAATTTTAAAGATCCCTTTGCAAGGAAATAACATTAACTCTCCTAAAAACAAGACTGCAACATCTTCACAGACTGCTGTAGTTTTGCATTTATTGATTTTTTTTATAACATCAAAGTGCCCTATAATTCTATGCTTCATTGAATACCAGAGAACATGCTACCTGTCTATTAATCACTTTTGGGTTATTGTAAGTGATAAACTTGTGTTAACAAAAACTGTGATAAACTTGTGTTAAACAAAACTTAAAATTTATATCCAGTATTGATAAAGTGGCTAACATACAATTACTGGGACATATTGCATGCCAGTGTGCCAGAGGTTAAAAGAAATTAGAGCCAGAAATAATCACTAAAGGTCTTCCTCCTTTGATTTTTGTCTAGACAATAGAGCAGAAAGTGAATCTAATTCATTTAATGATTGCTGGACTTAATGGTAAAACTAATAAGTAGAGAGTTATGTAATGTAAGAATATAGGGATAATGAAAGATCTGTTCATGGAAAGAAAATAGAACTTGTCTTGCAGAAATGCAGGTTGTATATGATTTATTCTTTCTTGGCCTGTCGTCCCCATTGTTTCTTTGGGGAAAAGAAAGAAAGGAGAAATAACCAGTGTGTAATATATATATCATAATCTATGTTATGTAAGAAGTGAAAAAAGGTTAAAACATAATTAATATTTTAACATTTTATGAAAATTTGACAATAATATTTGGCAAACATTTGTATATTTCAGTATGTGGTGATATCCATGGCCAGTTTTATGATCTGATGAAGCTATTTGAGGTTGGAGGTCCTCCAGCTACCACACGCTACCTCTTCTTAGGTGATTATGTAGACAGAGGCTACTTTAGTATAGAGGTATGTCCTAGTGATTCTTTCATTTCTTTCTCTGTAACCAGCTGTATACTTAGCTGTCCCAATGGCTTCACATTAAAATTATATGAAAGTTAATGCATATCTTGATGGTAACTGAATTCTTTACATTAGTGCTTTCAGTTTTATAATTGTAGAATAATCTTGAAATGAGAATAGATTAGTATTGCTGAATAACATCATGTAAAACTGAATAAAAAGTATACAATTGCTGTTGAATAGTAAATTTCTTGTTATGAGAAACTAAGATAATTTAATAACTTTTATCTGACATACTGTATAACTGTTAACTGAATTATTTGGCAACATGTGTATAATTATTCGGTTTTTACTTTTTCAGTGTGTATTATACCTATGGGCTTTGAAAATCTTATATCCCAACACATTCTTTCTGTTGAGAGGAAACCATGAATGTCGGCACTTAACAGAGTACTTCACATTCAAACAAGAATGTAAGTTTTTCAGTATATTTTCCCCCCCAGATGACCAATTCATGTACAAGACTTAGTAAAATAGATTGATAGAAATGAAGTTCATTAACTCCAAATTCCTCAATAGCTAATTAGCTACATATTTTAAATCTGTAAATCTGATTAGAAGTGCACTTGCTGAAAGGCTAATTCAAATGATTGACTTACTAAATACAGCAATATTGAATTTGTAGGAGTTTAGTTTATCAATCTATAGCTAATGAGGCAATTAATATGAAAAGCCATGTTTTCATATTACAGTGTGAATGTGTTTTGTTTGTGAAATTTATTTTCACTGGAAGAAGATCTTCTCTATCCTGTAAAAGTGTTTAATTATGAAAAGTGCTTTCCGGTAAAGTTGTGATGTATATTTAGCATGGCTGTTATTGATATAATTGATGTGAACTTGTCCAAGTTATGTAAATAAAGGATCTGTGATGAGGGTGGTGAGTGGGTGAATGTAATTAAGTTTCATAAATACTCTCTAGACTGAAGGAAATTAAACCAGCTTCTTTAATTGTTATTTTAAGGCTTGATGCACTGTTCAAGATAATATTGATTTTGCTGTCTTCCTGCCATTCATTTGACAAGAAATTTACGTCTCTTGCTGTAAGGAATTTTATATTAAAGATTTAGCAGTGAACTGATGTCTTTTCTGCAAAAACTTGTTAATTTCTCACTGACAAAAAAGATGCACAGGTTTCTGGGGCTTTTGATATTTTGGAGACAAGAATAAAAAAGAAAAAGTTGATATAAAAGACTCTTTTAGTATAATGTGTGATGGTTATGTTTTTGCTTGTCATTAGCTAAAGCCTTCATGTTACAGTAGTATAAATTGAAATGATCTGTGTTTTCAAATTATGCAAAAGTAGCCAGTTCAGATACGCCAGTATTCAGCAGTAAAGCATTCTGTGGTGATTTTAACATTTTTAGATCAACTGTTAAAACAAGAGGAAGAGCTACTGTACTGTTTTCGGCGTCTTACTAAGTAAATTTTTCCATGCAAGTTGGTAATTTCAAATCTGTTGAAGAGAATAGGTTGAAACTTCACATACTTATTTGAGAGCATTATAAGGGGTCACTGTCTGAGGGCCATAACATAGTTTGGCAAAAGTTTGGTGGTATATTCAACAGTAGCCAGTGATTTTTGTGACTGCTGGGGCTTGTTAAAATGTTTGGTTTATACAGAATTTATTTTAGTTAGATTGTGTAGGAAGCTATTTTAGCTTATAGACACACTTTCGAATCCGTTCCTGGGTTTGAAACCATGCGACTAGCGATTATGATATTACTAGGCCAACATGTTAACCACTCTGCCATGCCGCCACAAACACTTTCTAGTTTTAAGGTTGTTCCATTTAATTTATGTGAAATTTTCTTAATACATTTAATGTTAATATTACCTAGGTGCTGGTTCTTTATTTGTCTATCAGTGAAAAGATTAAACTGTTCTTTTAGAGTAAAGTGGGCATCATTAATTTAAGGAGAATTCTTTGCTAGATAGCCGGAAAAAGCATGTGAATCTTTGAAATGTCAGGTTAATAAGTAATGCTAAATTTTTATTTTTCTTCAAGGAAATGTTGGAAGACTGTAGAATCTTGGCAATTATTTATCTTTAATCAACAGTCTTGTTAACTTTGTCAGAGAAAAGTCGGTACAAATTACAAAAACCTGAAAAAAGATACATTGCTAGATGAAGCAGATATGATTCTTAATTGTTCAATTTTCCAAACTTTGATAAGTTATATTACTGTCCTTTCTGAACTGTAATTGTTAGTTGTATAGATGGTAGGTTTCTGTACTAGAAAGTTTCCACTTTGTCTGTAATTAACTGTTGATTGATAAAGTTGAAGAAATAGTGTTGTTGATTGATTGATGTACATCAGGTTTTCTTACTTAAATCACTCTGCTAGGATTGATTGTGTTAAGTTTTATATTTAGATTTTGGTTTAGATGAAACAGCTGGAAGGTAAGTCAAATGTTTATTTGTTTGATCACGTTTCAATAATATGCATTTTGGTTTGCACACTTGAAAGAAAACGTCTCTTGCTTAAGAAAATTTATATTAAACATAGCATGCTGTGTCTTTTCTGCAAAAACTTGGTTAATTACTGACAAAAGATGCAATTTCTGGGTTTTTCATATCTTGAACAAGAATTAAAAGAAAGTTTAAGTAGGAAAGATCTTTTAGGTAAATCGTGTCTGTTATGTTTTGCTTGTCATAGTCCTTCTGTTCAGTACGTATAAGTGTCGTTTCACAAAATGATCCGTTCGATACGCCAGAATTACTGAAACATTTTGTGATTTAACATTATTAGATAACTGTCAGAGGAGATAGCACGTCTGTTTTCTGCGTCTTACTAATTTAAATTTGTTCATGCATTGGTAATTCAAATCGTTGGAAATATGGTTAAATTTACACATAAATATTTGAAGCAAAGTATAAATCATTATGAAACTAAATAGTGGGCAAGAGTTGGGTTATGCAACATAGCCGTATTTTTTCTGCTCTTGTTGAAAATTTGGTTGCTATACAAAAATTTAGTTGAATTTAGAAGTATTTTAGCTTATAGAATATTTCAATCTTTTTTCCACATATCATGTTTCTTTATTTCCCTCTGCCCCCCTTAAGGTGTTTACATTTAATTTATATGATAATTTCTTCATCAATTATAATCATACTTTTGCTGGTTTTTAATCCTGCAGTAAAAATAATCTGTAGATTAAAGTGCCATTAATTTAGAATTTTTTAGGCCGGAAAAAATGTGAATCTTTTTCATTAAATAACTTTTTATTTTCCTAAGAATCTACTTAAACTTCATATTATGTTTCTTTAATCACGTCGAACTTTTTGAGAAGCGGTAATTAAAACCTGCAAACGATACATTCAGATAAGTATGATCTCTTAATTGATTTTTTTCGAAACTGTTATTTTCACTCAACTTCTTTCACTTAATTAGGATTTAGGTTTTAAAAATCCACTTTCTGTAATTAATTATGACAAAGTTGAAAAATAGTTTGTTGACTGATTGAATTACACATTCTTATTAAATCAAACTTATTATTTGTAAGTTTTGTTTTAGATTATTTTTAGATGAAACATCTAAAGTCAAGTAAATGGTCTAGTTACACAGGAAAGAGTTTGTTTAGAAAGAAATAAAGAGTCTTTTTAGCAGAAAATCTGGTGTAGGGAAACTAACTTGTTAATTTTGCCCGTAATACTTTTATTTTCAAATCTTCATGTTTATTTTTCAAATGAAGCATTATTTTGCAGACATTATTAGGCCATCTTTACATTTTGCATCCTTGCTCAGTTGTTAAAAGGAACCTGAACCACTTAAAATACATTATAAATGTTTTCTTTAATTTCAGGCAAAATAAAGTATTCTGAGCGTGTTTATGATGCATGCATGGATGCATTTGATTGTCTGCCACTTTCAGCTTTAATGAATCAACAATTCCTTTGTGTACATGGTGGGCTTTCTCCAGAAATTCACAATTTAGATGATATCAGAAAGGTAAGACATATTTTGCTTTATTTATACTAAATGCACCATTTCTAAACCATGTTCCTGCACTGCCATATCATTTGGTGAGGGTTACGTCTAGCATGAAAATATAATAAGGGATAGTTCTTACATGCGTAAGAACGGTATTAGGTAACATTATATTATATTATATAAAAAAATGGTCGGACTTTGATTGGACTGTCCCATACAGGTTGGGGCCTTTCCTTGTTGGTGGGAGTGGAATTATGAAGTCTCTGCTATTTATGAGAGTAGAGGGGTACAAGATAACATTTGACCAGTACATCAGCAAAAGTATGATTACATATACTGTGCTTTAATAAAGAGATAAAACAAAAGCCAGCCTTGTCATGGAAACCTGCAAATTTTAATTTTATAAGAATTATGATGACAAGCATCAAAAAATATTTTCAGAGTCACTTGTCTTACAGGACGAGTAGCTTTCAAATTCTATGAGCAGGCAACAATTTTCTACTCTTCCTTCGTTTAGTTCTTAAATTTTACTTGTAATTACTAGCAGACAAGAGGAATTTTCGATATCTGGATTAAATGTTTCAGTGTAGGTGTTTAAAATGTTGAAATTACATAACACTAAAGTATCACCATGTCATCAGCATTCATATTGGTAATATAAAAAAACGGCACAGATTATAATTAGAAATGTCATATCAGTTTTCACATTAATATTCAATATGTTATTGATCTTTATTTCAAAATTTCACTTTTATTTGCATAAGAGTAGATTTGTATTGACACTGGTGCATTTTGGGTAATGAAATTCAACTAAAAACTATTTGATTTGCTAAAAACACATAACTTACAATCTGAAGGGGATGATTGATATTTATTTAGCAAACAAAGACTTTCACAGATTGAAAGAGACAACTTAATACTTTACAACTATTACACATATACATATGTCTGTTTGGGGCAAGTAGGTTATAGCCCTAAACTTTTAGACAACTTCATTTGTTTGACAGTGTATACTGAAATTTGCTCTGCCAAAAATAGGCTAGCCATTTTTATAGTGCACCAAGGGGGAGTTTTGATACTTATCCTTTTTGCATAAAGTCTGAGCTTTTAGGAAATGAATTTCTGATAATGCGTGTAAGGGGATAAATGTTTCAATTGATTTTTTTGGTGGCTGGCTTGTCGTTTATCTCTTGCTGTATAAACAAGTGGTGAGAAAGATAGTAATTTTGTCATGAATATTTAATAAATACAGTGCTTTCTTGGATATACAAGTATTACCTCATAGAAAGTTAATGTACAATGCCCGTAGAAATCTCTCTCCATATTTTTGATAGAATTTGTAGTGTCTTTTTGCAACATTTAGCATTGCATAAAGACATATGTAGGTAAAAAAGCACTTGGAATGAATGTCATTTTAGTATTTATATTACAAGATAGGTATAAAGACATTTCATGATCATGTACTTTTGTATGTTGCACAGGGGTGCAGAATAAATGCATAATGAAAAGTGTTTGTGCAGGTGCCAGGATTTGTAAGGTGGGGGGGGGGGAATCATGGTACTGATTACAGTTGATATTATAACTCTTGACAGAATTTAGTAATCATTGTAGCATTTTATGGTTTTCTAACATAGGTAGGTGGTTTGTTGGTGGTTAGTGTAGGGCACATCTTAAATCATTATTTAAAAAGAAAAGAATTTGTATTTCAGTTGGATAGATTTAAAGAACCTCCAGCATTTGGGCCAATGTGTGATTTACTCTGGTCAGACCCTTTAGAAGATTTTGGCAATGAAAAAACAACAGAACATTTTACACATAACAGTGTTCGAGGTTGCTCATACTTTTATAGGTGAGATAGTTTGTAATTTAAACACCATTGTCTATATCTATCTGTTTTCAAGTAAGATGCCAAAAAAGTATGAATTAAGTAAAACATTTAATAGCATATGTTTGCCCAGTTATAACTGTTTGCAAGGTTATGTTTAAATATCCCCTTAACACACTCAATATTTTAAATATGAAAATACAGATTTTGTTCAATGATAAATTTTATTAGTATGAAACTACTGTACTAATTTTCCAATTCAAAATTTGAGCAGGATGCATTCTAATTTGCCAGGAAGTTATTACTAATACAATATTGGAAGGGTATGAATTACAAAGAGGAAGTTGTATGTATATATATACACAAAGAGAATAAACAATTAACCATTCATTTATTTGAATCTGTCCTTTTGAATAAAATTTATTAACAAATGTTAGTAGATTTTATATTGATACAGAATTCAAGGTCATTGATAAGTTTATAACTGCAGTTATTAGAGGAAGTGGTATATCAAGATAAAGGGGTGTATATAGTGTCACTTGAACACAGGTTAAATAATGGTTTTCGTTTATGATTTGTACATTTTAATACCAGTTATTTCTTTACTTCAGAGAATTTTGCCCACACAAATTGATCTCTTTCATTTGATATTGCCTGCGCTTTTCTGTAGAAATATAAATTTATAGATAATGTGTTTCCATCAAGCACTGGCTGTAAATTACAAAAAAAACATTCCTTGCATTAAACGAATGGTGCATTGTAATAATGCAGCAATAAAAAAGACCTTAAATTGATTTGGTAATTAATTTTAGTCAGGACAAATGAATATTGTTTTCTGTATTCTCTTGTTGTGAAATTTCTGTGATGGAAAATTTATCTCTTGTCAATTTTAATTTTTTTTTGATTCGGGAAGAGGGAGGCCTGCTTTCCATATCCCTTGGTTATACTTTATCTTTACTTGTAGAGGAGAGAAATATTGCTTCTGTCAGTTTCTGTGTATAAAGAGCAATTTTGAACCATGTGTAAATAAACTAGTTTTATGATTTTACAATAGTTTTTAAATACATGATTATATTGTATATTTCAGCTATGCAGCTTGTTGTGACTTCTTACAACAGAATAATTTATTATCAATTATAAGAGCACATGAAGCACAAGATGCAGGGTATGTTTGTATATATTTGTGTTTGTAGTTGAAAGTCTGACTTGATTATATTGATACCTCAACAGTGCTGGTCTTAATATAAAGTTAAGTCTTTATATGCACATTTCATGATAAAATCTTTATGAAAATTATTCTAACTTCTTTATAAACAGACTTGTCAACTTTGAAGAAGATCAGTACAGATCTACTTGGGTTTTACTAAAAATGTACATGTACATGGTTGACTGGAGGGGAGTATTATTGACAATTATGCTCTTTTTCTTATGCTGTTGAGACATGGAAATGAGAAAATGTTCAATACTTACTGTACTTCAATGTGCTGTGTTTATTGTGGCAGTTTACAAAGTGACTGAATAATGACCTCAGTCTGTACAGAACCAATCATGTTATACAGTATCAAGCCATGACTGAATTATGCCCTGTACAGATAAATATTAAGCCATGACTGAATTATGCCCTGTACAGATAAATATTAAGCCATGACTGAATTATGCTCTGTACAGATAAATATTAAGCCATGACTGAATTATGCCCTGTACAGATAAATATTAAGCCATGACTGAATTATGCCCTGTACAGATAAATATTAAGCCATGACTGAATTATGCTCTGTACAATATTAAGCCATGACTGATCTCACAGTAATAAGCAACACTTCAGATTTTTAATAAGTTGTTTTATTTTGTGTTACAGATATAGAATGTACAGAAAAAGTCAGACCACGGGATTTCCTTCATTGATAACTATCTTTTCTGCACCAAATTATTTAGATGTTTATAATAATAAAGGTAAGATCCGCGTTGAGTAACAAATGCTTGTTTACAAAGTGAAAAATCTGGTTGCCAAGTTTTCATTGAAAGATAGAGCCAAGTTTTCAAACCCAACATTTCCTAGGCATGTCATTATATTGTAGGCGAATAATTGTTTATATAACTAGGAGGCAGGCATCGTATGGAAATTAGAGCAATAATTGAGAAATATGAACACAAAATTACAAACGTTATTCAGAATGATTAGTCTGGTATAAAGAATTTAAGTGTCAGGTCTTAACTCTTAAGTCAATGCCCTATTGCTTATAACAGTAAGAGGTTTGGTTACAAATAAATAACATGGTCATATGTTTCAACACCACGTCATACTTTACAAGATGTGTGTGACTAGCTGACAAACATGTTTTTTCCCCTGTTAACTGTTAAAAACATGGTGTGTGACGATCTATTTATCACAACTAGAGTTGTTTCTTGTAATACAATTTACCAAACATATAACAGTATAAATATCTTTCTGGTTTTACATTATTTAGGCATGTTTACACTAAATTCATGAGTTAACGTTTTTGACATGCCCTATTATAGATATTCTTTTCAAGACCATATTTGTACAATGTAGAAACAGCATGATTTCCAAGCTGAAACCAATTAGATATGCTTAAGGTAATAAGCTATTTTGTTATGGGAGTTTAGCAGACAAATTCCCCACATATTTGTTTGTTGTTAACAATTTTTATTGTACTGATGAGAAAGGCATTTATTATATATATGCAGACATTTTAGCCTTAGGTTTCAGTTTATTGATTGATAAAGATAAAGGTAACATAAATGTTAACTATTCTGTCTTTGTCAAGTTGAATTCTTGTTTTCTGTACTAATTTTTAGCTCACCTGTCACAAAGTGACAGGGTGAGCTTTTGTGATCGCTTTTCGTCCGGCGTCCGTCCGTCCGTCCGTCCGTCGTCCGTAAACTTTTACTTTAAATGACATCTCCTCATAAACCACTAAGCCAATTTCATCCAAACTTCACAGGAATGTTCCATTGGTGGTCACCTTTAAAAATTGTTCAAAGAATTTAATTCCATGCAGAACTCTGGTTGCCATGGCAACCGAAAGAAAAAACTTTAAATATCTTCTTTTAAAAAACCATAAGAGCTAGAGCTTAGATATTTGCCATGAAACATCTTCTAGTGAGTGTCTACCAAGTTTGTTCAAATAAAAGCCCTGGGGTCAAAATTGGCCCCGCCCCGGGGGGTCATTGATTTTCCCTATATGCATATAGTAAAAACTTAAAAAATCTTCTTTTAAAGAACCCAAAGAGCTAGAGCTAAGATATTTAGCATGAAACATGTTCTAATGGGTGTCTACCAAGTTTGTTCAAATAAAAGCCCCGGGGCCAAAATTGGCCCCGCCCCGGGGGTCATTGATTTTCCCTATATGCATATAGTAAAAACTTAAAAAATCTTCTTTTAAAGAACCCAAAAAGCTAGAGCTAAGATATTTAGCATGAAACATGTTCTAATGGGTGTCTACCAAGTTTGTTCAAATAAAAGCCCTGGGGTTAAAATTGGCCCCGCCCCGGGGGGTCATTGATTTTCCCTATATGCATATAGTAAAAACTTAAAAAATTTTCTTTTAAAGAACCAAAAGAGTTAGAGCTAAGATATTTAGCATGAAACATGTTCTAATAAGTGTCTACCAAGTTTGTTCAAATAAAAGCCCTGGGGTCAAAATTGGCCCCGCCCCGGGGGTCATTGATTTTCCCTATATGCATATAGTAAAAACTTAAAAATCTTCTTTTAAAGAACTCAAAGAGCTATGGCTAAGATATTTAGCATCAAACATGTTCTAATGGGTGTCTACCAAGTTTGTTCAAATAAAAGCCCTGGGGTCAAAATTGGCACCGCCCCAGGGGTCATTGATTTTCCTTATATGTGTATAGCAAAAACTTAAAAAAATCTTTTTTTAAAGAACTCAAAGAGCTATGGCTAATATATTGAGCATCAAACATGTTCTAATAGGTGTCTACCAAGTTTGTTCAATTAAAAGACCTGGGGTCAACATTGGCCCCGCCCCGGGGGTCATTGATTTTCTTTATATGTGTATAGCAAAAACTTAAAATCTTCTTTGAAAAAAACCCAAATAGCTAGAGTTTAGATATTAAGCATGAAACATCTTCTAGTAAGTGTCTACAAAGTTTGTTCAAATAAAAGCCCTGGGGTCAAAACTGGCCTGGCCCAAGGGGTGTCATTGTTTTTAACTATATGTGTAAAGTAAAAAAAACTTAAAAAAAATCTTCTTTTAAAAAGCCCAATGAGCTAGAGCTTAGATGTTTAGCATGAAACATCTTCTTATGGGTGTCTACCAAGTTTGTGCAAATAAAAGCCCTTGGGTTAAATTGGCCCTGCAACGTTGGGGGGGGGGGGGTGGGGTTTTGTGGGGGGGGGGGCCTATATACAGGTGAGCGATCTCAGGGCCATCATGGCCCTCTTGTTTATGGCCTCTTAACCTTTGTCACACTGCATTAATGTAATGGATTAGCCTTGCTATGTCAAATTTTATTTTAAATTTTATCATTATCAGATTGTAAATATTTATCCACTGGTCAGACTGCATGCATATCCAGGCTGGCCTTTTGTCCATATTGGTAGCATTTGAAAGTCATTTTTACCAATGTTTACACATAACATTTGAATTTTATATCTTATTTCAGCTGCTATTTTAAAATATGAAAACAATGTGATGAACATAAGACAGTTCAACTGTTCACCCCATCCATATTGGTTGCCAAATTTTATGGATGTATTTACTTGGTCATTACCATTTGTAGGAGAAAAAGGTAAGCAGAACTCCATTATATCTGTTTTGATTGGAAATGTAATATCAAAACCAAGAATCATCATGGAAGTAAAGTCCATTATTACGAGATAGAAGATTTTTTGTTTGTTCATATATTCAGTTGTTTTTGCTTTTGACAAATCTATTTATATTACATTTCCATCCTAGTTATCTTAACCATTAGTCTGCTGGGGTCAACAGAATCTTTACATGCGGCCAGTGCAGATCAAGATCGACCAGGACATGCCTGCCGTCTGATCATGGTCTGCACTGTTCGTTATTCAGTAAATGCTTTTGGTGAAATTTTCCAAAAAAATAATTAATGGTTTGGCCAAATTGAAAAATGGACAAGTCCATTAAAGCTATTAATGGTTAATGAAGGCTAGTGTATGTCTACCCAGGTGCCCATTTGTGTTGGGGGGATACCATACTTTTTTGAAGGTATCCAGTATTTTCTACCACAAGTTACCATATGACCTCAAGTTCAATAAAAACATAAATTTATAAATATAATTTAAGAATCGATATTGGTACTAAGTTGTTGGAGCTCTATTTTCTTACTGTAATTTTAACATGAAAACCATTTACACCATTTCTTTGAAAATAAATTGGAAAAGGGTGAACAAAAATCTTTAAATGAAACTCGTTTTCTGCTATGGTTCTCTTAAATTTCCTGATCACTTTAAGAATTTTACATTTAGATGGTTGAATTAATGTTTTTAGGAGGAACAATCGAGCAGAAACTAAGCTAGATTCATTGGTATTCAATATATGAAATCCATTATATCAGATTTCTGGGAATTTATCTGTGATATTGCAAGCTTAACTTGCCATCAATAGGTTTTGGTTGAGTTATATTACAATGCTATGGATATAGTCTTTCTCTCAGCTGTCATTAATTGCAAGAATGAAGTAAAAAAAAATGTATATAAAAAATTAGCAAGGCTTGTTGGCTGGGAGTGACTTGGGACTGTAAATGAAATGAGATGAGAAAAAAATTAAGGAAATTGTGGTGTGTAATTTGATGGTTACATGGAGATTACCATTGAAATTGTGTTGATACAATTCTCTACGCTGTTCCTTCCTAGGCCAATCAATAGAGATTACTGGCAGACACTGCAACCTAGATTTTCTATTCTATTTCTCACATTTATTGTTCTGTTGACAAACTGGACTTGAGCTATGCATTTAGTTTGAATTAAAGGCATCACATTAGTTCTTTCCTCATGAATCCATAGTATATTGAACATGATTATGTTTAAAATATCAAACTATAACAGTTTATGTCCCAAATCTATGTTTGCCTTATTTCACAAAATCCATTAAGTTCATATTAAATTACTGGTTTTTGATAAAAAAAAATATAGTAAGAGTTGACATGTGATATAGTTGTTTTTTAATTGGCAGTTTGAAATTTAAAAATCGCCTTTAACTTTGCATTTCTTGCTTATTATACTGTATTTATCAGCTACAAAATAAGGAGGAAATCACTAGTCAGTATCAGATTCTGTGATCTGAAATAGCTTGTGCTCCAATTTCAGAGTCTTGTTTCTGATTGCCTTGGAAAACTACAGCCCAAAACATGCTATCTCACTTAAGATGATAATTGAAAAAAGTGGATGAAAAAAAAAGTAATTCTGGGGGAAATGTATTAAGATGTAATAGAAGCTGGGTAATTGGATAAGTTGACTTAAGCACAAAGTAACACCATTGTTTAATGTATGGCTAAACATAGAAGTGGTATTTGAGAATCTATTTAATCTGGAGGAAGACCATACTTCTTGGTTTTAAGCAATTAAGCTCTTTATCTTTCCTATATTCAGATAGAGGACACTTTTCATTTCTCAAAGGTAATTGTAAAGGAAAATTGTTTGAAAGGAAGATACATTGATATACATTAATTCATGGATTGAAAGTTAAAATCAGACTTGATTAAGTTTGATTTACTTCATTTCTTTCTGTATTTAAAGAAAAGTAGAGTTGTAAATGAGAAGTAAATGCCATTTACTACATGAAAACTCGTAGCTATATGCTGGGCCAAATAAGAGGAAAATGTAGAAAGTTTTTATGAATTCTAGGTATATGATACAATATACAAATCCATATAAGTTGTAGAGCTGGGTCATTCATGATTTTATGGGCAAAATTAGAAGATAATGATTATACTTCAATTTGAATCGCTCTATCTTTAACCACTTGAGCATGGGATTTGTTACTTCTCTGAACATTATAATAAGTAGACAAGTAACATGCATAACACACGATAGTTGAATCACATTTGAAATCTTCATGACTTTGTAACATATATTTTACTTGTTTCCAGTGACAGAGATGCTTGTAAATGTATTGAATATTTGCTCAGATGACGAGTTGATGAGTGATATCGACGACACATTCGAAGGTATGTTTCTTACTGTATCGTGCATTGTCATTTATTTGTACCTTTTCCGGGATGTTCGTGTTTTTTTCTTCATGAGACATTCTTATAAATATTTTGTCATGATTGATAGTTTCAATATCTGCTTATAGAAAAAACAGTCCAGCATACTATTCTATGTATTAGCTCTGTACCATACAAAACAATAGTCTACTGTATATGTATTGATAGTTATTTGAAGAGCTTTATTTGTTATGTTACACACAGTAAAAAATAAAAATATATTATACAAAACGATTTTATCTATATACTAACATTTGGATAAAGTTACATTTGACAGATTTCTATACTGCCACTAGGCTTTTGTAATGTATTCTCATAAAGAACAAAAAAGAAACAGTTTCATGTTTCACATCAGCTAAAAACTATCATGCATTGATTTTTCAAAACCGTTTTACTTTGAAATAATTTTGATGTTTTTTTGACCTGATATTTTATTTTTGGATAAACTTTCAAATAAGTATTCTGTTATGCTGGTCTGATAAGGTATGAAAATAAATAATTTCTGGAGCATATTTGTCATTTTATCATTTATTTTCATCAGTTTGACAAATTCTGGTTGAAAAAAAAAGTTCCGTTATTGTTTCCTTTCTCAGTTTTTTGCTTGTTTGTTGATTGGTTGGCTTTTTGCATGATTACAATTATTTTTTCAACTTTATATATTTAAAAGATATATTGTCTAGTTTTTGAGGATACTGTTGTAATGTAATTTGCATGTATTCAAAGCTTCTTCAGCTTTTTTCTGCTTTCAAAATTTCAATATTGCTGATCAAGCGGAAAACAAAAATATCAAAGCCAGTCTTTAAGCTTGATCAAAAAGCAAAAAAGGTTTTTAGATATACAAAGCAAAAGCAAGGAAATATCAATCATATATGTAATATTCTGTGTAACAAAGTACTATCAGATCAATTTGCAAATTTGCTGTTGCACACTAAATCTGTTTTATCTTTTTTTTTGTCTGTTACATTTTTTTTTCTCGTCTCTCAAGATTATGAACAGCACATTTGAGATACCTTGTATAAAAGGAAGATTTTAAACCACTTTTATTGTGAATTGTCTACATGCACAATTTTAAGATGTTTACATGTATGATATTGTTTTTTTTTTCACCGACGATCACAGGCGATAATGATGGTAGGGGACTTTATACAACTTATTGCATGATTTCAAAATTTCCTTTGAATGTGCTTTGTAGTATTGTTACTCAGCTGATGATTTCTACTGTTTTTTTTAGCAATATTTTTTTTTTCATCTATGAAATCACACCATTTGTATTAAGTTTTTGGTTATTTTTCTCTCAAATTTATTTTGCACCTTTGGTGTTTTTTTTCTTCTCGATATTGATGTACTGTCAGTATATACATTCAAAGCACATGTTTTACAAGTCACTTTGACATAACTGTTGTAACGAGTATAAAAAAACCCCAAAAAGCTTGAAAAACAAAACAAAAGAAAACCAGCAGTTATTCAAAACTTAGTTGTCGGAAACCATCCTGATTGATCACATAAGATTTGCAGCATGCTTTTCCCTTATTGAATGATGTTAAGGGTTGTTCATTGGTTAGTTAAACAGTTCTTGTGTATTTTATCTTCTATAACTAAGTTGAACAGCATTCACAGATGTTCTCTGTTTTTTTGCATGCTTTTTTTCTGCAGCTTCAGTAATTTTACTGTTATTGAATGGTGTGACACTTGTTATATTTTTCATGTTTGTGCACTGTTTTATAGGTTTAATTTATTTGTCTTATTTTCTAGTGAATAATTGATAGTGATATCTCCCATCATTGTTTGCGCAGCATCAGCGCCGGTAAATTATCTAAACTCCTGTGATGAAATAACACAGTTTTAAGCTTCTGGCCTGTAAAATTGTTATCATTTAAAACAGCAGCATTTGAAGCTGTAGGAAAGGTCTCAGTAAAAGCCAGATTAATCAGCATTTTATTGATCTGAAGTAGTTTTTTTGTACATTTTTTTTTTTCCATCTCTCATTGCCTTCAAAACAAGCTGCGGTGAAAACAACAAGTCATGCATAACGCTGCAATTTACAAAAAGCTGTTCCTGTATGAATAAACAACATATTAACACCCACTACATAATTCCCAAAGCACAATAAATCAATAGCAAAAATTCTAAAGTATAATGCTTTTGGTGAGACAAACAAATTTACACGAGTAAATACAGTGCCATAATGATTTATTCAAACAAGAGGAAACATTACTTTCAATTCAATTGAATTAACTATGGCGATGTAGTTTTGGTGTCGACTTGCCAGTTTTCTAGAACACTTAGCGAAAATCTTTCAGCAGAAATGTAGGGAAATGGAATCTCAATTATTTAGGATGCTTGTTGTAATTATTGTCACAGGTCTGGATGCAGATCTTGTAAATTCGTGCCAGGTATGATTCTATCAGAGAAAAGCATATATCCTTTGTCTTGGAGAAGTATCTTGCTGTCACACTTTGATGTTCTTACTGTCACATAAAAATTTTAATGACCAATTATTCTAGCCATGCCATTCTTATTTTGGTTTAGGTAGTTGCATTCTTGTTAACAATGTAATGTATGTTGGTTAAAAGAGTCTTTCAGTGTAAGATGGGTATTGGAATTAAGCTTATAGATAATTATATTTAGAAATTTCCATCATGTGAATTAAATCATTACACAGGTAATTGTAAAGATTATGCAATGTATGTCGGAATCATTTTCTCTATTGAAGTGCTGCATAAAACATTAGCATCATGTGTGCATATCCATAAATATGCATAGTGCAACATTATATTGGCAGTACTGCAAAGTGCAAGAATACAAACAATTTTCCACAATTTCCCTATTGATTTGTCAGTTACATTCTTCAAAGAGATCGTTTTCGTTTGTAGTTATATACTTAGCGGATATTTTTATATCCCTAATGGCCTGAACTATGCAGGAGAGGCTTGTTATAACTCTCAACATGCTGGAACTGACTGACCTTTGTTTTTGTCACATTTAAAGAGCCAGGCCAGCCTGCACATTTGTGCAGTCTAACCAGGCCAGACAAGCTCATATTTCTAGCTGGGTATCTCCCAAACAGTTCCAAAATGGAAGCTTAACAAGACTTAGTCCATTTAAGAAATTCAACAGGTTATGGGTTAATACTCTGTGAATGATAGCAGCTATAATGACACAGCTTTGACATCATGGTGTACACCTTCCTGTATATCCATGAAGTCACAGAAGACCATGTGCTAGATTGTAGGTTGTATTGTAGTCTTGTAAACCCTTAACTATAAACAAAGGACAGTTCCATATCCAAAGCAGGACAAATCTATCATACAAATTTAGCGGAAAGGTTAAAACTGCCTGCTTTGCTTACTGATTTCTGTCTGCTCAAATTATTGGTTAAGATCAATAGAAATTGCATTAACGTTTCCTATAGTTTGTAGAAAATTGAGCTGGTGGCATTGTGGAGGAATTAATCAGGACTGTCATATCATAGCCTTGCGTAACTGTCACTACCTAGACCCGTGAATGACAGCAGTAATTAATTGGAAGCTGAGAAACACTCAAAGGCATGCTTAAACAGTTGCCCTGTCTATTTTCTTAAGGTCTAATATCAGACATTTCAGGTTTGTTTGCCATGTGTTGTATTAGGTTTCTAGATTTTCATAATAATGTCTGTTATTTTTTTTTTGTTTGGGTTCAATTGAATGATCTTACCACAGATAAAAATCTCTTGTTATTTTGTTTCAATTTTATACAAGCTGCTGCCATTTTGCTGCATTCAATTTCATATCAATCCTTGTCTCATGTTCTCTAGTCGAAACCTTCAGCCTGCTGTCTATCCATGTGACCTATGCAGACAAAAATCAACTAGCATATTTGTGCTGTCTGATCATTATACTATACTGTTTCGCAAATCAGTCAATAAATATTTTGAAATTTCCCTATAAATAATCAATGGTGCCTGCTCATGTCTAAAATTATGCACAGAGGGGCACCAAGTGAAGCTAGAAAGGCGCTCGCATGACTTTCACCTTTACAGTGCCAGTGTGAGTTAAAATGAAACAACAAACTTAACTGGTGGCAGAGATCTGTTGTGATTCAGGTTTGGCATAAATTTCAATTCCTTATTGAATACAGTGAAAGTCTATTTATGCAATGTGTGATATATTTAAAGACTTGGCATTTTATCCTTTCTTTGTTTATGGTTGCCTTGGATAATATTCAGATAAAGCAGTTAACCCAGATTAACCATATACCAGAAACATAATTCATGAATTAATTGTTGACAATGTATTGAACAACATGAATGTTTTCCTCAAGCTATAGAATTTCATACATGTTATTCTGTTGTCACATTTTATGTTAACCATACCCATATCATTACTGTGAACACTGGTTTCATATTTCTTTATAGGAAGCCTATTAGTGGGTAATATTGATTTGCTATATAAACAATTGCCCTATTGATGTGATATACAGATGCAATTTTTATGATGTTGTAGGAGGGTGATTTCCAGAGGGAAAGAATGCGTGTACCTGTAGTATGTTAGAGTAATCTATAACCTGTTGCCAGGCTGACAGGCAAGAATTTTCATTACCCTGTGAAACACTCGTCTGTAAACATCAGCTGCAGCTCTCTTGCTCCATCACTATATCTCTAAACTTGCTACTTGTGTAGCTTACAACATGAACAAAATAATCCCTTCAAAATAAGCTTTTATATATATTTGAAAATGGCCATATTTATTTCTATAGAAATAGATGCAATATTTCTTGCTTATTCTACTTAATGTATTTTGTATGTTTAAAGGACATGTTTATCAAAAGATATTGAATTTGCTTCCTTGTATAGTTTACACTGACTTATATAAAAGCAAGCCATTCATATTTGTAAGTGGGGGAAAAAAATGAGAAAAACAAAAATGAATGATTTTTTTTTAATTAAGTGTTTAGAGTTAGACATTTTTCCTTGAAAATTCTTCCTTAAAAAAAACTTGAAGTATTCAGAAATGTAGACTTATATTTGTTTATTTCTTCATCAAACCTGATCCATTATTATCTGGTATTGATGTCTTTATTTAATTTGGAACCATTTTCCAGAAAAAATGTCCTTTTTGTCCATTTGTAGAATTGTGGTTGATTGAGTTAGCGGAGTTATTTGACTGCTGTCTTCTTGCATTGCCATCATTGTCAGAGATAATACTGTTTACCAGAATTATCTGTTAGTGGACAGCTGTGATAGAGATTGATGTCCAGCAATAGTAACATCAACTGTCAGCTTATACTCCGCTTTAATAGCTTTCAGTCACAACATGTCCACAGCCTGTTGCCCTCTAAAATAACTCGCAATTATTGATGTCAACCACATCACATGTCAGCCAAAACAATGTTCTTGACATTAAAGGTAACAGTTACAATAAAAGTTTCGAGTGAAAAATGATGTCTTTCTTTATTTTTGGTTTAAATGATGATGTGTGATTTTGTTTTGAAACAATGTTTGAATAATTAGGTTGGACATACATTGTACTTTTAGTCCATTTTCATGCCCTTTTGGTCATATGGTTAGAGACTACAAATTTCAGATATGTTGGCAAAATATTTATGACCTACTTGATGTCACTTGATGCGATTTGTCTTTAAAATAATCCAAGTATATTATCCCATCATAACATTAATGTATAAACTTGACTCATAAATTCTTTGGTGTTAGATGAATAAAGCTGTCATTAGTGACCATTTTAACTGTAAAGAGATAGGCTTGCACTAATATTTGTTGAAAATGTCTGCCATTATTTCAAAGGCAGAGTTATAGGACACTCTACTGGGACATGAAAATATATACTGGTGCATTAATTTACTCCACTCTTAGACAGTGTTATTACTGTAACAAAGTTACTTTCCTTGTCATTGGCTGTAAATAAATTAACAGAGCACTGCACATGTAATTTGTCTCTGAAACATTACAGAAAATCATTATAAAGGGGAAATTGGTTTACTTTATTTTTAAGTAGTTTGATTTGTAAAATTACAGTATATAGTCTATGTAATAAAAATTTTTTGACTAAAAAATATTTTTTCCCTCCCAAGACCAAGATCATGGCCTGCACTGTTTACTATTCTTTCAATTTTCCTGTAATATATTGTTTGATTTTATTAACCTGTCAATTCCATACTCATTATACGGTCAATGCACAGAATATATTAATATTCGATAAATGTTCGGTAAATTCCGTGAGAGGTACGCAGTAAGATGTGATTAAATTCATCTTGTTTATATGAATTAGATACACTGACCGTTATAGCGCAATAGGGTAAACCACGGGTATATAATATCAAAATGTCCTACATCATGTAAGATCGAGACAGTGTATGTCCAGGGTTTTTTTCTTATTCATAACTATTTTCAATTTTTCTGAAGTTATGGTTGTTCTGTTTTTAATATGTTTGTTGTACTCTTTTGTAAATACTTTATTTTTGTATATTATTGATACTGAAAATTCATTCGGATTATAATCAATAAATGTAATTTCAGTGCCGTAAAATACCATACAAAATGTGACAATTCAGTGTTTCTTAGTTGTTTCATTCCGTGTAGACATTTTTGCAAGCGCTTGACAATTTTCTTTAAAATATACCTAAAATAAAGAGAGAATAAGTCTAAAAAGAATGTCAAAAAAAGGGATCGAACCTCGGACCTCTCATACATTAGGCAATTACTTAACCGACTGTGCTATTGCGGATGTTACGAGAACCTTCATTAAGTTAGTGGGAGTTTTCCAAATGTTAGTGATATACTCCATATTAATTCTCGTAAAATAAACGGACAAAACCGAAGTGGGATCGAATATTTAAATGAGTGCTATAATGTATTCATTATTGACAGGTCAATAAAATCAGACTATAAAAGTCCAAACACTGAGAGATGGACAAGTCAGTCTGGTGGTCTATCTGGTGAGGGTTAAAATAAAAGTGCTTATAGACCTGCTGTTCATGTGTTGGCTGTATATTGTGATAATCATACTGCAAGTTGGGATATACGCAGATTTAATTTTGTTTATCAAAACGGCTGGTTTATCCAAATAAAAAAAAAAATAAAAAAAAAAAATGTATCTTAATAATCTACGTCTAAAACTTTGAAAATTTGTATGCTTTGTATAATGCGTTGTTTTATGTTTATGTATTTACTTTTGTAAAATTGTATTAACATGTATGTATGAGAAAGTTCAAAACATGAATTAATCTGTTCTTTTCTGTTGATTTTTGGAAATATGTGTCAAATATCACTGTAAATAACTCCATCTGAAATACAAAGAAGAAAAAAAACTTATATCCCAACTTGAAGTGAAATTAAATATCATATACAACGAACCGGTATAAGTTAACATCTTTATTTAAAATAACATGATAAGAAAAGAACGTGAATTTTTGACAGATTTGTTTCATTTCAATTTTATTCTTTTGTATATTTTTTACAGTTAACCTCTATAGTATATCCTACAATTACCTTAATGGTATAAAAAATCAGTCTATAAATATTGTGTTCTGTAATTATTGTACATTGCCTAATGCCTCCAGTGTAGACAGCTCAGGATGTCGCAGCCAGTCTATATATAGCATGTTATGACCAGAACAAGATGACCATAAGATTTACTGTGCTACTGTTGTTTCTTAAGTTTGCTTTGTTTTAGTGTAAAACATGTGCAAGTTTTGTGACTGATACATGTGCAAATCAAGGGAAGGAAAATAACTAAAACAGTCCGCCGCAATTTTGGTCTCGTAAGGTTTCAAGAATTGAAGCAGATATTTGAAAAACAGTGTTTGAATTATTGTTCAGTGTATTCAAGATATAAAATGAATATATCTAGAAGCTAGTTATACAATCAGGATGTTTACCTTAATTTAAAAAAGGAAAATCGCTATTTAGATGCTTTACTATAACCTTTTTCTGCATCAACTATTATAGTGTCTGTCAAATGTAATGATTGTTAACCCATACTGATTGACTTCTTTAATGTCATTCAATTATGAGCGTGTTTTATTAAGATCTTGCACTGTACAGCACATTGCTTACTTTTTTTCTTGTGCATGCATTTTAATTAGGGTCCCGCAATGGTAAGTGGATGGCATCCTTCTCCTTTACGGTATGGCTATGTAGCCAGCTTCAACCTTGCCTCTCTACAATAGTAGAATAATAGACACCCCAATCTCTGAGATGATGGCATTCTGCTGAGTTTATACACCCGTTTAGGTCTAGTTTAATACCATTTGCACAGATATTTCAGGACTGTCCAATATCAATTGTATTGAAACTTGAAAGGTATTTAACTGCTAATTTGATGTCCAGGAGATGTTCTGCTGAAAGTAAAGTAGTGTTTGACAGATTAACAAAAACTTGGTATAGTGCCTTCATTTCAGGGTTTGAAGCCTGCAAGCTTAACTTAGATTAAGTAGATTCATTGATTGACATAGAAATGTCCGGTAACAAATGAAAGTACTGCTTGTGCAGCTGATGGCCCCCATCTCTACCTCTCTCTGTGTCTATCTCTGTAGTTCTAACTTTAGATATGTCTGCTCTCTTGCTTGTGTTTGTTTACTTTGTGTTTCTGTGTGTGTATGTGTTGTGAAATATTAGATTACCTTGATAGTGTGTGTTTGTGTGTGTATAGATGCTTTAGTTCTCTGTATAATTCTTCTTCTTAAAAAAATGCCCCAAAAAGCTCCACCTGCCATCCAATCATGAAAACATGATATTTATCAAGGACATCATCAGTAATCATCTATGTTAAAGACACATCATTTCTCACTTAATGAACTGTGAATTGTACTCTTGTTCATGTAGTAATGTGCTGCCAACAATGCAATCTTGTATATGTTGAAATAAGTTGATTAGTTGTCAGCTACAACAACTGTTTAAGAGATAAAAAAGAAAGTTGGTTTGATGTCAGTCTGGCAATAACTTATTGTGACCAGTACAGAGCCAGACTAGGCTGTTCTTCTATGTGCAGTTTTATCAAACTCTTCACGGTACCGTTGGCTGCTCAAGTTAAGCATTAAATGAAACTTAAAATAAAGTGTAAAATAAATGTATTTGGTCAGTTCCAAAAACGAAGCAGGTTGGTCTGTTGTAAAATTGTAGCTATGTAAAGGTTAATTACAGGCATTATTTTGTGATGAAGCAATTAACAATATGCTAGGCACATTCTTGTCACATCCCAAGCGATACATTTCCATAGTTAATCACGATTCCATTTCCTTCATTATTGTCATTCTACTCGTACATGCCATTTGAACTAATTATTTTTCTCTGCAATTTTTTATCTGATTTTTATTATTCAATAAAAGAAAGCGCTTGCTAGCTGAGAATTAACTGAGGAGAAATGATGACCCTATTGACAACAATTTCTTGTTTTTATGAGGTTTCCTGAGTGATGTAAATGTTATGTTGGTCATAAAACGTGCTCCGAGTTACTAGGGGACCACTTGTTTTATCAACAGATAAATTATAAGAAAAATAATTGTTTTGTTTACAATATGAAATTCTTTTTTGCTGGTTTTCACAATAGTTTTCTAGGGTAGGAATAAATAAAGGGCATAATTATATAGGCTGTTTTAAATTATCTTAACTTAATTTATGGTTATATGGCATTACTTTAGGCAAAATGTCAACTTTATAGATAAAACGAAGTGTAACTTTGTAACAATTTAACGGTTAAATCCTTTTGTGTTTGAATAGTTTTAAAGTAAATATTTTCAAACAGATAAAACAAATAGCAGTGAATCTACATGTGAAGAGAATGATGAAAAGAGTAAGTATATAAAGAGGCGAATGTTTGAACCACAAAGCCTGAACTCCGGTCACTGAGTTCCTGAACTGTTACAAGCTTATTGCAAGAAAAACAGCTTGCATACACACTTGAGAATGAGTGAACAAAATATGCACTCAAAAAATTTGCATAAATTCCGTTTCAAGTTTCCCCCATTTCTGTTGTTCTTGGCATAGATCGGAATGTTTAGAAAATATGGTAAAAACTGCACTCAGCTCAGTGATGCACAAATACACCCTCAGGTTCATATGAGCAATTTCTTACAGCTTCATAGTCTACAAAAGCTCCTTTCATCTGTTTTCCATAATTAAGAGCATTGCAAATATATGTTACAGAATAAAAACATTTTGTAAATCTTTTGTCTCTTGTAGCCCTGTTAGTTGTTGGATCATTTAACTTTGTGTAGATTTAACTTCTGTTATAATACATCTTACCACTTCCAAAAAAATTAATTGCAGCTGAAAATTGCAGCTTAGGCATAATCTCGGCACGCAAAAGGAATGTCATAGGATCATGCAGGATTTTTTTTATGACCATTAATTTTCTGTTAGTCGAATTTATTTCTGCTAGTTCTTAACATAGCAAATTGTATAAGTTTTGTAAAGTAGAATTTTTCAGTTTTTAATAATAATTTTGTTTTAAGTTCTTTTAAGGTATATAAAGCAGCAGTATAAGCTTAAAACAGCTCGTGTATTTTTAGGGGAGAGCAAAAATTGGTGCAAAATTGATTTAAACATTAAAATTTTATGAATGTTTTATGCTGTTGTAGTTTAATTAATCCATATCTTGCTGGAATTGAATGGAATTAACCTATGTCATCAGTATAGAACCAAACCATTGTGCACATCACATCTCTGCAGTCTGACCTGGCTCTATTCTGTTGGCTGATCAATTCAAAATTTTCACCCGGATTATATATCACGAAATTAATAATGGAACAGTTTCAAAAATTGAATTATAGACAACTATTGTATTTGAGAATTTCAGCAGGTTATGGGATATTAACACTTGGTTTATTCATGTAATACTTTCTGTAGTAATTCTATGAATGTTTGGCATTCTTAGGACAACTACAGATTTTATCACATGCATAAACTCATGTTTATTGTAGTATTCAAAAGAAAACATTTTTTTCTGGGAAAAAAAGATTACAATTAAACGCTATTTATTTTGTGAACATTAAAAATGGCATAATTGTTTATATAATTAATGAATGCTTTAGAATGGTTCTATGTAAATACAACAAGTATTTATTGATTATGTAGAAATATGAAATTTTTTCATCATTTTAAAATCGTTTGTATTGTTTCTGCTGTATCTTTGCAGTGAAGCCTGCAAGAGGTATAAAAGTGTGTACCTAGATGACATCAGCTACTAAACTGTTCTCGCATAATCATTATTAAATCATAGGTTGCTAAGTCATAATCAGCGGCAGATCATTGCAAAACTAACCTCTTTATTGTTGTTTGAAATTTTCATTTTTGCATAATTTTTTACCGTACAAGATGGTTTTATATTGGCTAGTTTGTTTTTTTGTGTCTGCGTATATTTTTTCTGCAGTTTAACAAGAGGATGGCAAAGTGTGTGGCTGTTTTATTCTCACCAGATTTGTGTCACCTGTGTAAAATGTATTCTTTACAACAAATTTTGAATAAACAAAATTGTTTAATACTTTAATTAAGGTCTTGATGACAGATAGTTGTTTCATGTTTTAAATTAAGGTACAACTGAACTGTGCTGCAAGAACACAAATTATTGTTATATTTGTTCAAATAATGTTTAGATATTTTCATTCTGAACTATATCTGGCAGTGCTAAAATGGCTTTTCATTATGTATATATGTATCTGAAGATTTTAGGTATTTTGCGTTGACATTTATGTTTTTAGTTTTATCCTGACCTTTATAAAGTTCTGTTTTAAGGAACACAGGTGACATGAATAATCCTTCATAATGACTTTTCCAAGAATTTTTTCCCCCTCAATTCCCAATCAGAAACTTATTGACTGCCAATGATCACTTTTTGCACAGGTTTTTTTCCTGCATCACAAATACAGACGAGCACCAGACATTTCTCTACACAAAGCCACATTTGACATTTTAATACCAGAAACTCACTAATTCCTATGCTTCCTGTTTCCAAACACCTTAATAAAAAGAATTGTTTTTAGTGGAAGTAATATATTTTCTTTAGTGAATTTATTCTTCATTGCGGCTAAAATTGTAGTAATAATGTATTAGAGATCTTTATTTAGAGTCAAACTTTGTCAGAATCTGTAGAGATTGTTATTTTTAGACAATAACTGTCGAATGATTAGTTTGCTTTGTCATTCACTTATTTCACATTTTTTGTAAGTAATATGTATATGAATAGATAATGCACAAACATAGATAAACAAGAAGGCATGTAGGTGTGTTAATTTTATCGATGTATATATATTAGAATATGCCAGAATATTGTGTGTTTTGAATGTTAACGTAATCCAGGTAATAAAGTTTTTTAATAGAGAATTACTGCTGATATCATCATTAGCAATGGCTGAATGTGTAGATTTCAGTGTATATATATGGCTGCTGTATAGTGTCCATGTGGCTGATTATGGCACCGTCCCCCACCCATTTGCTGTTGTGTGTAATCATAATATAATCGTGTACATGTACGGAAAATACTGTCGAGTCTGAGAATTATATTTTTCCCTTCCCGACAATTTGACTTGTATTGCTAAAGAATATATGAGATAAACGCTATAGGAGAAATTGATTTCTTCTTGACTAGTGTTGTCTTCTTTCACCACAGAAGCATGCAATTGACTTGAGGTTGATAATCGGATAAGCTAACACTGGGAGAACAATAACTGACAGCTGCGACATGGCATCCGCTACATTCAATTTCTAGTATTTATTATATCAGTGTCACAAAATACCTTTTAGATTGGAAAAAAAATAGCTTTACAATTTGTTTTTGCTTTTGATCAATTATATCATCGTTACAATTTAATAGGTCAAATTTCTTGTTTTGTTCAAAATGATATAATTATTAAATTACAATATTGTAGTTAATTGATCAAGTAAATGATAAAGATCTTTTTTTGCCCGTAGGTGTTTGTGTTATTTTTCATCAAGGTATTTCACAATACATGTATGATATGTAGGTGGAGGAATACTGAATGGTTTCTTCACACAACTTATTTTTCATGTGTCTTTGGTCATTTGGATATGTTTTTGTTCCTTTTCCTTCTCTGTTTTTATCCATTTATTGAATGGTTTAAAGATACATTTGTTATAATATAGTGGGTGCCAAGAGACTTTGTCAGTTTCTTTCCTGTGTCAGTTTTATTCTAGCAAGCATGCTTATCTGTCAGACGATGGTTACAAACTTAGGCAAACACAATGACAATATTATGAAATAACTTGTCCAAAATTCCTTCACATTGCCAAAGTTGCTTAGCTGAGCTCTAAAAGAGCTTTATAAGTGATATATTGTGGTTATTATTCTCGGATGATCCATACAAACAATGATACAAATAGTGGTCACATTATGAGCAACAATTTAGTGTGATATAGAATTGTAATACTGGTCAAAGCAGCAGAAATCCAGTGCTCTTAATTCAACATTGACTATAAGACAAAAGAAGAATCCAAATCATGCAAATGTCTTTCAAACATGGTTAAAAGACTGCTGGCTAACATCTTTTGTCACACCTCTTTTATTAGAATATAAAAAAATATTGTTTGCTCTTTTTGAAGTTTAATGGCATCAAGAATAGTAGACCGTTAAAGAAGACACAAGCCCAAAGTAACGATTGCTTGCATAAATAATTAAATATATAGGATATGAAGTATTCAGTAGGGAGTTCTGAATATTGCAGCTGTAATTAGGAACTAAGAGATGACCAAATAATTACAATGGATAAATAATGATATGGCTAATTATAAATGGGTGAAATAATATTCTCTGCATCCATCATATATATATCACTGTATACAATGTTGTACTACCAGTCCCCAAGCCTACTGTGTGGTTTGCACTCAATTAATACATGTGTCTACTAATATGATGTATAAAATTGTTAAATTTACAATATAAATGTATATTGATACACTTATTTATGCTGGTTAAAGTGACTTATACAAGATTTTACATTTAAGACTTTCAATTTACAAATTTTTGCATTGCAAATATAAGTAATGTTTTCTTAAAAGTCTGTTTAAACATTATCAAACTGCTAAACTTTAATCGTCATAGCTCAAATAATATAATACACAGTCTTAAGTTTTATAACTCTACTGTATATTTTTCAAAAAGTTTTAAGTTCAATGATAAATATTTGATATAATCATTCTGTTATATCTTAAAGTCAAATGTTGTCTGCAGTACACTATTGTATACAGTGATTGACATGATGTTGATGATATAACAGTTGACATTCAGAGAGGGAGAGAGACAGAGCGAGTGCTGATAAATTTGCTATAAAATTCCATTTGTAAATTAGCTACTGGGAATCATTTCATACAATTAGTATTGATTCACTTTTGTAAGGTTTTATTCAATATTGCAAAATAAACATGCTTATATATTGATTAGTTAGTGTCATCAGCATTAATGCAGCATTTATATTTTCACAGGTGGAGCAGTAGCAGCTAGAAAGGAAGTCATACGAAACAAAATAAGAGCCATTGGCAAGATGGCCAGGGTATTTACAGTGTTACGGTTGGTACAATTTTGTGAAATCCAAACTTACCTTAAGAATATATATGAACCGTGCCATGACAAAACCAACATAGTGCATTTGCCACCAGCATGGATCCAGACCAGCCTGCGCATCTGTTCAGGATCCATGCTATTCGCTTACCAACTCTATTACAAGTAGAGAAACTGAGAGCGAACAGCATGGATCCTGATCAGACTGTGCGGATGCGCAGGCTGGTCTGGATCCATGCTGGTCGCAAACGACTATGTTGGTTTTGTCATGACGCGGCATTACAATGAAAAAAATCCCAATTTTGTTAATTGTAAATGACATCTGACATATAAATTAAACAACAGACGTTTCTTAAGCTTTTAATTTAAGACCAGTCTTAGAATTCAGATTGCTCATTTTCAATTTTTATTCAGAGATAACCATTGAAGGCTTTGAATTGAGACTGGTTTCTTAGTTCTTTAGGCATTGGTTTTAGTGGCAAGCATATGCATTATGAAATGTAGTCGCTAAGCTCTGGGAAAGAGGCATTGGCTTTGTATGATCCTATCTATAAAAGGAGCAATTCTTTAACAAGATTATAGATTAATCCATTAATAAGATCAAAGGGGTAGAGCAAAATCACCATGTCTCAGAAGCCTATGTTGGCATTTAGTTTCTTTTAGGATCTGGTCAATTATTAGCATTTCAATTGTGTTAGTCAAGTAGGTAGCTTCACTTCACTATCTTTAAAAACATAATGACATTAAATGTTCATAATTACTTTCAAACCGGAAAAACTTAATTATGCAAAGAATGCGTAGATTGTTAAGGGAATTGATTAAATTGTTAATTTAAGTATGAACCTTTGATCTTGTTTGCTTTAAGCATGAGGAATCTAAAGACATGTCTTCCGTATAAAAGGCATGTTAGAAATATGATAGCAAAATGTGAAAACATTATAATAAGATTTAGGACATCATTCTGATTAAGCTTGACATGGACGTCTCTAGAGAGTTTAACTTTTAACTGTATGAAGTGTTTATCTTTATGGAACCTTCACAATCTTTTGATGCTTTCAGCCTATTTGGAGTCTTTTGCATTTAAGATATAATCAGAAAAAATGATTGTTGTGGCCTTGGGGGAGTATTGAACTTTTTCCTCCATTTGTGAATTAGATAGTTGCTAAGTTTCAGATGTCTTCCAAAATTGAAAAGAAATTATCCATTATACAAAGTAGGAAATGAAAAATAATTTTTAAGTGTTAAGACAAATATTCTACGAGACATGATAGGAAATTATATTTGTTTAAATCTAGAAAAGAAACAGAAACTTGATTAGCTCCGTGCTTTCCTATATTTTCTTATGCTAAATTTTTTGGTAGCCAATAATTAACTTGTTTTTGTGTACATGCATTTATTATGTCCTTTAATACAAAATTATTACATCACTACCTGTTTGAAAAAGAGCAGAATTAAGGGTGATCTGGAAAATGTTTACAGTTTGTCTCCTTTACATATGTCAGCAGGTTCAACTTCAATTGAATTAAAGTTTTTTATTTTTAGTTTTCCCTTTGGGAAATGACATAAAAGCAAAGGTGTTCTATGGATACTTTTATATAGAATTATTTATGTTGTTATATTACATTAGAATGGTAACACTACTCTTAGTTTTAACCTTTTAAAACATTTCGATGGTGTTATTGTGTACATTACAGTTACTCTATCACACTAGAATATATAATGTATCTAGCTTTTAATGTCTGCAGGGTTGTAAGGGGTGAATAAATGGGTTTGAATAACTGGAGTCTAGGCATCTCTTAGCGCCCAAAGGTGATATGGTTTTGACCCCTGGTGTTGCTTTAAATTTTGTAACACCAGAGGTTTACCATAATCATCTTCCTGTTTCGGTGCCATATGACCTGTACATTGTTGGTACACCTTAAAACCAACCAAACAAACAGCTTTTAATGTCTTCATATTCATTTACCTTATAAGATGAAATTAGGACACCTTATCCAGTGAAGTCAACACATTACGCTGTTTAAGGATTTTTGTAAACCCTTTTAAAATATAATGTATGTATTTTGTCCAGATAAAGAGGGGGAGGTGGAAATAACTCTTATCATACCTTGCAATGTATCTAAGACGGTGAATATGCAGATACTATTATCATGCCTTAACTTTATGATTGTCCCTAGTCTGCCAGAAAATGCAGTTTTATCATTCAGTGAGAAAGCTTTCTGTATTCATACATAGAAAGTAGACCCTGGAGACTTTGATGTGTTGTAGTTTCTCATCCGTACAGGCCACCTTACATACAGCTTCCATAAATCTTTTATATCTCTCTCCAGAAAACTCTGTGTTTATTGTCAGCAATCAATAGCTAGCTGGCAATATTGTCTGTCAGTATTTGTTTAGATGAGTTTTATTTACATTAAAGCTTATGTAACAATAGCTTGATTGTGGCATTATTGAAAATTGTGACCAGTATGTTTGCTGAATTTGATGCTTTCCAGCTAGCAATCAATAGCAATTAGCGATAATTGTCAATTACAATAGAAATAATCGTTGTTTATATGCTCCCTTTAAAAGCATAGAAGAACCCACTATCTTCACTTATGTGTAATACCCTGGAGAAATTTAGAGGCCTGTTCAACTATCATATAAAAGATGGGCCGTGTAATGAAATCTATATTCTGGACATAAATGAGGTAATATTTGGAAGCTTTGAGAAATATAAATGAAATAAACTTAATTCTCTGGTCATGATTTCCTCTTGGAATGTAGAATAATGAGAATTTGGTCTGTAGGGGATTAGGTCAGGAAACTAAACAGAGCAGGCCAGAATATTGTAGACTAAAATAAAACAATAAGATGAATATTGACATTATGACTTTTCATCATGTGTAAGATTGTTTGATACCATACTTGGCATAGGTACTTCAGAGAGAAAAAAGCATTTTTGCAAATATAGATGAGAAATTATCCTATAGATTCCATATAAATGTTCCAGAATGAAAGAATAAAACTGTTCAATAATAACAGTAGGAAAAGATGCCAGAATCTCAAAATATCACTTTGTCATTTACACTACAGATTTAGACTTCTAGACGGCAGAAAATTCATTTGAGCATTGTAATATTTCTGAAAAGTCTCCCATCTTTTTGGAACAGACTAGCGCCAGGTTTATGTTGTATTCGTACTGTCTTGAAGACAGATTATTATACAATAGTGCTGATATATTATTAAGTGTTGAACAAGAATTCATTTTCAATCTAGCTAGACATTCATCAAACATTCATTTCCTAACAAGATAGGTATTGTGTAAACATTGACATTAATAGATAAATGCAGTCTGTCTGGCTTACATGTACTCACTCCAATCTATTCTCATGTAAGTTTTGCTCTTACAGCATTTCTTAACTTAGTAGTTAGCATGCGCTGTCAATTCTGTATCTCTGTTTACATGTATCAAGGAGTCCATTCGAGACCAAAGAAAGTGATTTTTCTTTCCACTGGTGTCATTTTCCACATTGATTTCTATTTACACCCATGTCAGGAAGTATTTTCCTTTAAAAAGCTTTGCGGTTGAGCTTTTATGAATTTGATAAAGCAACAATTGGTTGTCATATAATAATGTTAACTTTATTTTGTTACAGAGAAGAAAGTGAGAGTGTACTACAGCTTAAGGGTCTAACCCCTAATGGTCTGCTACCACTCGGAGCCCTGTCTGGAGGCAAAGATACACTCAGTAGTGGTATGTATATATAAACATCTTTCCTAACATGTACCCTAAAAGTATGTAATGGACCAAACTATGAATTTAGACATTGTAATCTTCACATTCAAGTGTTTGACTATCAAGTAAAACAGGTAGCCTGGTCAAACTACACAATTGTATTTGCAGTCTGATGAGGGGCCAAGCGTGTCATCCCCTATCAGCTGTCACACTCATAACAGTGAACAATCCAAGTGCTCAGAGTTTACAAAAGCTAATAAATTTACATGAAGGACAAGATTTCATACTTGTCAATGTTTATAAAACATTCTATCTTAAATTTGTTGATTTATTTTGTCTCCACATACAAGTTTTTGAAGCATTTAAACATGATACATGTACATCAAGCATATAAAATTTCAAATTCTGAGATAAGAATGAAATATAAGAAGATTCATGTTCTCCTGACTATGTAATTGTTACGTAAACTTGTTAACATTTTGTATGCTCTTGTAGCTGCTATTACCATAAATTTAGACTGTTTCTTTCAACATGCTTTCATTGATTGAAAGTAACCAGTGAAGCACATGAAACTGTTAAGATATATAGCTTGAAAGAAAACGATAAATCAGAGGTGTTCATGTCATACTGAAGGATTGGCTAACATCTATCAAACTTGAGTAGATCTAAATGATCAGCTTTGTTTTACTAGTTCTATATTAGGAAATCTCATTGAACTTGTACAAGAAGGTCATGTTCTATATATAATAAAACATTGGCATGTAGAATTGAACGTTTAATACTTGTACATGCATTGATGAGCATTAATTTGCCACAGTTAACTAGTTTGTGAGTTAAAATGTTTTAAACCATCTATGTACTAATTTACATCTGAGGTTGCTTTGCTTCTTAGTTAGAATTTTTATCTTCAAAGCTGTAAGATCAAATATTTAACCTTGCACATTTGATATCATCTGTTTTTCATATACATCTCCATTTAAAATCAGTTTCTGTTTTCAACTTACGATATAGACATTCATTAGAGTCTTTTTCTATTTAGCTGAGTAGGCTGATCTTGTTGTTTAATTTAAATCTGAAATAAAGCATTATTTTCAACAAAAGACTAGGCATTTATAAATCATTGTCTTTTTTAGGAACTTGTTTAGGAATATAACAAATCCATCTTAAGTCCTTATTAAATCTGGTGACTTTATTAAGAAGTAATTTTATGTTTGAACTGATAAATGAGATTATTATTGTAAGAGACTTCCATGAAATTTGTTTACATTTCATATTTCAGCGCTTGGTGGATTTAATCCCTCACACAAAATAAGTGGCTTTGAAGAGGCAAAATCTCTGGATAAATTGAATGAACGCATGCCGCCTCGTAAAGAAGTGCAAGTGAACAATTCCACAAAGAGCTAGGAGAACAAAACATGTTTAAGATCGAATGAGAAGGCTCTTCCTTAGAAAACAACGCAAAACTTAACAGTGAGCTTAAAGCCATTCTGAACAGTTAAATAAACTAGTATAATAATGGACGAAGAAGCTTTTTGGACAGGGTATGCTGCCTTGCAAAGTTGGTTCATTAAAAGTTAAACTGAGGGTGGTGTAGTTCATGACTGGATGAGATTTTTGTATCACCTCAGGGGAGGGCCTTGTACTGCTCTGCTCATTGCAGGGAGTATTTTCTACAAATTCTGCTGAACATGGAGATATTGCCTAGTACTGTATGTGAATGTTTTAACGTCATTTTCTGGGACATTGTCGCTACATTTTACTTTTACCATGTCACTGGAAATTTCATGGCGTTTTTACTTGATTGACATTGTACAGTTATGATCTACAAAAGTTGACTTTCATCTAGTCAAAGTTGATATTTTTCTACTTTGTTATTGTTGGTTCCGTGTTTTTTCTGTTATGCAGGCAGGGTTAGTTGAAGTGGTATGTGATGAAAGTGTTAGAAGAATAAGATGTGATCAAATGACCGCTCGGAATCCCTCAACATGGCAGCACTGAGGGATCACTTGGGTCAGATGAGATGTTACTTCAACCTGTCTGGCATTTATACTTAAATACATTTTTTTTGATCAAATAATTCATATTGCTCCAGTTGCACTTCAAGAGCAGAAAGAGAAACGTAGAAACACATGAGAGTGATATGAAAATACATTTTTTTTTCTTGATTATTTATTTTTCATTTGAATCAAGAACTGATCTGTTGTTGTTTTACCTCCTGTAGCTGCTCATCAATAGTTTGGCATCAGGATTTATTTGTGTACTTTTCATCATATCATTGTAAAGTTCTGGTAGTGAATGTCAAACTGTGATTGTATACCCCCCAACAAAAAAGACAGAACTGTTTGAAATTGCCGAAAGGGATTATGGTTTCTACTTAGTCAACACAGTTTTAGTTTTCAGTGTTAGTTGACTAGTACCTGGCAGATATAATAATGGACATTAGTTCATACAGAAATATTTCACACAGCTTCAACTTAGACTGGAGAGTAGACAACATCCATCTTCATTAGTATATAACCAAGTTGTGTAAACTATTTATTTTTAGTTTATTTGTATAACATATAACTGTTGAACAATTAGACAATTTAGACTTTCGTCTATCAAATACTGATTAATATTTTGTAGAAAATCTAACTGATGTCTTAGTCTTTACTTATGGTTAAATAACAACAATATAACGAAGTGAACAAAAAAAATTTTTTGAACAAGTATCATTCCTTATTTGTGAGAAAATAACCTGTGTAAGTTATATATTTAATGGAGGGTGAATCTGTGTAAAGGATTGTTATTTTATCAGTGTTTTGGTTTGATTATCTCCCCCTGTTTCTCCTCCCTCCCTATTTGATACATGGCTGTGATACAACAGTTTGTGTGACCTTTGTGTATTATTATCGGGCATAATTACACACTGGCCACATATATGTCAACACATATGTATAAATATGCTATTAGTGAATGAGTGCAGCTTTTTAAATTTTTTCTATGTGTATTTAATTATTTTGTATGGTAATTGTTTGTATTGTATAAATTTCTTGGATCTTGAATATGGTAGTGTGTGGATGTGAACATTTTACAAACATAAAAAAGTTGTTACATGCAAATATTCAGTTGCTCTGTTTTGATGTTAATTTTTGTTTTATTAATTACTGTTGGAACATTGCAGTGAATTTAACATGAAAGTGTAAACATTGTTAGATTGTTATTTAGGCATTAGAATATATATAGGTAAAGTTAAAAAGTATTGGTTATGGTTGACCTAGTTGATATAAAGGTGATGCACAAGGCTTCCAAGTTTTAGAGGTCAATAGTCTGTATTAATAAATCATTCTATAACTTAATTGGGATTGTAGTTTCTGTTATAGTGAAACAAGTGACAGGAGGATTTTTGAACCCATATTGTCTGTCTGTCTGTCAGTCTACCTGGAAAGTTAATGAAAAGGTGTAACAAACTTTTAGTCATACATGTGCAAGGTGAACAAAAAAAAAGTAGAATAAAAACCATCCAAGAGCAAGTATACCCAAATTTTATAAGTTTATTAACGCAACGTGTAAAAGTCTCTTGCCTTAGTCTAACCCTGTCCTGACATTTTGATTCAGGTGGACAAATTAAGATTAGTGGCGTTTTATCTTTATTACATATATTGTATACATTTTTTTTTAAGAATAATCAATTCTAAAAGGAGATTAATCTTTTTCTTGGTTTGTACTGCAGAAATTATAGACACATAATAACTTCATTTGTTAAAGCCATGCTTCTTGTTAAAGTCATTATTCCTTTCTTCAGATATAATCTTTGATATTATGCATAAAGCTTTGCATTAAAAAGCCCATTTCATTTCACTAATCAATATTTGTGTTTTTTGGTACCTTCTGTATTTTATTGTGCTCATTTTAAAATGCCATCATACTTTGACATTTAAAAGTTTAATTTCCAGATTATATAGCTTTAATGTAGCCTTGCATAATTTATTATTTGTTTTAAAATGTAGCTGTTTTTACTGAAATATTTTGTAAACAGTTTGTGTAAATCAAAGCTTTTATATGAAGCACCTGTCTATAAGAAACAATTGGATATGAATTATTTTGTTTATAGAGCAGTCAAAGCATTAAGCTATGTACTGTGGCATTACTTGAAGTGGCTGTAACTTTTTCAATTTATGATTTTAATTATTGTTAGTAACTTTTATAAGGTTTACCTCCTTAAAGGTACCTATTAAATGTATCAACCTCATATGGCTCCCACCTTGTATCATTATTTCTTATCTATGGTATATCCCATGGTCTGAGTGGTTAAGCTCTCTTTACTTTAAATGACATGCTCCCGGCTGCTGTGGGTTCAAATCCTGTCAGGGATTTCTGAAATATTTCATGTGAGGAAGATATTGAAAGGTTTGTGGTTCTGCATAGGTGCCATTTGTGCCTGAAATAATGAAGGAAGGGGCACCCAAGGTCTTCTTCCATTAGTAAAGCTGCAAAGTTGCTTATGACCTTAACAGTGTTTGTGACTTAAAACCCATTAAAATGAGATTATTTCCCAGTATGAAATACTATCATGTGTACAATTTATAATTTTTTAGCCTTATTTCTTACCGGCCATGTTCTACTTAAAACAACAACAATTATTGAAGTTCAATGCCAATAGAATATTCCAGGCTTTGTGTATGATTAAATTACATTTTGTATACAGATTTTTATTTGAATTTTATGGTAGATGATACATAATTACTAAAAAAATAGGTTATAATTACATACATTAGACCAAATAATGTAATATTGTAGTTTAATTAACAAGGGGAGTATGGAATTTCTGATCAATATAATGTTACCTATTTATTATAGAGTGCATACTTGTTTATTACTTGTTTTGTTACTGTTTTACTTATTATTATGGTGGTAATTATTTATGATTTTGAATTTTCATTGATATTGTCTAATTTCAGTAGAAATTAGAAAAACCTTAATTTGAATGTCACCAAGCCTTATTTTGCATTTATGAGAAATGAAAAAAATTAACAACATGTTTGTTCACTATTTATTTCACAGACATGTGTATTTTTGAAAAGCTATAGAAAGGTAGATTTAGGTTGAAAGGAATCCTTGGCTATAGAAACCCAAAATACTTACATGATTTTAGTGTGTACTGCATTTAATGGTGAGACACAAAGGGATGAAAATAGATAGATAAAATTATCAAGAAACACATGTTAATAAAAGTGCTGACGGGTGTACAGTTATTTTTCAAATAGATTTTTATTATAAAATTAAGGTGCAATATATATAGATATGTGTACAGTATGCATTGTTACATAGTAAAATATTCTCCTGTTTTTGTTTTGATTTTTGAAATTCTACTTATAGATACAAAATGGGCAAAATGAAACATTTTTCTTTATATTTTCATGTTTATAAATAGAATATATGCTAATGATAATAATAATAATAGTTATATCATTGTTAATATAAAAGAGATTGGGTGTTGGTATTGAGCTAGATGAGTAAATGCTTTGATGAAATAATTTTTTGTGCTAACTTGTTATATATAGCAGGTTTTTGAAATTCCATTTATATTTTGTAAGTCTTGTTGAATGACTAAAGTATTGTGACTTTTCTTGGCAATCTCCTCTCGACACTGACTTTTCCCTTTCAATCAAAACATACATGCTTCAAGTATACAGAAAGCTATAAAGTTTTTTCTAAATAAGGTAAAAGATATTGTTAAAACTGTATACCATTTGGATTTTGAATTCCAGATGCTTTAGTTATTAAAAAAAAAGAAGAAATTGTTTGCTATATATTTTTTTGAATGATATTGTATGCATTGTTTTTGTGTTAAGTAACATAATAAATTGTTTTACTATTGTACATGTCAACCTGTCATCTGTTTTGACACCATATGAAGTTTGGTGATAATCATAGGAATTATCTTGAATTGAAAAAAAAAATCATTACAACCACTTTGCACTGTGTCATCAATTTGTAAATGCTCACTTCTATGTTATGTATATCTTGAAGTAAAAAAAAACAACAAAAAATTGGGGAAAAAAACAACAAAAAAAACACCCTCCTAACAAAATAACTCACCTGTATCCATACATGTGAACTCTCCCACTTTAGGCGGGAGACTCCCACTTTTTTCAGCCATATTTTCAAAGATTTTTCTTAAAATAAGGGGTATTTTCACAAATTAAAGAAATCTCCCTATTTTTGATGTCAGAACTTCCTTCTTTGTTTATTGCAAATTCTAAAATCTCCCTTTTTTTTGAAGAAAAATCTCCCACTTCATCATTGAAAAAAGTTCACATGTATGTGTATCCATTGTGTCAAGTTCCTCTTATATATGCAATAACACAAATATTTAGAGAAAAAAACAACTTTCAGCTGATACAATATATTAATTAAATTGTTCAAAATAGTGAATAAAAAAAACACTCTGATTATCATATTGTTTTCTATTGTGCGTGAGAATATGTGTGTTTTCTATTATAACAATGATAAATTACTGATAAAACATTTCAATGGGCATATATTTTCAATTCATAATTTATAATTTTTCCCTTAACATAATGGACTTGTCTGGTTTAGAATAAGGAACAGTTCATTATAAAATATAGGGATTACCAGTCTGTATACTGGTAGCTCAGTCTTAAGGCATTTTGGCATTAGAATAGTTAAGGTTAGTGCTATAATGACCTAAGTTGGCATATCATAAGGACTCGTATTAGCTTATTATTTATATGAAATAAGTTGATTTTAAGTGGTAAACAGTGAGCATATAGTGAGCGGTATATAAATATAACATTTCTATAACAAGTTTATGTACAGGTGTAACGAAATGACATTGAATGCAAGGTACTTTTTTATCTTACAATATTGTAAGGCAAAGAAATAAAGCAACATATTCACTCTTTGACGGGTCATTTCTTTTATAAAGTGAGAATTGATAACTGTGAAAGAAGTAAGGGTTATATTATATTGAGAAAGTGACACCAGGTTATAAAAACTGATATTTACTAAACACCAAGGTGGTGACTCGCGTTCTGTCATTGTGGCTCCAGGACTGGTTAGTTAAATGGAACTATATTCATTAAAAACAAAAAAATTAGTACATGATTTGTTTGAAGAATAAATGAATTATAGTATGATTAAGATTTACATGATTTACATAGACGTGCTTGTGTATGATAAGAAATATTTATATCATAGTTAATATAATACATCACAATTATTTTTGATGTTATGTTGTTTTTTTATGAATTTCCTGTTAATGCTTTAAGCTTATTACTAAGAATTAGCAAAAATGTGAAAAAATATGTAATGTTTATAGATACAAAAGACAATGAATCAGGCATAGTTTTAATTCAATGTTCAACAAACACTGTAGTATGAAGTTAAATATTATTGTTTTATTTAATTTTTTTAGTGGTATACGTTGTGTTTGTTTTGAATACAAAAAAGTTAATTATGTAGTTTAAACATTATATTATTGTTAGAGAGTGCAAGATTTGTTAAATATTGAAACTTTTTTCTGTATAATTCTTATCCAGAGTACCATGGGCATAACAAGAGTGAAGTATAATTCTAGAGACTGGTCAATCAGTAGTTATCTATATGCTAGTATGAATCTATGAAGACAACATTCCAGTTACCTCATAATGTTTGCCAGTATAATCTCTCTGATTGGTGATATTTATCTTGAAAAATCTTGATTTCACAGTGATTGTATTTCTGAGGAATATTTAATTTTTGTTCAGATGTGTTTTCTGATCTTACTTTAATACAAGCTATAGTTAAGACTAAAGTATATAAGTAGTTATTTCTGCAGAGATTGAAAATCTACAGAACTTAAAGTCTGTTGTGTTTGGTGCATTAATTCATCCAGTTAGAAGATTGTTTGCAGGGACTGATTAAGGTGTGATTAATTCCATTGTTTAGATTTTCTCCCTTACTGTAACAGGTAAGTGACAAAATGACATATAATGTTAATCATGCATTAAAACAAAAAGCAGTTAATGCTACAAAGATATTTTACCGTTTACATGGAAAGAGAAAAGTCGGATGTAATTGAAAATCATAATGTAATACAATGGATGTAGATCTGTAGGAAACAAGAGAAATAATGTTAACGTCACAATAGAAATTACACGAGGCAGAAATTTTAGACCCCCTTGTTAAACAAAAATCACAGAATACTAAGCCAGCAGATTTAAGTATGTGTACGGAGACCATACTGATGAAAATAGAAATATAATGATTTTTGTTATTACCAAAATTAGTTGCTATGGTTATAGTGTGTTGACAAAATAAGCTTGGTTTTCACCTCATTATCACATCTGGTACTAGAGCTTTGGTTTTCTGAAGTCATTATAAGAGAAGGTTTATTATTACAACACCATACAACATGCAATGATAGCAGATAAATTGGCCTAATTAGAAACTGGTTTTACAACTGAACTGTTCTCTCTCTTTTTTCTGCTGCAAGCAGAAATTGATCAGTTTCTCTTTTGTTATTTTCTTTTGAAACAAGGGATATCAAAAACTATATTGGTTAAAGCCGAGGATTTGTTTGAGATTGCTTGAAAGCCATGAAAAAAAAAAAAACCCATTTGATTGAAAAAAAATGTTAATGAATTAGGAATGTTCACATTGTTTTCCTAGAAACTGTGAAGGGTTTAATCATTACTAGTTTATATATGGAGGCAAACCTCAGGGGTCTCTGTGGCCGGGTGGTGAAAGTCTCTAACTTCAAATCACTTGCTCGGTGGTACACATTTATTTGCATTTACCGTACATTCCCATAATGAGGTGTCTATAAAATCTTTTTACAATCGTAGGTGTGCAAACTTGAACAATGAGTCTTCATGTTTATAATTATAAGACCATTTTCTGCAGTAGTGTTAAACAGAATATATAGCCTGTGTAAGATGTAAAAATGTTTAGAAAGATAGCTCTAGATCAGATGACATGTTTCAACATTATAAGGACATAATTTATCATGTATGAAAACTCTTGTTTACATTATCCTGATACAAGCAACCTTTATGTAGGTATGCTCAAAACTAGTGTTAATACAAGTTTCTTGTTGTTACCTCAAAAAATACAAAACAATTTAGATTTTTGAAATCCATATATGTAAATGAAATTATTGTACAAAATATAGCGAGGAATTTATTTCCCTTACTGTAATTTTTTTTGATATATGTTAAATTGTAATTTAAGTAAAAAAAAAAAACCACAACAAAATTGATTGTGGAGATCTATAGTTTCTATAGTACTATGATTGTAAAATTGTTAATCATGAAGCACTAGTATTGAGAATATCCAACAAACAACAAAACTGTTTATGTCTGTATGTATGATGATGTATTTTATTTTTATAATCTGCAATAATGCACTCAGTAAATACAGCCTTGTGAATAGTTTTTTCAATTATAATGCAAAATTTACTATGTAATTTTCCTTATTCATTTAGATTATTAAAATTTTTCCATTCATGTCTTACGTGAACTGTGTACCCTGTTGTAAATCATGCATGTATTCTTATTCATAAAATTTTCCGTGTTGAATTAAATCTTATACTTTTTTCTTCACATTTGTTTTGTTATTATTTTGTTCCATTAAAAGTCAGTTTAAAGTTATGACCATTTTCCTTTTCTTGCTAATACATGTATGTTGAAATTTTATGTTAGATATGCTCCAAATAACTTGGTCTTCAACCAATATTAAATGTGCAAGTTTAAATGCGATACATTAACCTTTTCCTTCATAAATTTGTGCTCCAGACTATTTTGTCCATTATACATTTAAATGGTTTGTTTTTAGCTGGCATGAGGTGAGCTTTTGTGAAGGCAATGTGTCCGTTAACTAGCATCAGCTAAAAAAGTCTTTAAAAAGAGGTTTGAACAGAACTGAGATATCTGGCATGTAGGTTCACCTTGCGGTCCTGTACCCAAGTTGGCTTAGATTTATGATCTGCATCATTGCTTTGTGGTCTTCTAAATTATGCTCCTTGGATAAAAAAGGTCCAGCCCTTTGGGTCACTTAGTGTAAATAAACCTGCATTGTGTGAACTTTCAATGCCCAGAGCTTTGATATTAGCCATATAGAATTTCCTTGCATTTGAAAAAATGAAGCTTTGGTAAAAATAGAACCTAATCCAACCTCATAAATGACAGCTACTTTTCTAGCAATGTATATGTGGTGAGTGATCCTAGGCCATGGCCTTGTTAAGTCTTGCCTCACAAAATATCTTATAATGACTTGTCCATCTTCCATTCTGGACTTTACCAATTATTATTTTAGGTAAATTTTCAATATAAGTACTGACTGAAAGCTGAAGAGGTCACATGGGTATCTATATTAGTTGTGCCACAGAGCTGAACTGTATAGCATGATATTTATGTTGCACATGATGATGATTTCATTAATAGCATACTAAAAGTCTAAATGCATTACATAGTTAAAGTGCGTAATTGAGCATTATCTGCATAGCAGATGTGTTACATAGGTGAGTGAAGTACTTCGAATTTAAGTGTAACATAAGCAGTGTTAGTCTAATTTCATCTTGATTCTTGTATAACTAGACTGTCTGTGACAGCTGAACATAATAAGTTAGCCAGCAGAAGTAAACCCAAGCTATCCAAGAAACTTAATATGACTAAGCTATAGTTTTTCCTGCATTTTGTAATTGCTAACTAATTCTGCAACTGTGAAGCTTTTTTTCAACTAATATTTTATAGTCAAAGGGAGATAAATGTTTATTATTTTGTAAATATCACGAAGTGTAAATCTGACAGTATCAGGGGCGTCACCGCGGGAATGCCAAAACGAAACTATATTATGATGTTGCTTTGATGTCTTTAGAATTCCCAGTGAACAGCAGGTAATTCATCTTGTAAAGTATGAATTTTAAATACTTAGTAGACCAAATATAGACCATTGATAAAATGTTTTCGCAAAAATAACGTTAATTAAATATAAAGTGTCAATATATTCGGATAGCACGTAGTGTTAGTAAATTCGGATAGTACGTCGAAATGTAATCGCTTTATATTCCTTCATATGTAAGTAAATATGATATTGTCTAGCAAATTTTAACTATGTGAGGTTATTCCCTATTTAACTATGATTTTAAATATCTAGGTTAAAATGAAGAGTAATCGGATAAGTGTAGATGGGGTGAAGTTTCTGCCTGCTATCATTGATGGAAATGTTGATGTCTTACAAAATCCCAATTTTATTATAGTTAAAAGAAGGTATTTAATTTTTATGCATATTAAAACATTAACAGCAGATATATGTATGTCATTAGGCATATATGTGTGCATAATGTACACATTGTGTAAATGGTCTGTTAGAAATTTGCAAGACATTACTGTCAACACATCAGTGTTATATCTAATATATATTATATAAACTTTAGTACCATACTGGTCAGGAACTGTCAATTGAACACATTTTGAACATTTTTCAATACATATTTCATGTGTTTAAAGCAAGATACATGTACCTGGAAATTTGACACAGTAAAGCTGTGTTCTCCAAACTGAAGAGCTAATTTGTTTATTTCCAATTATGTTGACACTTCTATTTGATGTCCAAACAGGGATTTTGAGTCAATTCATCTGGTGGTCTACTCATCACCTTTTTGTTGAACTCTGGTCCCGTGGTCAACACATCCAGTGGTTAACTCATTCCCAATTTTTTGTCCCCCGCCTAACTCATTCCCTATTTTTTGTCCCCCGCCTTTTCTAAGAAAAAAGGGGGATATAGAAATAGGCTCCCTCCATCTGTCGTCCGTCTGTCCGTCACACTTTCGTGTCCGGTCCATAACTTTGTCATTTATCAAAGGAATCTGAAATAACTTGGCACAAATGTTTGTTACAATAAGACGATGTGTCATGCGCAACAAGCAGACCCCTACCCCAGGGTCAAGGTCGCATTTGCTCATTCAAGGTCAACATTGTCTATTTGAGAGTAATCCGAGTATATGTCTTGTCCGTTACATAATTTTCTTATCTTTAAGGGATTTTGTAAATACTGGCCACAATTGTGCACAATAATGAGACGATGTGTCATGAGCAACAAAGGGTCACCTACCTCCAAGGTTAAGGTCACACTTGGAGGTCAAAGATCAACATAGTTCGTATATTTTGTGTCCGGTACATAACTTTTTCATAGATCAAAGGATTTTGTAAATACTTGCCACAAATAGTCACTATAATAAGAGGATGTGTCATACGCATCACCTGCATCCCTACCTCCAAGTTCAAGGTCACTCTTAGAGGTAAAAAATTAATATAGTCTGTTTTAGTGTATACTTTGTGTCCGATCTAGAACTTGGCACAAATTATCACAATAATAAGAGGATATGTCAAGTACAACACCTGCACCCCTACCTCCAAGGTCAAGGTCACACTTAGAGGTTAAAGGTTAACAGAGTCTGTTATATGGTATATTTTGTGTCCCGTATATACTAGTAACTTCTTCATAGATCAAGGGATTTTGAATATACTTGGCACAAAAAGTCACAATGATAAGACGATATGTCAGGCGTAACACCTGTGTCCCTACCTCCAAGGTCAAGGGACGTTGGTAACTCTGTTACAAATTCTTGTTATTAATAATTTATTTAAAATTTGATAAATTATTAAAGTTTTAGATATAGTTTTAAAAAAAACTTGCAAGAGAATAATTGAAATTTACAGAGGTACATTTTTAGCCTTTTGTGTGCTATACATGTATATATATATTATATAACCAATGGTAATTTTTTTAAAGTCTTTATCTTTACACCAAAATTATAATTATTTGCATTATCTGATAACTTGGTAATTTTATCAATTTACAAATGACAAACAAAAAATAACATAACAATAATATTTATTGTACAAACAGACCATATCTTAAAAAGACATTTTTAGCTCGACTATTCGAAGAATATGAGAGCTATTGTAGTCGCCCCGGCGTCGGCGTCAGCGTCCGCGTCGGCGTCTGCGTTGGTTAAAGTTTTTTGTAAAGTCAAATATCTCAATTATTGCTTGAGATATTCAATTGAAACTTACAATACTTATTTATAGTAACAAGGTACATCAGATTGACAAGTTGGATAACTCTGCCTACAATATTGACAGAATTTATGCCCCTTTTTAACTTAGAAATTTTGGTTAAAGTTTTTTGTAAAGTCAATATCTCAATTATTGCTTTGAGATATTCAATTGAAACTTACAATACTTATTTATAGTAACAAGTACATCAGATTGACAAGTTGGATAACTCTGCCTACAATATTGACAGAATTAGCCCCTTTTTAACTTAGAAATTTTGGTTAAAGTTTTTTGTAAAAGTCAAATATCTCAATTATTGCTTGAGATATTCAATTGAAACTTACAATACTTATTTATAGTAACAAGGTACATCAGATTGACAAGTTGGATAACTCTGCCTACAATATTGACAGAATTATGCCCCTTTTTAACTTAGAAATTTTGGTTAAAGTTTTTTGTAAAGTCAAATATCTCAATTATTGCTTGAGATATTCAATTGAAACTTACAATACTTATTTATAGTAACAAGGTACATCAGATTGACAAGTTGGATAACTCTGGCTACAATATTGACAGAATTATGCCCCTTTTTAACCTAGAAATTTTGGTTAAAGTTTTTTGTTGTCAAATATCTCAATTATTGCTTGAGATATTCAATTGAAACTTATAATACTTATTTATAGTAACAAGGTACATCAGATTGACAAGTTGGATAACTCTGCCTACAATATTGACAGAATTATGCCCCTTTGAAACTTAGAAATTTTGGTTAAAGGTCTTCAAAGATATTTACTTGAAACTTTACACATGCACTTAGGGTCATAATTGGAGGGTCATAATTGTATGTCACTGACCAAGTTCCATAACTCTTTCTTGCATTAAGGCTGATTCATATCCCCTTTTCTGCTTAGTCTCTTGGTTAATGTTTATGCAAGTTTTACATATCTCAATAACTATTAAAGATATTTATTTAAAACTTCACATATGCATTTAGGGTAATAATTGTAGGTCACTGACAAAGATCCATAATCCTATCTTGCATTTAGGCTGATTTTTCTCCACTTTTTCAACTTAGAAATTCATGGTAAAGTTTTGCTTGTAAGCTGTTATCTCCATAACTACTGAAGGGTTTGTGCCTTTTTTGGGACAATTTTATGCATTCATAATAATAAAGCAGTGATTTACTTGATAAAAGATCTTAATAACAAGCCTTTGTACCTTTTCTGTCAATTTTATGTATTCATAGGTAATTAGTATTATTATACTCAATAAAACACCCTTGTGACATTACCTTCCGAATAGTCAAGCCAATACTGTATAATAAGACTCTCTCTAAGGCCTATAACATGAATTTATTAAAAAAAATAGCCCTTTTGTGAACTTAGAAAATTTTACATTATCAAGGCTCTTTTACTATCAAGCATTAAGAATAGTCGAGCGTGCTGTCCTACCGACAGCTCTTGTTTATGATATACTATCAAAATAACATACATGTTACATTTATTTTTCAAAAACTGTTGTTTTTTTCTGGCCAATATTGGACCATGTTCTCAAAGTCAAAAAGTATTGTTTCTTCTTAATTTGATGTAGAAAATTCCCAATTCTAGGAACAAAGAATGAAATAAGTACAGTTTGTTACATTTAACTGCACTGTGCCCTAGAAAATTGTAATTTTGCATCCAAATTTTAATATGTGTTTATGAGCGAAACATAAAAGGAGTTTAAAAATAACCAAATATTTGGTTGCTTGGTTTTATTTGATGTATACAGTATGTTGTCAGTTTTAATGAATTTAAGCCGCGTCATGACAAAACCAACATAGTGAGTTTGTGACCAGCATGGATCCATCCGCGTAGTCTGATCAGGATCCATGCTGTTCGCTATCAGTTTCTCTACTTGTAATAGGGTTTTTAAGCGAACAGCATGGATCCAGATCAGACTGCGCGGATGTGCAGGCTGGTCTGGATTCATGCTGGTCGCAAACACATTATGTTGGTTTTGTCATGACGCGGCTCATTCGTCTTAAATTCCCAATTCTGGTGGTGAGATCATGATCATGTTTATTATTTCAGTTGGCAGCCAGACCAGGAAGCTCAGTCATGTCCGTTATGTAAAGTTAAATTTGGTGGTCTGAAACGACGACATCATTGTAGACAGTGTGGACATGTTGTATGTAATAAATGTTGTAATGTGAAGGTTTGTCTTCTATCTCTCCTGTTTTGTTTGATTGTAATGTCAGTGTACGTGTAGGATATATCTGTCTTTAGAATTACTTATTATTTAAAACTTTTGATTGTTTTTACATCAGGCTTATAGCATTGCCTTGAAGACCACAGTTAAAGTTATGTGAAGCATGCACATAATGATAGGATAAACATGCAAGCCATGTGGGTTGCTTAGTATCATAAGAATAATTGATATAACACATGTTTCAGACTAGTTTGTTTAATATGGCTCTTCCCTTATTTCAAACAAATTTACATTTTGAGCATACATGTATATTGATGGCATTTTAGGTGCTCTTGTAGTTTTTGGTTTAAATCCTGCTAAAGATTTTGATTCTTCCATATGAGGAAGCAGTCCAGCAAGCCCATGTGCATACTATATGCAAATTTTGTTAGATTTTGATGTTTGGTAGGTACTGAGTAACCCTTCTTTGTTCTAATACTGCACATTATTCTTTATTACAGAAAGGTATTGACAAACTGTTTCAATTCTGGTGAAAGTTAAACTTTTTGTCTGTTTTATTGTCCTTATCTTATTTGTCAGATACCATTGCCACAACTTGCTATAGAGGAACCTGAGAAAATCTGTGAGTCATGTCAACCTGTAACTGCTGCAGTAACAAGGTCAAGGTCACATTTAGCAGTAAGTTGTGAATATATGATTGTTCTAAAGACTTTTATCTGACCTTGAGCAATATTTCCTGCTGATGTTAAAATTTATGTAAATGTACCAACAAGTACACATACATGGCTACTTGAGTTAATGTCTTGTCAGAAAGTGTAATTGCTATTTTAGTTGGTGAAGTGTAAAATCAAACTATCAACCACTTGTTTTTGTAGAATAGCAGTACCAGAATACCCCAAGTTCCACTTTTGATATTCTAACAAATGCTTTTACTAGTCTATTATAGTCAATTCTACAACATTTTGTTGTTTATTTTTACTGTTATTGTGGCTTGTCAATGTATGTTATTTTGTTTGTTACAGTCAATGCAGCTTCAATCAGCCGTGGAATTATCGGGAATGTGTAAAAGCAGTGTAAATCTTACCAAAGTTAGTTAGTAAGCTTTTTAAATAGATGAATATTAAGTAAAATGTATATGATGTTATGATTAAACTAATGTATGTAAAGGAAATTAACAACTGGTCATGAATTAAAGTGACATTATGCTAATCTGAGTGTGGAAGTTCAGTGAATAGGTAGAAATGAAAATTACATGACATTTTGCCATAAATCTGGTCAATTTTATATTTTACAATAAAAAACATAATCAATAATCCATGTGACCAATGGAAATTTCTATTAATATTGTTCCGAATGTATTGGAAATGTTCAATTCTTAGTAGCGTCATTTTTGTATTGTATTATAAACATTTATCAACAGTTTATGTTATCAGTTATTGAACAATGATCATTATAATAGTCAACCTTTAGAATAATCAAATATATCATTAATTCAACTTAAAAGCAAGAAAATGAGCATGGTGTCCATTAAAATTAAATTCTGTTTCTGATAAGTTCATGAATGTTATATTTAAAGTCATTACTAAACATGATCTTTACAAACTTTGTATTCATTGTCTGGCCAAGCATGAAGCTTATAATTTTATGTTGGATTATAAAGATGGAGAAGGTGGCATGCCTTCAATGGATAGCATTGTATTCAATTCTTCAGTTCCTTATTATGTTTTAAATGGTCACCTTCTCAAACTTAAAACAGAATATTGAATAACACCAATATTTAAAGTGCGGTCAAGAATGGTATTAAGACTTGAAAAACATTAAAGATTTTGTTTTCTCTTTAACAAAGTGACACTATTACTATTAGTTAAGTTAATCATTTATTATTCAGGTATTTGAATATGGAGGGTTTCATACACTGTTGGCACAAAGTAAAGTTCATCTAGATACACCAAATATGAACATAATGGTAAGATATTACACTCATTCCCACAGTGCAGCCTGAAAAAGGGGGATCCAGTGTAGGACAATTATCGTTTTTACAATAAAAGAATGAAATTTTTTTCCAAAATTGGACTTCACAATAAATTATTTTCTCAGGAGCAACACCTCAGCAACATTCAAAATTTTTGTCTCACAAACTGCTTTGCTGTGCTGAGGTTGTACTTTCTTGCATATCAGACAGAATTATCTACAGTTTACACTGGTGCTAGAAAAACTTGTCTTACACACCCATGTAAGACAAGCTGTGTGCTTAAAATGACGCCATTCTTGCACTCCTTTTATGTATGAATTGTGTTCTTATGATGACGTCAATTTCCTGTTAGGAATGAAGTTGTAAATTCATACACTACTATTAGAAAAAAATGCTAAATGAAAATATTAGTTTTTGGTAATTTCTTTTCGAAATATCATTAATATGTAATATGCAAGAAAAAGAATCAAACACCAACTGTTGTCACAGACAGGAATATCTAGTTCTCAGGTAACTGTTAAGCAGAAACTCGGCAGAGGCTGAGCCTCGTTACAGCCATAAACCATAAACAGTTACCCTCAAGCTAGTCTGTACCGGCAGTCGGTGTAAGATCCTTATAGTATATACATGTAATAACAAAAAATGTTGAGTTTCACTTTGTTACTGACTTTTTTGTAAATGTCAGAAAATGTATTATCATAATATTAACTGGTCATAAAATGTTAACAATATTCTTGTTTCCCTCTTATTTAGATAATTTTTAAAGAGTGATATTTTTATACTAGTGATTATTAACTATAAACCTGTTAGGGGCAACTGAATTAAGCAAGTGTAAAAACAAAGAAAAGACAAAATACCATCTGATCAGGGTCTGCACAGTTTGTTATTTAGTTAGTATATTATACAAATATGGACTTTTTAGCTGTTGAATATGATGTGATATGTACTGAAAAAATTAATATTGACCGAGGCGATAGCCGAGGTCAATATTAATTTTTCAGTACATATCACATCATATTCAACAGCTAAAAAGTGCATATCTGTTTTATTATATAACTTATAAATAGCTTTTATATGGCTTATCAAATCTGCCATTGCATATGACGGAAATCATTATTTTTCAGCTTGTCTACTGTTTCAATAATTTGGCCCTTTCCATTGGCATGCTAATCCCTATTTTTCTTAAAAATGAAAAACGGTAACTAAAATAGACTAATTTGACTCTGATGTACACCCAACTCAACATTTTTTTCAGAATAATAACAACAAACTTGGCGTTACGTCATGTCAAAGTCTCGTGTCTTTTAGGGATTTCCAGAAAATCCATTTTTAGAAGAATAACCGGTGAATATACTCTGAAAATCTATTTTTAGGAAAAAAACAGTGAATATACTCTGATATTGACCTGTTATTTTTTACAAAAAGTTGCTTGTTAGCCAATCAGGGAAAGGCATTTCAAAGCTATTTATAGATTATATAATAATTTGAAATATATCCTAAAGTTCATAAATAGTTTTGTCTAGGTAGTTCATTTAAGAAGTTTAATGGGAAAAAGGTAAAAATATAACTTATATATTTTCAGACACATATAATAAGTGCATTACATACTTTATCAACTTGTGAACCAGTGCAGGACTTCATGGTAGATACAGGAATTATTAGAGCCATTTGTCAGTAAGTTACACACCTTATTTTCAGTTTGTTAGACCATAGGCACTTGGTTTTGGGATAAAAACCCTTTTGTGAGGTTTGTAGAACTCAAATTTGATTGAATGTAACTATTTTTAGCTCACCTGACCACGAAGTGGTCAAGGTGAGGTATAGTGATGGGGCTATGTCCGGCGTCCGTCGTCGTGCGTCGTGCGTCGTCAACAATTGGGTTGTTAACAGTCTAGCAGTCACAGTTTTGATTGGATCATCATCAAACTTTGTCAGAATGTTTATCTCAATGAAATACAGGTCGAGTTCGAAGATGGGTTATCTCGGGTCAAAAACTAGGTCACAGGAGCTAAAAATAGAAAAACCTTGTTAACAATCTAGAGGCTGCAGTTTTCATCCAAATATTCTGGAAATTTGTCAGGAAGGTTGTTTTAATGATATCTAGGTCAAGTTCGAAGATGGGTCATCTCCGGTCAAAAACTAGGTCACAGGAGCTAAAAATAGAAAAAGCTTGTTAACACTCTAATAATTGGGTTGTTAACAGTCTAGCAGTCACAGTTTTGATTGGATCATCATCAAACTTTGTCAGAATGTTTGTCTTAATAAAATACAGATCGAGTTCGAAGATGGGTTATCTTGGGTCAAAAACTAGGTCACAGGAGCTAAAAATAGAAAAAGCTTGTTAACACTCTAGTGGCTGCAGTTTTCATCCAAATATTTTGGAAATTTGTCAGGAAGGTTGTTTTGATGATATCTAGGTCAAGTTCGAAGATGGGTCATCTCCGGTCAAAAACTAGGTCATAGGAGCTAAAAATAGAAAAAGCTTGTTAACACTCTAGTGGCTGCAGTTTTGATCCAAATATTTTGGAAATGTGTCAGGAAGGTTGTTTTGATGATATCTAGGTCAAGTTCGAAGATGGGTCATCTCCGGTAAAAAACTAGGTCACAGGAGCTAAAAATAGAAAAAGCTTGTTAACACTCTATAGGCTGCAGTTTTCATCCAAATATTCTGGAAATTTGTCAGAAAAATTGTTTTAATGGTTTCTATGTCAAGTTCGAAGATGGGTCATCTCAGGTCAAAAACTAGGTCACAGGAGCTAAAAATAGAAAAAGCTTGTTAACACTCTATAGGCTGCAGTTTTCATCCAAATATTCTGAAAATTTGTCAGGAAGGTTGTTTAGATGATATCTAGGTCAAGTTTGAAGATAGATTATGTCGGGTCAAAAACTAGGTCACAGGAGCTAAAAATAGAAAAACCTTGTTAACACTCTAGAGGCTGCAGTTTTCATCCAAATATTCTGGAAATTTGTCAGGAAGGTTGTTTTAATGATATCTAGGTCAAGTTCGAAGATGGGTCATCTCCAGTCAAAAACTAGGTCACAGGAGCTAAAAATAGAAAAAGCTTGTTAACACTCTAATAATTGGGTTGTTAACAGTCTAGCAGTCACAGTTTTGATTGGATCATCATCAAACTTTGTCAGAATGTTTGTCTTAATAAAATACAGATCGAGTTCGAAGATGGGTTATCTTGGGTCAAAAACTAGGTCACAGGAGCTAAAAATAGAAAAAGCTTGTTAACACTCTAGAGGCTGCAGTTTTCATCCAAATATTCTGGAAATTTTTCAGGAAGGTTGTTTTGATGATATCTAGGTCAAGTTCGAAGATGGGTCATCTCCGGTCAAAAACTAGGTCACAGGAGCTAAAAATAGAAAAAGCTTGTTAACACTCTAGTGGCTGCAGTTTTCATCCAAATATTTTGGAATTTGTCATGAAGGTTGTTTTGATGATATCTAGGTCAAGTTCAAAGATGGGTCATCTCCGGTCAAAAACTAGGTCACAGGAGCTTAAAATAGAAAAAGCTTGTTAACACTCTATAGGCTGCAGTTTTCATCCAAATATTCTGGAAATTTGTCAGGAAAGTTGTTTTGATGGTTTCTAAGTCAAGTTCGAAGATGGGTCATCTCCGGTCAAAAACTAGGTCACAGGAGCTAAAAATAGAAAAAGCTTGTTAACACTCTATAGGCTGCAGTTTTCATCCAAATATTCTGAAAATTTGTCAGGAAGGTTGTTTAGATGATATCTAGGTCAAGTTTGAAGATAGATCATGTCGGGTCAAAAACTAGGTCAAAGGAGCTAAAAATAGAAAAAGCTTGTTTACACTCTAGTGGCTGCAGTTTTGATCCAAATATTTTGGAAATTTGTCAGGAAGGTTGTTTTGATGATATCTAGGTCAAGTTCGAAGATGGGTCATCTCCGGTCAAAAACTAGGTCACAGGAGCTAAAAATAGAACAAGCTTGTTAACACTCTAGGGGCTGCAGTTTTCATCTAAATATTCTGGAAATTTGTCAGGAAGGTTGCTTAGATAATATCTAGGTCAAGTTCGAAGATGGGTCATCTCAGGTCAAAAACTAGGTCACAGGAACTAAAAATAGAAAAAGTTTGTTAACACTCTAGTGGCTGCAGTTTTCATCCAAATATTCTTGAAATTTGTCAGGAAGGTTGTTTTGATGATTTCTAGGTCAAGTTCGAAGATGGGTTATCTCTGGTCAAAAACTAGGTCACAGGAGCTAAACATAGAAAAAGCTTGTTAACACTCTAGTGGCTGCAGTATTGATTCAAATATTCTGTAAATTTGTCAGGAAGGTTGTTTTGATGATTTCTAGGTCAAGTTTGAAGATGGGTCATCTCAGGTCAAAAACTAGGTCACAGGAGTTAAAAATAGAAAAAGCTTGTTTACACTCTAGTGGCTGCAGTTTTGATTCAAATATTCTGGAAATTTGTCAAGAATGTTGTTTTGATGTTTTCTGGGTCAAGTGCTAAGATTGGTCATGTCTGGTCAAAAACTAGGTCACAGGAGCTAAAAATAGAATTTTTTTTTAACACTCTAGTGGCTGCAGTTTTGATCCAAATTTCCTGGAAATTGGTCAGGAAGGTTGTTTTGATGATTTCTAGGTCAAGTTTGAATATGGGTTGTGTCCAGTCAAAAATTAGGTCACATTGCCCAAATATGGAAAAATCTTTACAACACACTATAGGTCACATGTTTGACTCAGTCGCATCAAACTTGGTCATGATGCTTGTTTAAGACATTGCTTGGATGCGGTTGTGTCAGGTGAGCGATCCAGGGCCATCATGGCCCTCTTGTTTAACGTAGATATTTCTTCTCTAAAACCGTTATTTTTCAGATGTTACTAAAAATAGTTAGTAACATCTGAAAAATGACAGTTTTATGGAAGAGACATCTATGTTAAATAATAGTTACATTCAACAAACCTCTCAAAAGGGTTTTTATCCTGAAACCAAGTGCCTATGTGTTAGACTAAGTACACAAAAATAGAATTTCTCTTTATTCCAATGCTACCTTATTTAAACTGTGAGTGTTGTTTCCTAACTCTCACCCTGTTGAATTTGTTTATTGTGCTTTAGAACTGTCCAAGTGGGGCATCTGGCTGAGTGGTTAAGGTTGTTGACTTCAAACCACTTGCCACTCTTTGCGTTATGGAATGTCGGTGGTTCCATTGGGCACTTGTTTTGGCACCTTAGGTCTTCCTCCACCAGTAAAGCTGGAAAGTAGACGTTTACAGTGTTGTTGCAACGTAAAAACAAAACAAAACCAAAAATGTCCAGTTGTAAATTTGAGGATTTTGATATCTCAAATCACTAGAAATTGGTAGCAGACAGTGTAAGTCTGGTCAGACTGCTTTGGCCGGCAAACTGAAATTTCGGGTTTTTTCTGTTTTACAACAAATCAGTGTTTGCATGGTAAGTAGGCATCATACAAGGAAGCTTGGTTCCTACAACAGTGAAAATATAGCATCAAAAAAATGGTTTAATTACAATTGTTCAAATATATCAAATTTGAAGAAATTAAAATTTCTGAAAAAGAAAAGCAAGATATTTAATATAAAAGGAGAACAGTCTATACAATTAAATAAAAATTGAAGATATATATTTTATGTTTAAGAGTGTTAGACAAGGTGCCAGGTGATAAAGAACAAATTCTGCTGGATGGAATTAGTTCTCTGGTTATTTACTGTAAATCCAAAAGATTCCTGCCCAAAGGTAAACATACTCGTTATATTGCAACGGTTTGATGCACTGCTTCTGAGTTAATTACACTATGTACATTAAAAAAACTAAACTATTTGCTTTATTTGTTGATATATTGACAAACATGTTTATGCATTACCTTAATAATACTTGTTATTGCTTCTTTCTTTTTTTCTTTTTTTCTTTCTTTCTTTTTTTCTTTCTTTCTTTCTTTCTTTATTTATTTCTTTTATTAGGAAGTTTTTCAAAGGAACCTAATGACCAAATCGACTTAAAAATGTATCAGTAAAATAGCCAATTCTTGTCAGGCTATATATACATGTATGTAAGACGAAGTGAGACTTTGAGAATATTGCTATAATAATTTTATATTTCTTCATGATTACAGTATTAGAGGCAGGATATCTACAGGTTGTATTGAGATTATGTTGTAACACAAGTGATACTGTAGCTGTGTTGTCAGTAAGTACACTAAGTTTACTAGTGGAGGACCCATCTACACATACTGCCATCATAGATGGTGATAAAGCTGCTCTACAGAGAATCCTTAAACTGGCAGCAGCTGAAAACCCACAGGTAATTATATACAGTACTTGATGATTATATAATTGAATTTAAATTCTATTGTTCTTAGTTTTAAATATTCATTTATTAGTTCATAACATAAGAAGCCAAAAAATTGATTCCCTTGATTTTAAACAATGTTCTGGTATCTGTGACCAACATGTACCCCAATCATATGAGCCTAGGTCATAAAAAACCTAGACCAAGTAAGACTGGACTATATAAACTTAGGTCATATGTGCCTAGATCAGACAGGTTTATATTATATAAGCTTGGATTTTGATCCTGGATCATATAAGCTTAGATCCAAGGTGATATGAACCAGGATCATATCAGCCCAGATCATAGAAGCCTAGTTCATATCAGCCAAAATCATAAAAGCCTAGGTCAAGTAAGGCTAGATCATATAAGCATATAATTTTATAAGCCAAGGTTTTAGGAATATTTTAGTGTGTAAAAAAGATAATAATGTATGAGAATATCTGGATTTAGTAGGGTATAAACTCATATATTCTGGCTAACAAACCTAAATAAAAACCATGCAGTAGATTGCTGAGCCAAAAAAATTATTCCCAGGTGCAGTCATCATATATTGTATTTATAGTAATAGGCATGTGGATAATGTTAGAAATAAATACCTCTTATAAAATATCATAATAAAACATACTTTTTATGACTTTTGTTTTGTTTTTGTAGATGCAAGCTGTGGCATTGAAATGTTTGAACTATTTGTCCATGGGATCAGACTGGAATAAACATAGAATTATTCAGGTACAGTACATATATAGAGGATAATGAATTTGTGTAGGTTCAGTACTGAATTTATTAAACAAATTGAATAAAATTATATAATGCAAGCCTCTTGGAAGTATAATATTATTTTATTTAATAAGTTCAATACATTTAGTAATGAATATACACCCATATAATATTCTATTCATCACATAACCAAAATAAAAACTATGTTTAGTTGAAAAAGAATCACTTTTTCATTGATGTGTGTGTAGTGTAATGCTTAAATTTAGCTGGTTGTATGGTATATTTGTATAATGCAACTGATGTCACGTCAATGCCATTCAAAATCATTCTTACTGAGTTTCAAAAGTGGCATGAGTATGTGATAAAAATATCTATTTATAACCTAGGTCACCAGTACAGAGCTAGGCTAACCTACACTTCTGTGCTCTAAATTATTGGATGACCAACTTCAAATCTTCTTTGTATTTCAAAGACATTTATAAAGAAATGTTTCAAAATAGAAATTTAACATTTCTTTTTTGAAATACAGCTGAATCAGTGTATAAAGTCACAGTGTCTATATGCAGATGATGTACCTATGATGTAACAGATTAAATACCAAACAATAAAAAGTATACACTGTAAAATAGTGACTCTTTACTTAGATTTGCTGTTGGAAAATGAATTTGATTAATAAAAACTGTGACTGAATACACATTCAACATTTTAAAAGTGAAAAAATATATATGTAAACATGAGAAATAAAATATTGTACATGTGTTTTTGAACATTACAGGAAGATTTTACTGCTGGGAAACCAATGAAAACTGCTCTACAAACTGAGACATTTAACATGCAAGTGTGGGCCAATGCTGCCTGCCTGGTGGCAAATTTAGCTACAAGTGCGGAAGATCAGGTGAGTTTGTAAATGTCATAGGACTTCTAATTTTAGAATTTATGTGGTATTATATACAGTATATATATAAACACTTCACCTGAATATATTTTGGCAAGTGAATGGATAAAGTTCTTCAAAATTACCAAATGGCCTGCTTGATTCTGAAGCCAAATGTAAGTATCCCCACCCCTAATGATATTAATTATCACATTTTTATGTATTTTTACATAAAACCTAACATAATATAATGTTACAAACACAGTTTATTATCAGAGATACAATTTACATATTTTACCTTTTGATTATTATAATAGATTTGATGTAAATATGATAATGTAATTACACATAATGTTGTGGCATATATTTTCTTGTACACTATGTGCTGACATGTACACAATAATATGGACACATATTTTCATATGTACAATTTGTAGATATATAATTTCTTGTACACAATTTCTTGACATTTAATTCCTTGTAGACAATTTGCTGGCATATATACTGAAACAAAAAAGAAACTTTCTCCAAGTTTGAATGTAGATATGTTAGTACAGTTTTTCAATCCTTTTGAAACTCGATTTTTACGTTGAATAAACATATCGGGCTTTTATACGGGGATAAGCTGACCGATTTTGCAAAAACAAAATGAGTTTTACAAGCTACTACATGTATATAAGTGTGTACATCTAAGTGGTACCATTGAACAACTGGCACATATTTTGCGTAAGTTTCTTTTTTGGTTCAGTATAGTTTCTTGTACACAATTTCTTGACTTATGTTTGCTTATAAATACACAATTTGTCGACTTGTTCTTAATTTAAATTAAATACATATAGTGTCATGTATTCAGTTTATTGAGAAGGTTTTTCTTGTACCCACTATGATTTCATATAATTTCTTGTTTTCAGGCACCTCTATCAGACTGCCTGGATTGTCTAGTGAGGTTACTCAAGTCAGATATGACAAATGTTGACTTACTGTCACATGTCACCAGGGGACTGGCAAACTTTGCAAAATTTCCACAGAATTCCAGTACTGTTGTAAGTTAACTAATTTAAATACATTTAGATCTAACTTATTGTACTTAGTTTTAAAATTTTTTGTTTAGTGCTATCTGTATGACAGTTGGCATGTCTAGGATATAATTTGTTAAGGTTTTGTCTTATTTGGAAGCATTTAAACATTGTTATTTTTTTTTCTACATACATTTTTTTTTGTAAATTACAGAATAATGTAATATTAGTAGATAAACTTTTGCTTGCAAAACATATATAGATTCACCAAAATACATTCAGATCTAACTTCTTGTACTTAGTTTTGAAAATTTTTTGTTTAGCGCTATCTGTATGACAGTTGTCATGTCTAGGATATAATTTGTTATGGTTTTGTCTTATTTGGAAGCATTTAAACATTGTAATTTTTTTTCTACATTTTTTTTTGTAAATTACGTAATATTAGTAGATAAACTTTTGCTTGCAAAACATATATAGAGTCACCAATGTATAAACAAAAATGTGAAAAAGAATGATATTACTGTGGTATTTAAAAATTGTAAATAAGGAGAAAAAATGGAGTTTTACTTTGAAATTGTAAAGGGAATCAATTTAATCAGAATTGACTGTAGCTTTTTACAGTTACCTCCCTTTTACCAAGAAGTTAATAGAATAAGTTCATTTCAGGGTACAGTGTTACCAACATTAGTGAGTAAATGTTTGAACCATACAGATGAAACAATATCAAAACATGCATTAAGAGCTATCTTACATCTTCTAGTCAATCAGTCTGATAACACCATTACAGAACTTCTTATGTAAGTAGAACACCAGTTATTAACATGGAGGTTTTAAGGCCTTTATAAAATAGAAGGTTGACCCAGCTCTATATTGTTGACTGCTTTAAACCGACTGTATTTATGTTCCAAATTCAAAGTTGGACAACTGACATTATTAATGTTTTAAATTTAAAGCAGGAAAAGTCTAATAAAATGTAGAAAATCTAACATAGTAATGTTAAAATTATTTATAAATTAACAGCCATATTTTTATGCCACCGCAGCATCTGCGATGCGGTGGCATATAGCGATTCACCTGTGTGTGTGTGTGTGTGTTTGTTTGTTTGTGTGTGTGTGCGTTATATAGATTATATAGTGAACTTAAAAAATCTTCTTGTGAAAAACCACTAGTCCAATTTCAACCAAACTTGGCAGGATTGATCCTTGGGTGAAGGGGTTCGAAAGTTGTTCAAAGAATTTCATTCCATGCAGAAATCTGGTTGCCATGGCAACCAAAAGGAATAGCTTAGATATTTTGCATAAGGCATTGTCTGGTAGACCTCTACCAAGATTGTTCAAATTATAGCCCTGGGGTCAAAATTGGCCCGGCCCCGGGGGTCATTGATTTTCACTATATGTACATATAGTAAAAACTTAAAATACCTTCTTGTAAAGACCCAAAAGGCCTAGAGCTTAGATATTTTGCATAAGGCATTGTCTGGTAGACCTCTACCAAGATTGTTCAAATTATAGCCCTAGGGTCAAAATTGCCCCTGCCCCGGGGGTCATTGATTTTCACTATATGTACATATAGTAAAAACTTAAAATACCTTCTTGTAAAGACCCAAAAGGCCTAGAGCTTAGATATTTTGCATAAGGCATTGTCTGGTAGACCCTTACCAAGATTGTTCAAATTATAGCCCTGGGGTCAAAATCGGCCCCGCCCAGGGGGTCATTGGTTTTCCTTATATGTATATAGTAAAAACTTTTAAAAAATTTCTTCTAGCAATTGACAAATGCTAGAGGTTAGATATTTTGCATGAAACATTGTGAAGTGAACTTCTAGCAAGATTGTTGTTGAATTATAGCCCTGGTGCCAAAATTGCCCCCGCCCCAGGGGTCATTGATTTTAAATATATATATAGTAAAAAATCTTATTGTCTGAAGGTACAAGGCTTAGAGCTTTAATATTTGTTAAATGATATCATCTATAGGAACTCTACCAAAGTTGTTCAAATTTTGCCTCTAGTGTCAAAATTAGCCCCGCCCCGGGGGTTATAGGTTTTCCTTATATGTATAAACTAAAAACTTAAAAAATCATCTTCTTTAAATTTACAAAGACTAGAGTTAAGATATTTTGCATGAAACATTATGTAGTGAACCTCTAGCAAGATTGTACAAATAATAGCCCTGGGGTCAAAATTGGCCCCACCCCCAGGGGTCATTGATTTTCACTATGTACACATAGTAAAAAAATAAAAAATATTTTTGTCTGAAGGAACAAGGGATAGATTTTTGATGTTTGCTATATAATATCATCTATAGGTCCTCTACTAAAGTTGTTCAAATTTTTCCCCTGGTGTCAAAATTGGCCCTGCCCGGGGGCAGTGATTCTCATTATGTACACATAGTAAAAACAGAAAATAAAACAAATGTTTTCTGAATGGGAGAAAGCTACAGCTTAGATATTTGACTTGAAATGTTGTTTGGTGGACCTGTATCAAGATTGTTTTGAATTAAACCCTTGGGTCCAAAATTTTGTCTTGCCCAAGGGGACAGTGACCTACTTTCTTGTCCTTTGATGTACAGCAATGAAATTTTGACCATGTGCACAGTTTTAGTTGTAAAATTGAACTTTGATGTCAGGTGACCTAGATTTTGTTGATGTGACCTACTTTCTTGTCCTTTGATGTACAGCTATGAAATTTGAACCCTGTGCACAGATAAAGATGTAAAGTGAACTTTGATTTCAGCTGACCTAGATTTTTACAAAGTGTCTTACTGTGTTGTCCTTTTGATGTAGTCATGAAATTTAGGCTGTGTGAAATATGACCTTCACCACCAAATTCACTAGACTCGAGTGCATTAATATCTTCCTACTCTGATCTTTTATTGAGTTAACATTAGATTTAACCACTTATCTGATAATAAGAGTCAGGGATCTATGCTTTATGACAATCTTCAAAATTGTAAAGAAACAAAAAAAATCTGTTCCTACACTACTATTTAGTGTTGTATTAATGCGGTGGCATAGCATTTTTCTCAAATGCAATCTTGTTTTTTTTGCTTTGGGAATACAAGCAGGAAAATCCATTTATTGTCTTCTTCTTTCATACATACACAAATATCAATGGTACAGAGTACAAATTAAATTCTGATAAACAGTAGAGCCACACCTTACAGCAACCCCATTTTCATAACCAATCCACTTTTACAACCAATTTGAACAAAAAAAAACAACATTTTTTCTTCTTATTTCATAGTCTTTCTAAAATTGAGACCAGTCCCCTTTTACATAATATGACACTTTCTCTGGACCAATAAACAATTTTGCATGTATTTCAATTTTGTTAATCAGACAGAACGTACCAAGATAGTTGTAAAATAACTTGTGTCAACACTAAAGACCATATTTTGACCTTATTTATTAAACTTTATGAAATGTTTTCATAGGGGTAATGCCTGTTTTGATGAAAAACGTCCAATGATCTATCTTTGCTCATTATAATGAATCAAAGAAATTTCTTAGACAAAGTATTTGAGTATATTTGTGATTTTCATTTCTTGATAATGTTTATTATAACATTCAGAAAATCTCAAATTAATTTATTACAAAACTTTTGAATTTGTTTGTGTTGGACATCTACGTTCAGTGAACAATCCTAGCTTGTGAGCATTTTCTCTTTTAACTTGTAACTTAGAATTATTGTTTAAAAAAACCAACAATAATCTAAGAGTAAAAATGTGTTTTGTTTGTTTAAGCTTTGCTGTAGACCGAGTTATTTATAAGTTGATATATGGCTATACAATCAATATTTAGAAAACAAATAAACTGGGAAATACAATACACGCCCTTGTTAACATCATAAACAATTACCATTTGTTACTCCCTTTTTTAACTATTGTATATGGACTGTATTCAAATGTAAAATCTTTTTGTTTACTGAAACTGTTTTTCTATGAAACACTGTACATGCAATATTTCTTGCTAAAATTGATTATTTGTCATGAAAACTTTGTAAAATAGAACAAGTTACACAATACAATACATTTCTATGACACTTTTGTATGAACAAAATGCTTGACTTTAATTAGAAAGTCATGAATAGTTTTATTCATGCAAAACTCACTCGCTAATGGATTTATAGACTATGTTTATTAATGGAAGCTTGTTAGCTATTGAAAATCATTATATATTAATGAAGCAACATGACTTTATTTTCAATATGCACATTTCATGCTATTATTTGTCGTGAATAATTTAGTTCCAGACATTGATTTTCTGCTATGAAAATACAAATATATTACATTTACCTTGATGAAACTAGGGTTTTTAAGAGTACACAATCAATTATAGTTTTGTTTTGCTTCAGCCTTTGAACATTAACTTTTAAGTACATAAGACCTGATTCTATAAATATACACATGTATTGCAAAATGGTTCTACCCAGGTGTCTGTTTATGCCTGATGTATGTACAAAGTGCATCTTTATTCTTATATACCTGATATTTTCCTATACAAGTCACAAAGGTTTATCAAAATCTCATATTGCATTGGTAGATTTTGAAATTTTTTATAATGTGAAAAATCAAGACAACATATTCTACTAGTTTGACTTCAATATGTCTTCATCAGAAATGAAAATCAACATCATACAAGAAAATGATATTCTGTCTGTTAAGGTGGAAATGTTAAAAATGATATTAAGCCTACTGGTACATAAATGTAAATATATATCAAAATAATACTGTAAGTTTTAGAAAGAAAAAATATTTTTTCAGGATTAGAATAGTAGTAATAAAATCCAACATATTTACTTGCAGGATAGTTAGTTTAAGTGAAGTATTAAAAATAAAATTAATATAATGCCCTGATGCAAAAAAATATAAATATTTTTTGAAAAAAAGAAAGAAAAAAAGTATAAATTTCATTATTTTTGTATTGCAGTGAGGGTGCATCAGAAGTGTTCAAAAACATAGCTAGGAATCTGGACATGACAGACGCAATGTTTAAAGTTCTTCAAGACTTGTGTCCTGATATGGCCCGACCATTGTGATAACAACAATAACAACAGGACAATGATACAACATTATTGTACAATTGATTTGTGGCGCCTTTGTGTAACCATGCCAGGTTGTACACAGTGCACACCACTGTATAAATCAGATACATGGAAATGATACTGTTATTCTATGTAAAGTTAGAACTCTGAATTAGCATGATGCAGATGTAATAAATACAGGGGTTGTGTCATCTTGACAGTTTAATATGTCATTACCATACACCACGATACATAATCATCTTTAAATTTATTGCTATAAATTTATCATTCTGCAATGTCATGCATTTTTATTACCAACATTTAGAATGCAAGCTAGTTGCTAACATAGTACATGCATATAGACCCCTACATTGTCTGCCAAAGTCTGGCCAGATTGTATACTGTTTGTTTTACAATTCTAGTCTCCATTTTTTTAACCTCCCTCTGTAACTGTTTAAGGATAGGTCTGAATTAGAGCTGAACATTTCTTTTACACAGAATGAGCAAGGTCATGGCTGGTGTTTAGTCCTTTATATAAGCTTTATATTTATCATTCTAGTCTTTTCTTATAATAACTGGTGCAATACAAGGGCATTTTAATGATAGAGGTTGTATTATAAATGTCAGAATTTTAAATAATGCTTTACTAGGCTACATTTGATATTATTATTTTTATCATGCAAGTGTTATCGGGCAGTTGCCATGGCAGTTGCATTATTTTCAGGTTAGTAACCTGATATCAAAAATAAGCCCTGCCTGTTACAATGGACTTTCTTTCAAAAGCTTATATTCTCATATTTAAATAACAGCCTTTAAATTCTACAATTTTATCTCATATCCTTTCAAGTCTCAATTAATGTGCAATATTTACTATTTTGTAGTAGTTTTCGAATATGAACAAATTGGATAGCAAAAGTTAAGTACCAAATTAATGAAGTGACGTCTTTATTTGTTTCCAAAATGACATCAATGATGTCCACGTCATATTATAAAAAAGACAAACAAGCTAGACATTTTTCTTGGAAAACTTGTAAATATTTAATTTGTTTCGCTAGATTATTATTAAATAACTGAGCAAATTGTTTCATTCAGAAAATAAGATGCTTTTGTTTAATTGTCAAGTTGATTTTTCTTTGTTTGAAACTGAAATTATTGTGAACTTAAGAATTTGACATTTCAAGGAAAAAGTGCAATAAATTTTATATGATCCATAGGGAAATTTTTGATCGATGTGTAAAGATTAATATCTTATTGTATTAAATTTAGTTGTACATGTATATATTATCAAAGGAAAAAATCTAGTCAAGAGAAAAAAATGGCCTCCATTTACAAGGTAAAAAAGTTTTGTCTCCATTTTAAAGTAGATTGTTTTGTAATTTTTACTTCTTATGAGTTTTATCAGGCTCGGCTGATATGGGCAGAAAGGGCTCAACAAGCCAACTTCTTCCAGCCCATATCAGCCTTGCCTTGCCTAGTAAAATTGTTATCGAAAGACAGTAACATATTTTTCACTATAAATTCCTTAAAATCAGGATCAGTAATTTTGCTAAATCGTCAGGGAGGTGGAATGGTTTGTTAAGAAGTGCCTCTATGATTCTTTTCTGTATAATTTTTTTGTGTTGTCAAAAACATGTATATACTTGTATTGTTTGTGCCATATATACTGCTTCTTGTCACCTTTAAAGTGAAATTGTTATAATTTTATTTTTTTTGTTAATCTATTTTGTTATTGAAATATTAAGTATTAAATAAATTCAGTGCTTATGAATATGCAAATGTAAGAAAATAATAAACAAGCATATGGAAAACTGATATATTATTTTTGTCTAGAAACAAAATTTTCCTGTTTTATGGAAATAATTTGTTTACATATTTCGAAACTTTTGTGTTATAAGGCAGAATCATACATTGTATATTTTCCTATTAAGCGTTTCACTTTTTAAATAAATTGTTCTTGAATATATTTTGTACTTTGTAGTACATGTACACCAAAGTTATCTCAGTATTTGCTGCAGTTAGAGATTGACTGGTATTAATCCTTTACCTCATATAGACGTGTTTTGACGGCTTTTCGACACCCCCCCCCTTTTTGATGGAGAAAACAAAATTTAAGATTGAGCATGCTGTTACAGAGGCTATGTTCCAGTCAACATGTGTGCCAAGTTTCATCAGTATTGAAGCATTTTTCAAGTTTCATAGCAGTTTGAACTTGTAACACGAGGCTTTTCAATGAAAACGGCCATTTTTCACAATATGCTCATGAAGGAAAGGGTTAATATAAAACAAAGTGTTTCAATTAATTTCATTAATGTTTAGCCTGCTGGTTGCAAGCGCCATCAATGCAGACCAAGATTATTGCCAGCATGCTATATTAACATGGTCTGAGAGCTGTTCGCTGTTCAGGCAGTATGTATTTTGAAAAGTTCCCTAAAATGATAAATGGTTGTGTCCAGCGTGAAAGATGGACAGGTCCACTTAAAATATTAAGCAGCATAAAGAGAAAATGATATTTTGACTAAAATATAATAACAAAAAACATTTTTACAATTTTTTATTTTTCATCATTTTGTTTCATTCATTTATTCATCCAACAAAAAATACAATAAATGATAATAAATGATAAATTTGTGATGTAAAAATGAAATTAAACACTGATTTTATGGAATATTTCTATATAATTATGTATATATATATATAATGATGGGTAAAATACTGTACAAATCTGATATGTTTATACTATACAACAACAGTAATTGATATGTGTAATATCTGGCTCGGATAATAGAGATCATATAAATACCTCTATTATAATATGGAATGTGATATATGTCAACATTAATATTTCTAGGTCAACTAAAACATTTCTAGATCAACTACAACATTTATAGGCATTTCAAAATTGACAGGAAACATTTCTAGGTCGACATTAATATTTTTAGATCAATGGAATCACTTCCAAAATGACTGAAATGTTTCTTCATCAAAAGGTACATTGCAAATTGTCAAATAAAATATTTCTCTGTCAATGGAAATTATTCTTGATTGACAGAAGCATTTCCAAGTTGACAGAAATATTTTAAGGTCAAGAGAATAATTTCTAGATTTTCAGAACCTTTCCTGTGTTCAAAGTAAACAAAATCTTAGTTTAAATATACATCATTGCCTAGATCTGCTCTATTTATAGTTTTGTATACCAGTAGTCCATAAACCTGAAGAATTAGTTATTAATTGTTAGTTATTAATATTTGAGTAATTCGAATGATTACTTACTAATATTAGTTTTCTTATGAACATTTTTGCCTGTCAATTTGGATGGTCAACTTTCACTTACAACACTCTTGAACAAAATCTTAAAACAACATTTATTAACATTCAAGTCTAAATTTTCTTTGCATACTTAATTTTATTTCATTAATAGAAAACATTTAATTTTATTTCATTAATAGAAAAGAAACACCCTTCTATAAGAAGGCCTTTAAAATTGATCAACAATTTAAAAACTTTGCCTTGACATCTAATAAGCATTAATCAGCAACAAATATACCTAACAAGGCAGACTTGGAACATAAATGTATAAATGTAACAACAAATTCCTGTTTTGTTTAAGGCAGACTTTTAAAATAAACAGATAAGGCCCAGAAAATAATCTTAAAAATATTAAGGCAAAATTTTTAAAATATTCATAAACATTCATAACATGTTTCTAACACAAGTGTAACACGTTCATATATAAATATGACCTCTAATCATAAGTTTATGCACATAGTTAACAGTTTATTTAAAATATACATAAATTTGTGTTTCCAGACATCTGTACACATGAAAGTTTCAATATATACATACATGTATATACATTGTGTTAACACAGACAAATACACATGTAAATATTTGATCCAATTTATCACAGACAATATTCATTATGTACAAGATTTAAGGCAAATACCAATAACATCAATTTAAATGCTGTATACAATATGTTGTAAGGTAACTTAAAAAAAAGAAGACTTTTTCTTTTAAAATATCTTACAATATAAACTAAAATTGCAATAAAATGAATGTTCTTCCTTGTAGAATATGTAGATTCAACAAGAAAACTTCATTAAAGAATGGATTTCAAGTTAAAGAAAAAAATGATAAAATGAATTTATTAAAATCCATGCCTAATGATTTTTTATCAAAAATAAACCAATGAAATTTTACACCAGTGACTAGCACTATTTGCCAAATAAAAAATGATGAAATATTGCAATCTTCAAAATGCCACTTCTGTACAAGGCTGCATGGAAATTCAAAAGATTTTTCTTGTCAGTAAAACAGTATCTTTTATTGTTGTAATTTACACATAAATTGTAAAAAGTTCATTTATTACAATTTCTGTGAAAAATACTCTCATAAAAACACCTTTTCACCTACAAGAGATACACATTTTTCTTCAGTCATTTACACAAAAATTGTAAATTATATGGATAATTTGCAATATTCTGTGCAATGATAATAATCAAAATATTATCTCATGCATAAGAAAAACCTTTTAAATTTTTGTACTTGATCTTTTTGACAAGCAAGCCTTGTGCATCAAATGCAATCTTAGCTGAAAAACACAACATTAACATTATATAAATTATGATATGTATAAATACATAGAGAAGGGATTTTTTTAAATATATACTGAACACATTGTTTGTTTTCCTGAACAAATATACTATATGGAATGTTTGATCTAATGATGAATGTTAAACATGGAAATAATTTATAACAAATAAAAACATCAAACAATGCTGCGGAGAATAAAACCTACATAACAAATGCATCCTCTAACTTGTTTCCTTAACCTAATGAAAAAATCAAAAAAAATCTGGTCAAAAGCCTCTTTAAGTGACATTATGTCCATGTATATAGTGATTAAACAGGTGAAAGAAAGAAAAAAGTTGAATTTCTTAATAATTCCTAATGTTATGTTATAATTTACTTTGCATCAACAATGAATAATTTACGTGGCCTAAACAAATTTCTATAAATATCGATCGGAATTTACCTATAATTGAACATTTATAAAACGGGATAGAATTTTTTATATTTTAGGCAGATTTATGTTTTTTCCTAAACTTTTTTCAGTATCATTCGATCTTTTGAAATATATAGTCAATTCGGCCCAACTTGACAATTAAAAAATGAGCATAATGTCACTTCAGCTTAATCTTAGACACAAAGATAAAAAAAGAAAAACAACAAAAAACAATAATATGTACATGTAAGTTAACTGTAACAAAATTATGGCAGTAAAGAATTTTACACTGTGGTAAAATATGAGACATTAGTAAAATCTAAACTTAAATTTTTAACTTAAAAAGTTTGATAAAAACTCTCACAAACAGATTAAAATGATAGTGTTAAAATCTGTTATGGTTTTAGTATTGAAAATACGAAAATGCATGATATGTACCAAGATATGAAATTTGCACATCAATTTTCCCTGTCCACTAATTGTACAAAAATATAATTGGACAAATATTAAAACATATCACTAGACATTGACAAAACAATGTGTTACCGTGGAGTAAATCTACTCATATAAAATGTACACTTGGCACAGTAACTAGATCCTAGCTCAACACCTAGTTTATGACACAATGTACAGGCTCCCTCACCTATCACCTCTACAGGTGAGTTACTTGTTGAACTGTCTGTGTCCTCGTTACCTTTCCTACATGAGATCTGTGATGATAACCTATCATCACTCTGGTACCCACTAAATGTCATCTGGTTCCCATTACCCAGAGTTCCAAAGTTGCCGTCTACTGCAGAAACCAGACAAATGTCTGCAGAAAATGTTACAGATTTGCGAGGTTTGTTCAATTTATCACTATTCTTACTTCTTTTGGAAAGAGCAGATTTTGGTCTGGGCGGTTGTTCAGAAAGAGATTCTGACTCGGATTTACTGCGCTGCCTTTGTAATGGTACACGTGCAGTTTCGCGTGGATCTATGGGAACACTATTGACAATACCTAATTGTGAATGCTGATTATTGACCATATTTTGAACACTATGTACAGTTTGACTATCTGTCCTATTACCATCGGTAGTGACCTTTGCAGATTCAAACCTCGAAGTTAGAGCACGTACGCTGACTGGCTGATGTTCGTCACCTTCACTAGTATCCGGACATAACACCTGTGGTGTTAATGGACGTTGTGGTACAGGTACTGACTCTTCACATAATTTCCGCAAGTCTGGCTGGCTCTGTAATATTAATGAAAATTAAGTTGTAACACTTGTTGCCAGAATAAATGTTTTACATTTACTTGAACTAAAAATTTAAGTCGTATCTCTTAAAATATTCAAAATAAGTTACCGGTATATTTAATTCAGCATCTAAAGAAAACTATCATTTAATATATGCAAAAAATCTCTTTTTCCATGATTCTAATAACAGACAACTAAATGAAAAGAGCAAAGACGTTGAAAGTTCCATTTTTAAAATAAAAAACTTCTATACTGTAAAAAATATTACTTGAATTAAACTATGTTTAACACAAAGCTAAAAGAGAGAAATAAAGAATATAAAATTAAACTCCCTGTATCTACAAGTAGCTATTTGTCAACTACCCCACACACACAGCCAGTGAGCACAGTGTTAAAGCAAGACATGTTATCTTGTAATAAAGTATTTATTCCACAGTGCCATGTACTCTTAGCACCAGCCAAGTCAGGGTGCAGATAAATCATATACCCACAGGGACGGGTTATAAAGCTCGAACCCATGATTTACAGTGCAATAAGACAGCTAGAGCATTAAGCTTCTTAACCATTACCTTGCTAGTGGCAACTGAAGTAACCAGTGCAGACAAACTGTTCCCTACTCAATCAGTTTATATTTTAAAATTTCTATCAAAAATGATGAATGGTTTTGTCCAAATTGAAAGATGGACAAGTTGTTCATTTAACATAATTAACATTATAAGGATTTAAGATTGATTTAAGAAGGAAAAATATGTCTTATGTAACAAAAATTTAAAGCAGGATAAAAGCAGCATTTCTAAATGAACATAAGCAAGCTCATTAATGCAATAGGGGTTTGTAATAAGCTTAACAAACTGCCAGAAATGTTATAGCAGGTATATAACAGTAGATACTTCTTGAATATTCAATTACCTAAAATTTATATCAATAGTTTCTAAAGGCCATCAAAAAAAAGTGTGCAAGTCAATTAAAAATTTCCAAGTGCTAAAATCCATAAAATCTGATGATTAATAAACTAATCTAAAAAAAAATCTATCACTAAAATCAACTATCAACTCACTTCAAAATATGTGCTAAACAATTTCACCTCAGGATTTAGAGTGCTAGCTAAAAAAAAATTGCAATCAAAAAAAAATCAACAACAAACATTTCTTTTTTAGGCAAAAGACCAGTCTAACAACTGAATAGAACTAGAGCAGTACATCAATACAGCACATTTAGCACACTGATGGTATACTTACTGTGCCACTAGATTTAGAGGTCACTAACCCGCATTTACCGCTAAATTTATTCTCATCTAAAATATTAATGTCAACATAACATTAATGATTATTTTCAAACCTTACTGATATATGAACCATAAATATAGTGAATATGTTCAGAATAGATATTTTATCAATCTCAAAATCAATAAGATGTTACTTTATTACAGTTATTTTTCAACATAAAAAAATTATTTTCCCACATTGCTGCGCTTTACCAGCGACTAAATACGTATTTTTGATTTGCATGGATAATTTGTACCATCAATTTAATGTTGAACATTTAGATATGAATCATGTAATTGGTTTGTATATGGCGATGTTTGCTTTAACCCAGTCATCAATTAATGCAAAAAGTAATAGTTGTGTAAATAGTAAACACAGCCATTTACTTGAAGTATAAACAACCTTCAAAAATACATTCACTGCCAACTAAATGAGATATCTATAGCCACATTATCTAATCCCTAGGTAGAGATATATTTTTAATTGCAAATCACCTAACAGAGAACTTGTTGTCTAGATATTGTCATGTATTGCCAACGAAAACTAATTTAAAAGCATGTAATGAAATCTAAACTGGGCCTTCTAGTGCAAGATCAGTATTAAAGATGACCCTAGAATGTAAACATCTCTACAATCTACCCCAAAATACACCTTCTATATGTAATCTTATCACCATACCATTATCCCTGTAATCATAATCGCTTTCGGAAAGTTTAAATGGGCTCTAGTATGAGGTATATTTACACTAGTCTTCATACGTTTCTTATAGTAAACTGGTGATGCATGCAAAATAACCTGTAGTAAGTGAATCAGCGATTTTCGTCTTTTTCTATTGATGCAGTGTAAAAAAGAAAAACCCTCCAAAATAATTTGATAGTGATCATTGAGCTGTTGATTTTCAATATTGAATTTACTGTCAAAAGACCTCTTAAATATTGTAAACATGTGTAAAGATCTGCTGAGATGAAATGACAGCTTAATTATTATTCAATTTCAAGTCAATATCTTCCATCTAATTGCCTTGACTCAATAGACGTTTCAATTCTTACAGATAAAATTGGAAAACTGTACATGACTTTAAAATGATCGATCATTTCCGCTTGATTATAAAAATATTGACAACAGTTACTTAAAAATTCATTAGTTTCCTACTCTAAAATATCCAAATTTATTCACTATAGAATGAGATGACTTTTGTTAAATGTAAAATGAGTTGCTAAACTATAATTATTGTATTATTTTAAAATCTACTTTCTTTAAAGATCGAGAAAAATAGTCAGGAAAAAATTATTTTGGTGCCTTATTATAATCATTAGTACCTGCTCTAGTTTGCGTTACTTTATATTCAGAAGGCCTAGCAGGATGTGAAAAAGAAGCACTGCGATCTAGCTGTCTGCGTTTCTCCCTCGACCAGTAGCGATCTGTGCTGCCATACTGCACAGCTGAAGCTACTGGTTCACAGAGATTTGCACTTTTGACTGGTAGCTGTGTGGAATAAGCAGTCTGTATGGAGGTTAGGGATGCAACTGGGTTACTAGCAGGTATTTTACTGGTTTTTACATGGCTAGGCAAAGTGCCATATAAGCCAGTTCTAACTACAGGTGGATTTTTGAAGAAATCACCATTTTTGTTATAACTGGCATTGCTCATGTAGTCATAGTAACCATGCTCACTGCTTGCAGTCTGACTGGTTGATTTAAACCAGACTGGCTCTCTTGTAGATACAGGAAGTCCATATTGTCTAGACTGGTTACAAACCTCAGTATGTTGTGACTGGTTCCCTATTTTTGGTGGTACAACAGGAATAGGTTTGGTACTGTGACCGAAGTTCACCCCCATAGAATTATCACCACTGTTTCTATTAAAGGTATTATTAGACATAAACTGTCCTTGTGGATATGAGAAATGTTGATAATCACTAGGATTAAAGTCATTTACTGGAGTTCTAGCTCCAGAATTTGTCCGACTGTGGTTGCCACTTTGACGTCTCTGATTTTCTAGAAAATCATTATAAACCTCAGCCTCATGTTTTTGATTATTGCACTGTCTGACATGTTCTTGTGATTTTTGAGTCTTCCGCCGGGGAAGTGTTCCATAGAGATCAGCATTGTTTGTATTTGTGTCGGGTATATTTGTTTCAAAACTCCTATCCTTGTACCCAGTGTGGTATTCAGGTGGCATGTGAGGTTCAACAGGAGGAACTCGTTCACTTGTGGACGGTCTCATCACCTTGTCAAACACGGGAGTCGTACTACGGCCAGAACTACTCATACTGTCCATGGAGTTCTGGGAACTTGACCTAGATGGTGGCTTGCTCCCATTAGCCTGAGACTTCTGTTGTCCAAAATGCCCATTGCGATTCCTAAAACAACAATTATAATCATACTTTCAAAATCCATGAAAACTGAAAATCAATATCTAACCTTTGTTGCAAAAAATAAGCATGGAAGTATTAAATCAATTTTATTTTCCATCTAATACAAAGATACTGAATGTTTATATTAACGGCAATATATAAACTATGGGTCAATGTCAATATAGTTTTATATAAAGTAGGTTCAGTATAGAACTTCACTATATAAGTAGATTATATTTGTATCAAATACCTGTAATCCTGATTGATTCCACTATCACTGCTATTAGATGACATGTTAGATTCTTGACGAGCCATCAATCTTTTCTGAAGACTTCGAAACTTGATAACACAAGAGTTGTGTTTTTTCTGCGCAGTGATATATAAAGACTGGCCGAGTTTTGGCAACTTCATGGCTGTATTGAGATTATCTATTGCCTGCTGACAATAGCCTAATGCATCACCGTAATGTTCCGAGGTCTCTGCCAGAACACAGCCATCCATAAACTCTTCCGCCTTCTGACACAGTGCTATAAATTGTTCATTACCTGCAAAAAAACAATATAATTATTTATACATCAATTCATAAACATATTCACTACATACTCTTTAAAGCAAAACTACTTATTTTCTTAATTGCATCAATTATCTAATATTCATTATCAAATAATCATATATACAACTTGTAAATGGAATTCATAATTATATTTATCAGCTTCAATAACATTATTTGTATGGGACACATACTTTAAATTAGATAAGTATAAAGAATATGTACCTTCACGAAATGTTTGGGGCATTTTGCTCATAGGTTGACTGCCAGGTTCTGGAATATTCTGGGGCATACCTGAAATCATCGAAATAGTTATAGTATATCAATTAGCATTAATCAATCAGTCTAACTTGCATTTAATAACTACTCAGTTATAAAATCGTTCCCCCCTCATCTAGTAATTTACATTTCTTAAATAACTAAGGCATGACATTGGAAATTATTTTTCTGTTCTTTAATTATATAATTTAGGTTGCCATGGATACCAAAGTTTTGGTTAAAAACAGTTTTACATTCTTACCAAATGCATCACTAAGATACATGTATGGCGTGACAATCTCCCGGCAGTAAAGATTCACCCTTGTCATTGTGACTTTCGTATGTCCACAATAATTACGATCCCAAAATAACAAAATCCCACAACAATCACAAAATAACTATCAATTGTTCTCAATGTTACATTATCTCCAAATTGTTTGAAGTTTTATTCTTCTTTTAAACCCACGTTTACATCTTCTTATTCATTCTGTAGACACATTTCATGAAATATTGCCAGATCGCATGATCAGTACATTCAACTAAATATAAATCAGTCCAGATAATCTCCAATGTTGTTAGGACAAACCAAAAAAGATATTTTAACAAATTACTACTAAGTAGTCGCTAATTGTTAAGGTATTGTAATATTTGATAAGTTTCACGCCTCTATGTACATTCCTACGATTCATGTGCATTATGGGATACAATAGAGACGGCTGAAAATATGTAACCTATGACCTTCGGGACAATAGTAAAGTAAGAAATTAAGAACAATGGAGTAAACTACCATGATAAATTATAATTATCAACGTCAGAAAATTAATGTTCATGCACGATTATGTAAATATTTATGCATAATTATATTTCTGAATCGGTCTAACAGCACAGATGTTGCCGTAAGGCGTCTTTTCTTTGTATGTACAAACAGTTAAATGCACTATAATAAAAGAAATTGCATGATTGAACATCGTCAATGAATAAAGGACAATCAACTTGTATGAACAATTTATATAAAAATAATCAACCCAATCATCATTCACAATGGAACATTGTTCACGTAAATTTTTTTCTTACTTCTCATAAGAGACTTGTTACATTTACTTTTTAAATAAATAATAATAGTAATGCTGATAAAAAAAGCCTTTAAACATTTCTTTCTTTCTTATTCTTTAATTTTATATATCATCGCTTAGTATAAATTTTTTATCAGAACCTAAAAACAAAGTTTTGTTTATCAAAATGTTTAATGTAAGTTATTTGATACTAGATCTATGTGTTATTAAATTTATTTCACCTTGGTCAGGTATTATGGTCAATATATACAAACAAAACTTATTAATGCGTAAAAGATAGTAATACAAGATTTACATATCCGAACACCCGAGGGTGGCAAACTGGAGATTTTTATAAACCACAACTATTTCAATCATGTGTATTAAATAAGGATCATCCCAGGTTCATTTAATAGTAAAATCATGATGGTAGGTATTAAATGTATTAAGTTATACCAATAATAGTTTATGTGTAGATATTTCAATATCATATTTGTGAATGACCTCTGGTCAGGTTCATTGGTAAAATTATACTTTCAGTTATTATTGGTTACGGAATGATGAAATTTTTAATGTAACAGTACAAAATTTCATCTATCCATCTGTTTAAACTAAACATGGTAAAAATTGGCATTCTTAATAATAACAATTTTGCATGGGTTTTGAAAAAGTTCTGAACTTTCAAAAAATAAACCTTTAAAAAAACGTGACCTATCCCGAAAAATACGTTCAGTAATTATACAAAAATATGCAAGAAAATTAGGAAGATTTTCAAACAGACAAAGAAATGACTGATAATTTAGACAATTTGATGACACCACTTTTTCTCAATAATTTCAAAATATCATTTTTCCACCTATTTTAAGCTAATTAGTTTTAGCCAGTTGGCAGATAATATAATTGTACTGTATTGATTGAAAGTAAAAACCCTGGTCTAATTGTTTTAATTTCCCTGTTTTGTTAAAAATAAACTAAACAAGAAGATAAATTGCTTTAAAGTGAAAGTGATTAACATACCTTTATCATTTGTTCCGTCTAACCCATGTTGTCCTTGACCTTGATAAAGAGGTCCTTGAACTTTAGGGGTCATCTGGGTAGGTAGACATGGCTTGCCCCTTCCACTAATTGCATCAATCCCTACTGCTTTTGAGTAGTTTGGGTTCATTTGTTGGCAATGACCTACTGTTTGGCTCTGACTATAATACTCATTTGGGCTCATTACCAAGGATTTGAGATCTTTTTCTTGAGTGTACTCTAAGCCAGTCATACCTGGACCAGTATCCATCAGTTTTCTCATGTTCTCAGCAATGTTTTGTTGATTAATAGTTTTGGGTGGAATCATACTTCGAGATAGAAAGTACTGTTCATATGGGTTCATAGTGATACTGCCAGTAGAGCTCGAACTATTCCTGTCACTGCTGGCATACCCAGAGTCTTTGTGTGAGTCCAGGGAGGCTGCATCAAAAGGTATTTCTGTTGACAAATTATCTTTGGGAGTCACAATTCTACCTCTGTTATAGGTATCGGACTCTATACTGCTTGTGCTGGTCTGGCTAACACAAGAGCCTGACCGCTGTAGCTTCTGGGCACTGAGAACACTCTCTACCATCCTCCGGTCTATATAATATTTCTCCTCTGAGAACCCTTCATCTGTCGGCTTCTTCTCTGGTACAGGGGGTTTGTCTGATAATGAAGACTTTTCTCTTTTCTCTTTCTTACTCTTAACTTTCTTTTCCTCTTTCTTTTGTTTATGTTCATCTTTCTTTTTATCATCCTTTTTCTTGCTTTTGCTTTTTTGTTCTTTAGGTTTATCTGTAAGTGTATCCTGACTGGCTGAAGACATCTGTCTGGTATGAGAATCAGTCTCATTGACTGGGCACTCAACAACTGTTCCTGAACTTAAAATACTGCTGTTTGAACTTTGACGAGAATGCATATCATTGTCTACAATGTTCTGGTAAGTTAGACAACTCTGATAACCTTGCTGAACTTGATGATTTGCATGAATGCTGTAAGGTGGTGGAGGGCCATCATATGGATATTGCTGATTTGAAGCTGCCAATGGCTGAGATCCTGCTCGTGGTTGAGTATGTGACATTGATGACAGTGATGATGATGATGACTGTGATGGTATAGATGAATTACTATTGCTGCTTGGCATATTGCCAGACTTCTTACTCCTTGGAAGTGTAGCCAGTCCAGACTGAACTGGAGTGTGTGCGCGTGTTACAGAATCCTTATTGTCGTACACTGGAGCACTAGTTGGAAGAGGTTTAATCACTTTATGAGAAATGTTTGCCATGTTTGACATGTTCTCCTCAACACTCTGAGATCTTGTTTGCACAGGTTTGGGTTTTACTGGAAGTGCTGGCTTAGTAGTAGAGACATTGGATCCATTTGTTGTTTCACTGAGTGAAGAGTTCATATCTGATTCAGAAGACTGAGAAGATCTCCTGGAACCATCGACATGATAACGAATGACATCACCAGCCACTTTACCTTTCCCTTTCTTAAAACTATCTTTTCTTTGCTGTTCAGCTGTTCTGGAGAAATTTTGTGTCAATGGAAGTTTATTTGGATCATTTACGTTCATTCCTGGACGTCGATATTGATCACTATTTGACAATGTGTAATTGTAGCTATCTGGATCCTCGGGTCCATCTGGAATATCAGCAAGGTAAGGGACAGAACTCTGCTTTACATACCCCGGTCTTGTGTCAGTCAGACTAATATCTTTCTGTGCATTCATAACCTTACTATTGTTATGAGGCACAGCATATATTTGTTCTTCTTTATATTTTTGCTTTGTTACTGCCAACATAAAACTAGACTGACGTCGATTCTCAAAACTTGACGTCCTTTCTAAAGGTTCTTTCTCAGACTGGTTGCTATCTGATCTGTTTAAACCAGGAGCTCTTTTAGAATTCAGTGAACCAATCTGAGCTTTATCAGGTAAAGTTGGTTGTCCTTTGTTTTCTTCTTGACCTGTAGAGAAATCAAGAAAAATAATAAATATCCAACCTATCAATAACTTAATCAAATAATAAATCCATCACATTGATATTTAAATAGCAAAATACATCCAGTATATGCAGAGGTAGATGAGACGTCAAGTTTGGAGGTGATCAGAGATCATGTGACAGACAAGAGGTGTTAGAAAGTCATAAACTAGTCACATCTAAAAAGATTTATTGCCAATCATCAAAAAATACCACAATATCGTCATCATTCCATTTCTTTGAAAAATATCCACAAAATTAGTTATAATGACCAGTGGTACACTTTTTATGTGTAACAAATTGTAGCAAATAAATAAACTTTCATCAAATATTTACCCCACTGCTTTGTGTAGGTGTTCTATATGAAATGAAATGCATTGCAAAACAGTAGAAAAATTATCTTTAAAAACTTCCTTTATATGAACAATGAGTAAGTAATACAATACTGAAAGTCTTAATTTACCTTTTCCTTGTGTCATAGAGTATCCAGGGGCCATAACCCTGGTACTAGGAGCTGTTTCAGTTGGTACAGACTGTGCATTGGGGTTTGTGTAAATCAACAAAAGGGGCTGATATCTGCTTTTAACAATACGATCAACAACTAGCTCCCATTTTTTGCCAACCTGAAAATATACAATAACAATTTACATTACAATACATTGAAAACTACTTGATGTGATAAGACTAAAATATAACAATCACCATTCTAAACTGTTAAGTTATGTGTAAGCCTTTTTTATGTAATTTTCTTTGTTGAATTTCTGTGACAAGAATTCTTTGTTTCAGATAAGATACTCATAAAAGAAGATTTTATTACCACACCTTTTATTCCTATTTATTTCCTATACAAAGAAAAACAGTTTTGTAAGCTTCTTAAAAACAGATTTATGCTAATTTTCAGAGACACTTCAATCTGAATAACACTGTTTAGATAGCTGGTGAAATGAATTAAAATTCTTCTCATCCCCACAGGTATGATAAATAAATACCATAAAAACTGATGACAATGGGATGGGTCATATATCTATGTAAAATATGTCATCTACATACTAATGTAATGGGTTACTACAAACTTTTACTACAAACTCTTATATTTTCTACTATAATGACAAATCATAATTTGTTGCTATTCACAGAGGTAAATCATGGTAATAAACAGGTGTGTATCATAATTACTCTATGAAAAAGACTATTGCATACAAGGGCTCTGATTGAGTCTTAATTTGATCATTATAATTTTTATTTATAGATATTGATACAAATTATCTTCAAGGCCAAACTTACTGACAAAAAGAAAAATTTATGTACACGAAGTTTATAAAATCAACTTTAATACTGTTCGTTATAGATTTAACAACTTAGTATCATACTTCAGTTTAATTTTCAGAAATAAAGATAATTTCAGTATCTTTTTTTTTTCATGGATTCTAAACATTCCTAAAGACTAGATCATATTTCCTTATCTAGATGCCATATAAGGAAATTGCCCACTTAACAAACTTAACAATGTAGATTTTATTTACTTACATGTAGTTATTTATGACAGTTGATTTAGCCTGGGTTTTAAATACGATGGCTCTTGACCATATAATTTTTTATAACCTGTTTCATATTATAATAATATGAAATTTGAATATCGCCATGATAAGGCATAAAATGAAAGGATTTTAAGATTCTGACCTTAAATTACCTGTAGTGAGGTCTGAATCTTATTTGACTCTAAATTATATTCCTGGCATTTAACTTTATCTAGATCTTTTCAAATTATAATAATTTATGAATATAAATTTTCTAATCTTTCAAAAGGTATAAGAATTAACTTGCGGCTAGTGTATTTTTGCTATAATTTGTGTAAATAGAATCTTTTGAAATCTCTAATATCTGTATAAATTCAATTTGTATGCTGAACGCTGAACCAGAGAAGTGACCCGCGTATTTTATCTTTCCGTATGAGTAGTTAACGTAAGTGGCGCCCTCGTGATAAACTCGATTTTTTCACCGTACCTCAAAAAAGCAGTGAAGCAGAGAGCAGATTTGTTTGCAAGATTTTGTCAAGTGACAATTTATACTTTTACCCCCACTGTTTCAAACAGGTAGTTCAAAATGATAAAGGATGATGCTGTGGTGAAGTTTATGGTTGTCTCTAACATTTATTTTACTTCATGGCCGGGCTTTTATGACACGTGTCACATAGCCCTAATGACAAGCCCCCGGGCATTCTAGCTGCTTTGGCACAATGCCAATTTACAACAGGTATAGTAACACAATACATCGCCATTTACGGTACAAGATGAAACCAACGGCTAGAACGCTATCAAAGAAGTCGGTGTACACATCATTTAGCAATTATAACTGTTTCTGAAGTTTTGACTAAAAAATGGCATGTAATCATGGAAAAAGAAAACAATCTATTCTCAGTTACATATATATTTAAACTTTTAAAGCGATACTTTCAAGTTGTAAACAAAATACGATAACTTCAGGCACATTCAAATTACAAATTTCACTTTTTTAATTGACCTGCCATAACACTTGACATATATCGAATTTCCCCATGACGTCTCTTGATTAAATATACATAAATTTAAGGTATACAAAAGAGGAAATAAATATAGGGTCTCCTTGATAATACCGTCATGGTCATTTTATCTATTGCAGTATTTTCAGACAGGACTAAAATTAACTAGTAATTTAAGAATTCAACTATTTTTTAGTTACCAAATAAAAAAACTTTAATATACAATGTACAGATAATTTCTAATTAAACTGATAAACATAGAACAAGAAATTTACCTTTTCCCTATCAATATTAGTTTCTATAATGATATGAAATATTCCATATCATGAACTCCAGAAAAAAAACTCATTTAATCAACAACACTATGAATAAAGTTAATAGATGCAAAGTTGCATTTCCTCCTTCTATTAGGTTAAGGGTTTTGAAAGAGAAACAGTTTAACAAATTTCCACGAATGAAAAACACAAAAAAATCATTCGTCATAATATACGCAAGAAATTTATCCAAGAATTATGGCAACTTTCTCTGCAAACATTGCAGGAAATAAACTAACTATAAAGCCCCTATAGCACTAATTGTAGGAGAGGTGGAGCACCTGAGCTTATAGAAAAAAAAGCCAATCCTCCAATCCTTTCCGCCCTTATATTATTGATCTTTTCCCCTCCTGCTTTCAAAGAGCTAAACTTCCGGCCATCATAAATGTAGCTTTTACTGATTGGATTGAGCAAATTTCAATAGGAATTAATCTTGTCAATTCTAGTTTGTGGTTTCTATAATATGACCTATAATATCATTGAGCAAATTTCCTTTCTTTTATTTTGTTTCCCTCTTGATTTTATTTATCTCGCTGTGAAACTTCTGTCATCGTTTCCTGTCATAATGGAAAATGGCGCAAAAGGTGACACTTTGGGTTATTTTAGAATGGGTAATATAAAAGGGTTTTTTAATACACACACTTCGGTCTCACACAGTGCACTAAAAGGCCTTCCTCTTTGATGAAATAAACATATTAACCCATTTTTTATTGCAATGTCATGTAATATTAAAACATTTGTATATCCTGTAATATTTCAAATGTTTTATTTTGTAAACAGGTAAATAAGTAAATTTCTCACTGTTTACTACAAGGAGTATATTAGTTAAGTCAAATATGATCAAAGTATTATTTATATCAGATGAAATATTGTAATTTAAGCTGTTTAACATATACATGGGAACAGACATTAAGTCATCATTGTTGGACAAACTGGAGCCTAATACAGTGATGTTGGGTGATTTATCTGTTCCCTCTCTTCCCATCACACCTTAAAACTCTTGTCAATACACAGAAAACACAAAGTCTTAAATCTTTCAATTAGATGCAGTGGGTGGTCAACAGTGGTCAAGTTATGGACATTGCTCACTTCATTGACCATAAAACCTGCATGAAGTCGTTTGACACGCACTAAAAAATTTATCCCAGCTATTCAGCTATCAGTAAAAAGTATAATTGCATGTGGGGTAGAAATGGTCACTGACTGACTCAAGTGTCATATCTTCTTTCATTGAAATCAAAATTTTCCCAGGTGTGTTTTGCTATCAATATCAAATACAGTTATCATAGGGAGGATGACAAAACAAGATTTTCCCAATTCTAATTTATCAGTGAAAAGTAAGGATTTATTTTAAATCACCTGCATTAATAAAGATAGTGACATAGCATGATTTTTAAAAACATGTCCAAACATCATGAATCGATACTCATCACAAATATATATTTACAAGGATACTCTTCAAAAAAAATATATATTTACAAGGATGTTTCGTTATCAAATGTTTGCTTTGTTCAGTTCTTGTGACCTCATGTGTAAACAACTGTGGAAAGAAATCTAGTCCTTCGGTTTTAACATAAGTTAGTTTTTCTAGTTAATCTTGTTTTTACTGGGGCCCAGTTCTAGATAACATGATATACGAGCAAAGAAATTTGTCACAGAATTTCAACAAATCTCTACATATTCAAAGACTTCCTAAGCCATACTGGTATTTAAGATAAAAGTCCATGGATTTAAAGTAATGATTATAAATTTCACAGCAAAAAAGTGAAAACCAATAGCACAGAAATTGCAATGTAACATATAAGAAAAATAAAATCTTTACTTCAAAGTACAATTTTGGAAACTATACTAGGCTAAGCCACCAAATAGGTCTCTTCTGAGCATTACATGCTATTTGCTGGACAATCAAGTCTTGTAAATTTGATATTGAAATCTTATTATGAAGTAACAAAAGTAAAGCAAGGGGAGTGGGGGCCTAGTGGTTAAGGCGTCTACCTTTCAACCCAGGGATCATGGGTTTGAGCCCTAATTGGGCATATGACACCAGTACTGGTTGGTTCCAGGAAGAGGACTCGAAAGTGATTAATACAAGTCACAAGAACTTGTTTCACAATCGAGATTAAATAAGTTTAAACCAAAAATAAAGCAAAATAAGGGATATATTTAATCTTAGCACAGGATATCATGAGTACAAAATCAGTGGTGTAACATGATAGCATAACAATGTGGAAGAACTACTCACTTGTCTCACAGTGGCATCATCAAAGTAAACCCATTCTTGTAGTTTAGTATGGAAGATAAAAGTGGAATAATGTTTTCCATAGTAACAAACAACGGCTGTCAACTGTAACCTTGGTAACTGGTTGCCATCGTTACACATTACAGAATGGAACATCTGAAAATATAAAGGAAAAAATTTTGTAAAAAATTGTTGTATGAGGGGTGTATCAGTACTTTTGAACTTTTACCCTTACCCCACTCAATATCTTAAATGGTTTTGTCCATCTTTTTATCTGGACAAGACCATTCATCATTTTAGAGCAAAATTTCAATATATAAACTAACTGAATAGCAAACAGTGCAGACAATGATCAGACAGCCAGCACATACTGGCCAGCTGATCATAGTCTGCACTGGACACATGTGTAGCTGGCAGAGTAAGGGTTAATTTATCCAACTTAAATGTTTCAAAGGTTAAAGTATGACCTAAAGATTAACAGCTAGCATGTCAAGTGTCAAAAACATGTAATTATTTCTCTGTTAATGATATGTCTAAATGTAATTTGTGTAATTGCACATTTTATTTACATGCAGGTCTTTATCTTCTTTTTTTTCCTTTTTTTTTGCTTGTTGAAACATAATGGTTTGTATTGTTACTTTTAAAGTTTTAAATTTTAAGTTTTTAAATAAGGATATTCTTCGAGTGTTTTTTCCACTGTATGTTTTAAACAGAAGATGGTGTCATTAATACAGCTAAAACTTGACAGCGTGAAAATGCCATTAGGCAACCCGTAGTATGTAAAGCGCGTGTCAAATTATATAGCTACGTATATCACAAATTGTCTCCTATCTCCCGCACAAAAATGATGTAAATATTGCAATATACGTTATCAAGATAATACATAACAGTGTTGATATGATATATGATCTTATCGCGTGTCTAAAAGTCAGTAAAGTGTAAAAACATTGATGGTTTTAATGGCTACATATCTCACCTGAAGAAGTAATTTTGTTCCATTTAACATAATTTTAAAACATACTTTTGGTGATCATTTTCATACATAACATTTTTTTTCTAAAGAAATTGGACTGCTTCAATAGAAATATATCATATGAGAATATAAATTTCAAAAGGTATTTTTCATAAAATTTTGAATATTTTAAAGTTATCGGTATTTTTTATTAATACTCATCAATTTATTGCTTTAAAATTCACATTCCACAATAATGTTCAGATAAAATCAGCTTGTCCAAAAGGGCCTTGACAAAAGGCAGTTTCAATGGCATTGTGGCCTAATAGACAAATGGTAATTCTACAATGATCACAGAAGAATTCAACAACTACACTGACATGACATCATACACTGTTAATTATCCCCAAGATGTTTAAATATCAATAATTTCTCTCCAAAATTTTAACACCCTATTATAACATATATAAAACTTTAACAAGATAAGTCCCCCTCATTAAACATAACAATACTGTCACCTAGTCAATAATAGATGAAGCAGAAACATAGGAGGTGGGGTATATCATATGATCTGATCAACCCAGAGAGAGACAAAGACACCCTGAAGCTGTCCAGCACTCACTGGCTTAATGATCCTTCACACAAAATGGATACAGTTATAAATAATAGATATAAATTCTATCATAGTAATCACCTCTGGTCTTACTGTCTCCATCAACATTAATACCTATATTTTCAATATTGTTTTATATATCAGTAATATATCAGTAACTATCAAATAAAACCTGTCAAATGTTACCTAAATGAAAACATCAAAATTTACGGGTTTAAGTTTATTGACCCCCTCTTTGTTACAGGGTTTATACATGTTTATAAGTTATTCAGATAAATGAATGTGATATATAGAAATAAGGTATCAACTTACATCAGGGTAAAGTATTGTTGTCCCAATATTCCGTGTCACCTCTGCGGCCAGCTCGGGATCCGCTTTGTCCGAGCCCCAAACTAGCCCTATACTCACTGTAATAGTAAATATAGAGAGTATTATATACAAACATGTCAAGAACAACAGGTCACTCACATGAATCCTCTTCTTTTACTAATTATTATTTAAATCAAACATGAATTTAAATTTTGGAGCATTTCATGTTATGATGTGATTTTAAGGATTTATTATTAAAATATACTTACCAACATCAGGAATGTTTAGAAGTGTTCTTCTTATCTGTACTCTTTTACCACAGTTACTCTGTAATAATAATAATAATATTGTTTTCAAACACAAGATTTTACTTCAAGCAATTCATAGATATTTACATCAAAGGATGTAAAATATATAGAATTTACATTCAACTGAAGAAAATCAACAAAAATAAAAATATTTAAATTTCTATTGTCAAAATGTTAAAATCAAAATGGATATTTTAACTGCTGTTTAATAAAATAATGTACATGTAGTTATAAACTTACTGGGCAATCTCTAATGTCTCCAACAGCCCCAGCATTTCTCAAGAGAAGCCCGAACCTGCTAGGGTGTAATATGTCCCCACTTTCTTGCATTGTTCTAGATTGGGACCTGTAATAAGAAGGTCGTATAAATGTTAAATGAACTCTTAAAAATGCCAAAAACATTAATTACTATAGTCTGACAGACTATTCCCTGTAGATTGCTTATTTTTACCTGTTATTTTGGAACTCAATCACAAACGTTCAAATGTTTTTATGTTTAATTTACCTTTTTCTATAATTAGCTGGGCTTGGTAATATGAATATTTTTATACATGCTACAAGAGGCTTATAAACTGCCTGGCTTAATGTTGCCAAGGAAGGTAATATGATCAAAAATATCAATTTAGCTTCTAATTAAGATCAAAGACAATATAATGTAATGATGTCACTTTGTGAAATCATGCTTCATGTAAAGTTCCTCAATAATAAATTACCTGAGGACCGTTTAAGAGTTCTAATTGTTCGTTAATTGGTTCCGCTTCAGTCTTTAAATAGCTCCGCCATGAATAGCCAATGAGCATATCAACATTTTAATGTGACAGCTATCATATTTTTCATATATTCATAGCATTTTTAGAAAGATTAATTGATAATATTCCTTGAATAAATTAACCTTTATAATTTCATTCTGATGATACAAGATCTCAGTTACATCAGATGAATAAAACATTATGTTAACCTTGAAAACTTCCCGCCAAATCTTGTTTTTTATGTATGTATTTGGAGAGAAAAATATATGTTGTTTGACAAACCTGAACCTGTGGTTTGTTAATGTGAAACTAAGCATAATAAATGACTGTTACGCACAGTGACAAAATACCTAAAGGTATGAGTGTATAATTATCTACCTAATCATGTCAAATTCGGTATATAAAATACAAATACTGATATACATGTTTACATGATAAAACCATTTAACATTCATTTACAAACTGATTAACAATGTTTTATCAATCTATATACACTGACATGTATTGTACTTTATCAGTCATACAATTGTGCAGTGTGTCACCAAGGCCACTGAAATAGAAAATTTGTCAAGAATTTGATTTCTGATGTATTTTCTACAAGCAGTAGCAGCTATGATAGGGGAGACGTACACCAACAGTGTGGGTTAAGAACAGCCTGTAGGTTATTTTACCTATTCTGTTTTTGTAGCTCAAGTCTATATTTTGATACTAAAATCCCCTATACTAACAATGGACAGGACCAGCAAAGTACACAAATAAAGATAGGTAAGCTTTTAGCAATGGTTTTACTTTGTCAAATTGGATATGCACATCAAAGAATTTACTTACACAAGGGCATTGGCAGAAATATAATGGACCATTTCAAAAAACTTCAATGGTTCTGAGTGGGATCCACATGGACAAACCAGCTGAAATATAAATAACAACATTAATTTAATTGATACAATTTCAGAAGCAGCATGTTACATTTACCTGCCAGGTAATAAAAAACAACAACAAATCAATTACAACCAATGTTCATCTAATAGTTCTATTGTTGTTTTGCCAATACTATGAACATATAGAGTTTTACAGCTTTGATGATGATCTATCTTATCTGAACAAGTTATAAAAGTATTATGTCAAGCACTAACAACTTGATATTGAGACAAGAGACAGATATATACAGCACCATCTAGTCTGCACAATCTCTCCCCCCTTTTCCTTGACCTTCTATGTAAGAGATATATTAATGTATTTGTCTTGACTGATAACAATAACATCTTTGTATAAACCTCTTACATTTATCTTTAAATATTAACTAGAGCAAAAATCCTAAACCCACAAAATTAACATCAACAAAAACTACATAAATGTTTAGTTTTTTGTGTGTATTTATGTGTTTTGGGGACATGATTTAGTATTTAAAATTACTTTTGTGACATGTTTAAGCTGTTACTATGAGCTAAATACATGCTTAATTAAAACACAAAAAAACAGTCACAACCTATATAACATGAGCAAATATAACATGGCCATTCAAGATACAAAAATCCTTTTTGTTTGAAAGTGACAAGGTTACTTTTGTAATTTGTAAAAGTTTAGATGAAGTTATTTTCAGTCAAGCATTGATGAGCTGATGATCAATCAAGGAAAGATGCAAGTTCTAGATTTACAAGATGTTCAATACAGAGAAAAAAGAAAGAAAGAAAAAAAAAACAAAGTTTACATACAAATTGTAACAAACAATCATTTATCAGTTGAATCACATGCAGGAATGTCTCCAATACAAAAACACCTTTCTCCTGTTGCTGTCATTTTTAAAAAAGATTTGATGTAAAAAATGTAGTTTTTGTAACTTTTGTAACATGGTTGAAACCGAACACCAGTACTTTTATAATCAATAGAGAATCAGTAAAAAATGTTTTTGAGAATTTTGTCCACAAAATAATCATTGTGGTTGTCTCAAATAGTGACTCTTTATCAGTGTAAAGTACATTCTTCTCAACAGAATTAAAAATTAACATTTTTATATTATAAATTTATATTAATACCTTATTGGGTTGGGTTTTTTTTCGTCAGTGTTTAAAAATTCTCAATAACAGTGCTTCTTATGAAAAAAAAATCATTCTTTGTTTCAGACAAACTGCCAAATCAGTTCCTTTAAACATACAACTGTCCAGTGTTAATTTCTTACTTAAATCTCAGTCAAATGATGACCATATTTAGGCATATATTTACATACTATTTACCTATGTGGTTTCAATTTTATAGGTGTTATTGACAAAGAAAATAGTCAACAATTAGACTGTTTGATCTCAGTTTCTTGTATACAGATCATACAGGAATCAATAAACACTAACATATTCCGACAAAGATGGTTTTATACCTATGTAATAATGGCACGTCTTTCAACGTAACATAAGCAAACAAAATATCATAATAGATGTAAAGTTTGTCATACAATCCTTACACCTTAATAGTTTGTTGAACTGGGCGCATTTTAAAATAGGTGTGGCAATTAGCCCATCTTTGTTTATAATCTGACATTTATGTTTAGCAATTGTTTTGAATAATTGCTTAAGAAAAGAAAAACAAAACAAAAAACTGTTTTCAATAGAAGAATGAGTGTGCAACTGAATAATGTATTCATATTATGCAGAATCACTGCAGCTGTTGAGGAAAAGTTCATGCTTAAACATGATTGTTGTATTATACAAACATTGTATACTAAACAATGTTTTTCTAAAGGCTACATCATGATTGTGTTGCAGTGTAGATGAAAAACAATTACTTTACCAAAAAAGAGGGGTTCATTAAGGGGCATGTTCAATTTGTTATGACATGGTATATCAAAACAATAATGCACATTTTGTGGCTATTAATAAAGTTTTTACCCATTTACAAAGCTAGTTATCCTGGTATTAAACTAGTATATAAATGCAGTTGTTTCGGACATTGTTATTACAAAATTGCCGGCTTGCTGCATGCACAGAATAACAGCGTAATAAAATTCTACTTAAACTGAAATTGGTCTCCTAGTCGTAATTAAAGGTTACATTGCATAAATGGCTAATGTTTCTGCTCAAGTTATTGAACAATACATCAAGTCATAAAATAGTTTATTTGTACACTTAGTTAAGTCTGGATGACAATTGGGTCTATGCAAGTAAAGAACAACCAATTTGTTACAGCTAACAAAGGCTGGTAGTTTATCAAAAAAAAGTTTTGACATTTTATATTTATTGGTTTTAAATTGGCATTAAATTGGTTAACGATGAATTACTTTACAGTCCAGGTAGACTCATATAGGAGTTTAATTAATTTATTATAATTCTGTTCAAAACAAACTCAATGTGTTTTTCAAACCTAGAAGATGAGTTATACATCTTTGATGATTTTTTTTCCAGACATAAATGTCTAACAAAATTTATTAGATATCATTTAAAGCTCCAGGTGGTCATATTTAAAGCTTACCTTTTTAAGTAATTTAAATAATAACGTACCTGATCACAAACAGTCATGGCAAACTTTTGATGAGAGATACAGTGAGGTGCGTTACAAGCATCCTCGTTATAACTATTGGCAATGTGGTAGTGGATCCGATTCAAAATATTCTCCTGAAAATGGTTACAAATACATCATTATTTGTTAACATGACATAATATATTGTATAAATATTTGTATCCTATCCTTTAAATGTTAAAATTCCTTACTTCATTTTCATTAATATATCAAACTAAATATTTTCAAACCAGGAATGTACATGACATTTTTCCATGCAGATGTTTAAATAATGGAAGTTAAGTATATAAATATCAATAATTATGGAAAATCTTTTGGCTTACATTTTCCCAACAAATGTTTTTATAAATATTCACTGCTTATACTGCTTAAGAATTAGACTTGGCTAACAGGCTCTTGGAATATAAGCCAAAATGTAAGTTGATCAAATCAGATTCAAACTGGCGGTGCATAATTATATATATATTATGTATGGCAAAATGTTGGCATACAGAATGTGACAAAAACTTATAAACTTACGAAACACTCGGCTGCATCGTCCATATGGCCCAGCTGAAATCTTTCTTGTTTTGCGAAAGTATTAGCCAGTGCTTTCCTTAAAGCACTAGGTTGTAGTGAAGCCTGGTCACTGTATTGAAACTGTGTAAATATCACCTGAAAAATACAGTCAAAATAGTGATGGTTTTAGTTTTTTTCCATCAGTGGACTCAGCTGTTCTTGGTTGACACTATGCTCAATGCTGATTAACAGTATGTTGGTTGTTTTTGTTTGCGTTTTTTTGTTTGTTTGTTCAATGCTAATTTGATGTTAGATTTAATTTTGTTGTAAGTAATAGTTTGAATATATTCATGTGTAAATGATTATTCTAAGGCCTCAAGGAAGATAGGATATATGGTTACTTTTGGTAAATTAAATAATTTCATTTATTTTATTTTATGTCACAAGTCTGTTCTCCTTTTGTAAGGTTTATACAAATAGTTGTTGGAGTGTTCCTTCCGTTTCGTATATGGCGTTTTATTTCATAATTTTTATAAAAATTTCAGTGTCATTAGTATTTGCAAGTCAGGTAAATCTGTCTATATTTTTTCTCTTATCTGAAAATGCCATACTAAATCAGTGTTGTTAAGTCTTAAATTTGACCCAAAACTAAAACAAATGTTTGATAAAATTGAACTTTTTATAAAAAAGGTTCCTGTTTTTAAACTAGGTAATCTTTTGGTAATTTGCTTTTAATATTTTATCAGTGGGTTCTTCTCTGAAGGGGGCTCTTCCTTATTGAAAAATGATAGCAAATAATGTAATACACTCCCATCAAATCTACTTTTTTTCTTTTAATTTCCCATAAAAAAAATCCTCAAACAAATTGCACAGGTGGTGTGAAATATAGCTGTTTAGAATTATATACTGGAGTTAAAAGTCATTACCATACAGTATATCTTCAAGTACTACTTCAATCTTCTCTATCTACTGTCAATGGTGATATTGACCTGTATCCTTGTATGGGAATATATTACAAAATTGCCTCATTATTTACTTAAATTCTCTCCCAGAGCAGTTATTTCTTAAAATACACCTTTAAAACTGTAATTGATTTCATTCAATTTCATGTCCACTTCTCACTGCATGGAGATCTTTTGTATATTAAAGAAAGTTTTAACTGCTAATTTCCCATGAAAAACTGAAAGACTTCAAAAATGGTGACAATTTAAAAAAGACGTTTTTCAAACATTTTCCCAGGTGCAAAAGATCAAAGACATAATGTGTCTTTGCAACTAGAAGGTAGCACCAAGATGCAAATTTTCACACTGGACGATGTATTATTGGAGTTGAATCAGTGCCGCGGGTAAAGGCAGAACTACTTTTATGGTAAAGAATTGACCACAATGACTTGACAAACAGTTGAGGGACCTTGATTCCAAACATTTATAGACTACAAAATGAAAAAGTTTACAAAAGATTTACAAGTCAATATTTTCACTGTGGTACTATAAAATAAACAAGTTTAACACAAATTAATAGATATCATAAACATTCATCAATGGCGAACCTCTAACTTTTCAAAATAAGGGGAATATATATACAAAACACATCCGGTTGTAAAATCTTTTCAATCTTTTTCAAGATTAATTTTGACAGCAATGATTTTAACAGATGTCTAAATCCTTTTTGAAATTTAAAGAATTATTGATATTATTCTCTTTATAATGCTAATTTACTTCTGTCCACTTTTTAAACCTATTTTAACTCACTTTACTCTCCTCCTCCTTATTAAAAAACAATCAATCTTATAAATTTGAAACACCATAATATTTATTTACATTATTAATGATAAATTTACCTTCATGCTAATATAATTTGAATATTTAAGCATCTTAATAATAGCATTAAAGATAAAACGGATGTTTGAAAAAAAAGTTATGAGCAATGATAAAATCAAAGTCTGATTCTGACGCTGTACAAAAACAAACAACAGTGTTGCTTAGTTACACATAACAGAGCTTGCATTTTTGCAAAAATAATCATTATTTTGAATTAATATCAAGAGCACTTGATTTATTAGACATGAAAATGGCCTTTGAATATCATTCAATTGATTTATAATGTACAATACAGACAAAAATCAATGAAATCATATATGGATCATCTCATAAAGATCCTTGACAATTTAGTCTGGCTCTCCAAATTTCTTCAGGCATCATTATTACCTGAGCTCCGACTGCCTTACAGATGCTCTTTCATTAACAATCAAAGCTATCATATTTCCCTGAAACCAGTCTGTCATTGTTTTAATAACCTGCCTTTCAACAGACAGAACACCTGAAAAATCGCAGCAGCACACCAGCCATAGATTGATGACATGCTGACATTAGGGGCGTTCATTCCAGGTACAATTTGGGGATTTCACTTTTTTGCCGGATTATTTACACAGAGTACAACTTGAAAATAGGAATTTAATCCTGCTGGTAGTAACGGGGGAATAATGACCAAATACCAATCAGTAACAAGATGTCCAGATGAAAATCAATAAGTCAGTCCTCCCCCTAATCAATTTCCCTCATCCTTTTATTATAATACCGGTTTTTCTCAGGTGAAACATCGGTCATCGCTTTAAGCATCTAGCTTCCTTTGGAAATGACTTTCACGTTGCAAATTAGACTGCAAGTCATCGAAGTTATTTTTTTTTGCCAATCTTTTTATTATTCACCTGCACAAGAGCACCATTTCTGTAATCTTTGACCTGTATTGTGGTCATCGCAATTCAAGTTATGTTAAATATCATTAAGAATTTTCAATTTTCAATTCCACCCTCTACTGTCATAACTTTGGGAGAATAAATAAGAACCCTGCAAACCCTATAATTCTTTCATGCCATTGCTTTAGGGCTTTAAAAGTTAAATTAAAATGATGCATCAAAATGAAAATATTTATAAACTTGTCTATAGGAATTATCAAATGTTAGGTCATTCAATTTCGTGCAAATTTATCAAATGTATAATCATATAAATGTCAGTTTCAAATAAAATTTAAAACCCTTTAGGAAAAATCTTACTTTAAATATCATAATTGAAATAAATTAGCAACTTAATTGACATGTAGAGTAGTCTAATGTCTGTAAATTACTTCAAAGAGTTGTATCAACTTTCAACAAAACTTTTAACAATTCCTTTTTAAGTTTTACTTTAAAACAATCAGCTAAATGGTTGTATTGAAGTGAGCATCTAGCATGTGTTCAGGTAAAACAAGTTTACCTACATTTACCTATATGTACCAATATGCCCTTAAAAATCAAGTAAAAACTGAAAACAAACATATGGAAAAAAACTATTTCACCTGCAGGCATGTAACTGCTGGTTATCAAACATAAGTAAATGTACTGTTTGGTGTGTGTTTTTATGATCATTCGGCTGAATAATTCATTTGTAATATATCTAGATCAATCACCTTTTTCTGAATAAATTGGATTTTAACGGGGTGTTTCGCAACATATACCAGAATATATTCAATAAACAATGAAAATTACAGAAAACATATGTTTATATGTAACAATAATAAGAAACATTATGATTTTCATGTAAATAATGTTACAGTAAAAGAGTGCAACAAGGTGTACTTTGACATGATAAGTTATTAATAGACTATTTCAGGGACTATTTTTTAAATGCTAATATATGTGTTGCGGTGCATTTACTAACCTTTAGTGCACAGAAGATACAAGAGTGGCCCATACAGAGATGTCCCGAAAGTCTTCTGTAACTACGTCTAAATACGTCAATATGCCAGAACACCTGGAAATAAATCAAACATGCATATGTTACTATAATTCATATACAACTTAACAATACTTGACACATTTTGCAAAATTGTTTTTACCTAAAATCTAATAATAATAATAACGACACAAGGCAATGTAACATGCAATCTTCTGTATTGGCCTCTGTCACTGTCCTTCATTGTTTACCTATATGTCCAGGCCTGTTTTTTTTATTGCTTCAGAAGCTGTTTTTTCTTTTTTGATTTTCTATTTTATATTAGAAACATTGAATCACAAAGAAGACTATTGCACTGCATTTATATAGTCTGTAAAATTGAACTACACAAGTCCATAAACAGCTAATTGAGAGATCATTTAAGGCAACGGTTGTATAGAAGTGAAAGAATCTTTAATTAAAATATTTTATCACTAAGGTGAAAATAGGGGGTATTTGTGTCTGGAAATGTTCTAATTGGTAAGGTTATCACTGATAGTGAGAATGATTGTAGTCCCATGACATGTACACTGATCTCTATCAATACAACACACTCCAGGACTCCCGCCCTCGGGTCATATATACATTGTATGTAAATTGTTGTAAGCAATATAACAAATATTTCAAACATTACACAACTATTTTGGTATGATTAGCCCATGACAGACACCGTACATTTTTTATGACTAAATAAATTCCCTTAACTCAAGCTTCCTCTCTAGCTATAACTTAATAATAAGTACCTGAGAAATTAATAAAACTAATATAAATCAACAAGACATGACATTCTTATAATCAATCATATTCATATTGTGTAATTATTTTTTTATCCTTAAAGAAAATTAAAATTACAGTATAATTAAAAAGACCTTGTAATTATAACATGCATGGATTCTCCATGAAAAATTAAATTGAAAAGTGTCAATTTCTTAGCAAAATGGCCTACCACGTACTGGCTACTTTTTCAAAGAAAAAATTAATCAAAAAGTAATTAACTGTATGTCATGATGGATAATTATAACTCAGGTGTGCATGAGGCGGATATAAGCTTCTTTAACGCCTGTCATGCATTGTGCATGCATTTCCTGATAAGAAAATAATGTCCAGTTTCCATGGAAACCAATCAATAATATTAATTTTCTACTAAAGCCTTTGTCAACGCACCTTGATTTGTTGCCACAAACGCACAATTCAATTTCATGCTTTAAGGGCATGACCATGTGCTTCCGTACAAGACAGTAAAATATGCTACAATTTCAGCTGCAGTCAACAAATATTTTTTGTAGACAAAACCGGTATATTTTGAAATGCCATTACGACCTTGGTAAATGTATATGACACCTTAATGGAGTTCTTCAATCTTTTTAAAAAGGGAAACTGCAAAACACTATGAATTTTAAAGCATCTGAATGTCCAATTATCATGATTTCGTGACTTTTAACAACTGCATTTGTCTCCAATAATAAACCACAGTCTACCAATGTTCTATTTTGATGTCCAAGTTTAATACCGGAGGCAACTGTGCAAGAAAATGTTAATGATTTTCTATATCAATCTTGTAGTATGTATAATCAGATCAAGGTAAAATCTATTAATTCAAATAAATTATTCATGGTCATCTTTTCACAATCTCGCATGAGGCTGATCATTACCATGTTTTTCAGGTCATACCTCCATGGTGTCCTAGGACAGACCGATCAAACACGCAAAAAAGTTAATGTCGAGGGCAACTTGTTTTTGCTTATATCATTTAATAAGACATTATGATTTTATCAGTTCATTTATGAAATAAAGTTAATTAGATTTTCAAGGTTTTAAACAAGCTAACGCAACAAATTTAGGTCACTGCCTGCAAGTAAACAAAATTAAATAATGTTCTTCTTGTTTGCCAATTTTGTTTTGATCAAAGATAACAGCGGGAGATTAAAGCGTAAGATAACGATCTATAATCACAAGGTACACAGTCATTTTGTCTATCGCTTGGCCCTCTAATTCTCTTTAATACATTAAATCTATAATTACCTCCCTAATTTTGCGTTTGGGTAATGACTGGCTCGCTCATATCTGGCCACAAGACCACTGTCACCATACTAACATAATGAATTCTTTGCTTTTTTCTTATACAAATGTCGACATACATCATTTGCGAAGTTTAAACAATGTTAAAAACCTGAACACCTGACAGAAAATTACATTTCAAGTAATGAGCCATATAGTAACAGTAAAACCAAACATTTTAGATACTGAACATTTTGACTTTTACATAGGTGATGCATGCCATTTTAAAACTTGAAATAATACACTAAATAATACCAGATATGAAACTTTATCATGACTAAGACAAACATACATGCATGTCTGTTCTTCCGATATAAACACCTAATAGTGCCTTAATCATTACCCAGTCCTGCAAACCTTTCCAACCCATCTTTTTGTGAGTGATCTTTTGTTTCAAAGCATATCCCATTAAACAATAGGAAGATCTAGCTTCTTCTGTCAGGTATTGTTACACCGTCTTGTTTATGTGACAATTTTTGGTGTCCGATTTGGTGTTCATTGTCACGCAATGGCTTTTTTTGCCAATTTAACAATGCTTTTTAGCACAAAATTTGTTTATTTTGTAAACCGAAAGGCCGTAAGCTATTGTTGCCCTACAAAAGCTGGGATGAAAAACTTCCAATTTCTTTTGTATAATTTGTTTAGATAAGTGGATTTCTCAACAATAAAGAAGCCTAATAAGAAAAACTTACAAGAGAACACAATGTTTGTGACCTATATATGAGAGGTAAAAGGAAATTTACTGCATTTAAATAGAGTCATATTGGATGGGCGTTATTCTGTCTGGTAAAAATCAAAAGTTCAGTTTGACAATTTCCACCTCCAAAGAATCAAATTTCCAACATACCCTCCACATTGATTCATACTTCAAATGAACAGGTTACATCTATTCATAATGATCTCACAATATGGTGCCATTAAAATAATATTGTCATTTACAAAGATAGCTTGTGACTCACTATCAGAACAGTCTGTGACAAAATTTCCCCCCAAGATTTTCCGATGTATCAATCAGTAAAGTCAGTACTAATATTGATTGTTTTAGTTTCCAGGTAAATGTTGTTACCATGTCAATATCCAATACAAACAGTTTATCACTTGAGGCAGACAATGATGATGAGGACAATGGTATTGCGCAATCTTAAAACATGCTGCTGGCTCCTGTAGGGACTTATAACAAATTAGGTAGTATCATGCAATGTCTGGCATTGTTGTTAGAACATGGCGTCTTCTCAACAGTTGTTTTCTGGGCAAATATTCTCAAACTTGTTTTTTTTAAGTATTCAAAGATGAATCAATTAACTGATGCTTAGCAAGAGAAATTTGTATGGCCCTATGCAACCATTTAACACATGTTTTGATAAAGAATATTTACATGTTCGGTTATGGAAACATACAATTTTGTTTACATTTTGACGACATAACATGTCAATCATTTACATAATTTTCAAAGCTTTTTTTGTGCATGTTCAATGAACAAATCATGACTTTTCACTCTGTTATTACAAAATAAACATATTCCCATTTAAAAACCGCAAAAAATCAACTTCTTTTCACAACAATTGAGTTTGTCTTTGATCGCCCACTTTAAAGAAATAACCTTTCATTGTTCTGTTTGTATACAAAATCATTAAATTCATTAACTTTTTCAAAGTGTACAGAAGTCATTCGGTGTATTACATATACATGTAACTACAATTTATGTAAAACGTGTGGCTAAAATCAATGAGCAAATGTATAATGTTTCACTTCCGATTACAGGTAATCATTTTTAATTTTTCGCCTATATTCCGTGTCCGAAAGAATTAAGTTAAGATTAGGGGCGGGGATGGTTATCTATAATCGATAGACATAAGATTTTTTATGTGGTATAAACGTAGATCACCTGGTATGATAGCAGTCACAACTGTACGATTTGATCGTATAAATGATTCATGTGTACAATCAAAACAACGAGACACGCGACTTAATACTACAAATGCATCAAAACCATCAAATGTTAAGCCTTATTGGTTTATATTTTGTGTCTCGTTCATAGAGACAAAAAAATGGAAATGTCAGAGCAATCCAATGATTTTATTTCATCAAAAGACTTCCGAAATTTGTTCAAAAAAGAAAAAAATTTTAATCATTTTATTTGTACACTGATTAATTTGAAAAGGTAATTCAAAAAACCACAAGCCATGGTTATACAGTAATAATTTGTTACATGAATAATAGCTTGATTGAACTTGTCCTTTTTTTGTTAACTCAAGAGGATATTTTCAATGATCAAAATGAGTCATTCGGAAAGTGAAACAGATTATATTTTCTTTGTTAAGAAAGCACAACTTACCTCTACTGTTCATGATGAAGTAAAATTCCCTTATCATGTAGAATTTAACTTATCGAACTGCAAGACTAGAGTAAATGTTTGCAATTCCCCAAAAAAAGTAGAGGCAAAAATATGTTTATGCAATTAAAAGGAGGTTATCTCAGTGTTTAATATATGTCAAGAGAAAAATGTCAGAGTTTAATGCCTTCATTTAGAAATATGTTTTCCAGAATCAGTAACTATAATACTTATAATTAGAGAATGCCAATTATAAATAAGATAATACCTGTACTTATCACCTGAAATTGGAGGAAAGCTTGTATCAGTAAAGCACCTTGCATATCTAAAGGTCAATTATTTGCCTGCATATTTGTTAGAAAGTTCCCATTTTCCCATGGTAACTTGATGCTTATGGCAATTAGATGGCTTGAAGAGAGGAGACACTATCTAGAATGGTGACAAGACGAAGTAAAACAGAGGTACTTGATCAAGTCTCTATCCCTCTCTAGTGATAAGATAACACTGGCTCCATACCTGATTATCCTAGTGGTTGACCGAGAATATAAGAATGTTTTATATGAACTCAACAGAAATTATCAGTCTTTTAAGATATTATTCGGCCCTGACATGAACCTGCTTGTGAATATTTTTATCTAAAAACATACCAACTTTATTCAAAGGAAGACATTAGTATTATAAATGTATGGGTATCTGCAGGCTCTATAATGCTAGATCTATTCTTGTTCTTAATGTATATTGATTTGTCAATCATAAATCAAGATAGCATTAAGTGATATGTCAGACAACAACGGTGATCTAGAAAGCTAAGTTTTTAGAGTACAGAAATTGTAATTATGTATAATGATCAAATTGGGTACATTTGCTGTTGGTCAATACAGGTAAAAGTCATGAGGTAGTGTATTTAGATACAGGTGACCAAAACACCAACAAGCTGATGTTTCAGCTGCATAAACCCAGTTAATTGGTCGATTAATGGGTCTTTAAAGCTACAAAATGCACCAATTTTAATAAAATCAATCGCATGAAATTAACCATGAAACTGTTTTCAAAGTCTGACTTTGGCCAATAAAAGATTAGATCAAAGTGGCTGTGCGGACAAGTCCATAATTCAAACATTTTTGTAGTCATAATTATACCAAGAATAAATGGTCAGGTTTTTCTAACAATTTAATTAGCTCCCAATCGAGGCAATAAATAGAAACTTGGAACTGTAACATCAGTTATAAGACAATTAAATATAATTATATGAATATAACCAAAAATGAAATAAAATAATGCTTCTGCAATGTGAGTTCAAACTTTTCTGGTTGTAATAAATTAAATGTTTACATTTGCATGTTTGCACATATTAATCTAATGTAAAATTTCCATTTAATACTAACACAGGCGGCTGTATAATAATCAAATTACGTGAAATGAATATTAAATTGATTAAAAGATTTACAAACATTACTACTTTACTAAATCGCCTTGAGTTGGCAAAACCCTATTATGTAAATCTGATTTTAATTTATCGCTACTTTCAAGTTTACCGTAATCCTTTTCAGAACATTAACAAAGCCGTGATTCAAATTTAGTTGTGCCACGGCAGATATCGTATTGATCTTTAAAAATTAAATTTACATATTCATGGCTACAATTTTCCATTTTCAGATACTGCGACAAGTTCCAACAAGAGTATGTTTACCTGACCTTTCTAGTAGAGTAAAGTTAAGTACAAATTTTGCATAATCAGACTTTTGGAGTGAGCAGTTTGTTTCAATATTTTGGCAAAAGGATTAAAAAGCCCAATCCCCCCTACCAGCAACAGGCGACCTGTGTGTGAATTGAAATATAGCTCTTACAAAAATAAACAAGATTTTATCTTTCATTTTCATATCTCAAAAGCAGACTTTAATATGGAGTGTTTACTTTTAAGCTCAGGCCAAGAGCAAGGACCTTTTCCTGGTCAAAAGGTACACTTAACATGTATTGTTTTATAGTTTACAAAATATAATCCGCAAATAATAAAATATCTTAAAATGTTGTTTTTCTAATTTCAACAATGAATTAAACATTATAAATTTAAATAACCACCCAACTGTTTCAGCATATTATTATTATAAGGAAAAGCACAAATTATATATAAATTGCTTTAAACAGATCTCAGCTTGTTTGGAAGCTATATACATGTGTCATTAACTGTTTTCATTGATGACAATGTTTATAATGTAAATACACAGTGACAAGCCCTGATAGTTAACAAAGCTCTTGACACCTGGATACATTTCCCTTACTGCTTTTATCCAAGGTGTCATGTATGGCCTTAAATAAAGAGCACGCACAGTAGCTTGCGTCTCTTTTCTATAGAATTCGATTGTGTAGATTTTATCAGCATTTATACATTAATGCCCTTGTAAGGGTAAATACAAATTTAAATACAAAATTTTTCTGCCCATTTAATTTCAAGAATTAAAATTGCACTTTTACCGATTTCTATCATATATGTTTTGCATTAACCAAAGCTTCTTGAAGAAGTTTATTGAATTTATGCACGCGATAGTTAAAACTGATGCAGAAGGATAGTTTTCAATTTTATTCCAGTCACAATGTTGTAATGTAAACAAAACCTGACAATGACACCAAGTCTGTATTGTATGAGAGGGTTAGACTGATATTCAATTGCAGGTTCTTTGTGAAGACAATTAGCAATAAAGATGTCCCTGAACAGTTACTATAGTAACCAATATCTGCGCAGGTAAAGGGCAATAGCTTGCAGTAATCTAAGAAGGCCATGTTTGCCATAAAAATTTTACAAGTGTCTTCTTGATTTCATACTGAAAACAATCTGAGTCAACTGTAGTTACTATAAAAGTATTGCACCTTTCTATGTTAATTCAAAATAGATAGAAGAGTTGTAGGTAGTATGCTATGGAATATACACACTTATGTAATTTGACCAGGATAAAATTGGTTATATCACAAAACAAGTGTAACTAATATAATATATAATTTCAACAAATCAGTGACCCATATTTCAGAAGCACAATTATATAGTTTTTAAAAACAGATTTTTATGACCAAATCCACTGTTGTGTTGAATCAATTACCTTCACAGTGATTTTTTACAGAGAAAAAACATCTGGTTATGATTGCAAAACATGCAAGTTTAGACACTGAATACAATCACCTGCCACAACAGCCAGTATATGGAGGCAACATGGCTTGATATATTTCACAGCAATTAAACATAAAATCTAAAACATGGTCATTAATTCAGCTACCAAATGCCTGTAACAGTATACCACCATATTGTCAAGTTTAATGTACCCCAGACATTAAATAAATAAAACTGAACTATGATTGCAACTGAGCTATAGTGACAATCAAATTTCCTGATGTTGTCAAAAAATATTATGAATAGAAATAATCTGGTTTAAAAATCAATGTGCATAAATCAGACAAATTTTCATGGAGAGGCCATTTCATTTGTAGCAGTGGATATGCCCAAAGAAAAGATTTCCCGAAAGTTGACTTTCGACCTGATCTAAATGTTCCTTGAGTGATCATTATCCTAATCTAAATTTGATCTAATGGGCAATAATTTTGCAGGACAAAAGTCTGAACCCCACAATGAAAACATAATTAAATACCCATTGAGCTCTTTCAATACACCTCTCTATATGAGAGTCATGCTTAAAATACTAAAGGTCAAAAAGCCCTGAACTTCACTAAGGACCCAGTTACTTAACAATTCAGGTCAAAAGTCTGTCTACAGACACTATCCCCCATGACACATACATGTATTTGTAACAAAGGCAATTGAAGTTGAAAGAAAAACCAAGTGTTACTCATTTGACCACATTTTCCTAATTTATAAAGGGAGATAATTTCTTCTTAGGGCCTTTTTCTCACTCTTGATTATGGACAGCTCTTCAGCCGAATGTCAAACAACACTTGATCACAATATTATATCATCAATTCACAACTTTTAAGCAATCAAAAGCCTCTCATCTTTTAAATGCTTTAAAAGTGAGAAAAATGAAACAACAATGCTAAATTGCAATAATTGCATATAAAAACATCTTAACTTTGAAGGACATTTATAAAGGAAAACAGTGTCATGAAATATTTATTACATTAACATCTTAACTACCTAAATAATATCTAAAGAACTACAAATTGGGCAATAAACATGGTATATGAAGAAGCTTAAGTCCCTTACTTTTTTCAGTTTTCAACATAGCAAGTTTTACTTTTATACACACAATGAAAAAGACTTCTAAAGAGTGTGTCTATGCATAAATAATGATGTCTCATCCTAACATATAGATTAAAGAGAAGTCACAATATAATTGACCTGTTTCTTGCCTTGCTGGCAATCAACCAAAAAATTATGACCCATTCAAAGAATAATGAAACAGTCTGTAGTAATTCAATCACTGAAACCCTTTTTTAAGTTTCAATTTTACCAAAATAGTGAAGACAAAAATCATGGTGATCTTTGCAGTAAAATTATATAAAGGACCATCACATGGGAAACAAATGCAAATTTTTATCCTCTCAAGCAGTTTTTCCCAGCCAAACTTTTACGCATTTTAATTTATGTATCGCAAACTGATTTTCCCAGGTTATGGTGTAAAAAGCTTGATATACAACAAAAGAATAGCCATACAATCAAGTTGATTCAACCACCTCAAATAACCTCTGTTTTGTCACAGTTGACAGGATTACTGTTAATCACTAGTTATTGCCTTCCATTTTTTTTGGTTGTTTCACCTTCAGCTTCAGTGAGTACCAAGTCCCTACGGGGATTACCAGATCTTGTAGACGTTTGATGAATATTAAACACTGCATTGTACCGTAGAGACTAGGCAATTAATCATCGAAAACACTAAAGAACAACTGAAATCAGAGAATGTATGTGTTCAAAAACAAAAATATCTTACCTGAACGGCACTATTAAGAAAGCAGTTGTTTTCTCCAGGAGCATTTCGGAGTCCTTTTGCTGCATTTGAGAAGGACTGGCTTGTTTGGCGGTCCCATGTGTCATACCAGTGAGCCGGAGCATTTCCACCTGGCAGGCTTGAATCCGCATTATCCATATTTGTTATGTTTTGTTTATGTTGTGATTATTCCAAAGACAAATGTCATGTCTGTAGTTGATAATAAGTCTGAAAAAAGAAATATATATTTATATACTAGTAAATCACAAATGAAAATGAACTCAAACCATTCACAAGTTTTCTTTTCACTGCATAATAGAATGTTGTTTCAATATATGTACAAGTACTTCTAATAAGTACACTACTAGTCACACACCATCACAAGATAAAAAAAATATCTAAATTACTAAGTGAATTATAGATCTAATTTCTTACAACACACATAAACATGTATGTTAAATACCACAAAGTAACCAGATAATGTGACACAGTTATAAATATATGATTAGTTAATTAGGAGTATAGTGCCAATTATTACTTTTTGTCTTACACAATATTGTAAATCAGTTTTTGTCTCTTTAACTAGACTGTAGACAGGAACTTATTGTTTATAAAACAACCTTCCTTGTTTGCTTATACATGTATTAAAAGATAAAAACTGACAAAACAAAATCACCTGATAAATATATACCAATTACTGATTGTTAAAAAATTGAGATCTTGACAGAAAAAGAAATAGAGAAACATTTGGAAATATAAGACATAAATTGACACGAAGAGTGTCAAAGTTTTGATAAGCATTGACATAACAAATGACCAAATAGTTTGGTAGTTTGAAATATTGTCCATGATGTTTTTACTACGTATAGGCTAATTTCTGCAAAACCTGACTGATAGTAGCGTGAAATCTCTAGTGTAAATATTGTCAGATGGATTATGTCCTGTAAAGATAAAGGTTTTGAACTTTCATTGCAAAATTAATTACTGGGTTAACCTAAAACCTCTGGCATACTTCCATTTTTACTATTTAATCTAAAATCATTATGTCAATAGTTTAGCAAGCTGGTCTGGGCTGACAATATGAATGGGAAAACTCAAGCACCAGAAGTCGCAGGAAATGTTGACATCAAGAAGGTTTTGCTATTACAGGGCGCCTTCTGTTACCTGTGAATTGTAAGAGAAGGTGTATACCTCAATATTGATGTCCAATCATTTTGTCAAACAGAGATAAGAGGAAATCAATAATACAATAAAGACAGGAGATTTCAATTACTAGTTTCTAGGTGATACTTAATTTTTTTCAGAAGTGGTTGGCAAACTGTTTAAAATGAGTAGAACATCATGTTTTGTATTGAACTTACTGGTAACAAAATAAGGAAAGGGAAACTGACAATTTGCTGAATTCTAATAAGAACAACCTTAAATATGAGACTTCATCAATCTATACTATATTTAACTAATATTGTCATAAATATCAAAAGTACATGTCTGATTATTATCAAGGAATGGACAGTCAGTTATAGCTACCGGTATGTATCAAAGTGCATGTTTAATAATTATTAATCGATAGATTTATTTCACCTCTTGCTGGGGACACTTTCCCCGCCTTGGTCATAAATCAAACTCGATTTCATTTCTCTGTCTTATCAGTTGATTTGTGTGAACTTTCATATGGCTTGATTTAACATCAAAATCTTGATATCACGTATAAGGTTATGTTTACCTTAAGTCAAAACATTGTCAAATATTACTACCAAACATAGTAACATAGCTAGGGTTTGTAAATCACAGAGACTTCAGCTGATACAAAAACTGAAAATACAGGGTTTGTCCCAATGTGTCCTCTAGATAAGAAACACATTTATTTAGGGTTGACAAGTCTGAATTTGTTCCTGTATTTTATATACAATATCAAAACCTTTCATCTTTACATTTATCATTTAGAATGAGTCAACGCGACCAGAATGATTCAATGAGAGGTTTTGATGTCTTAAATGCGAGTCAAAATGGATGATCTCTAAAAAAGAGTCAATGGGACATTATAATGGTAAAAATTACAAAAAAAATATATCAATGAGCAAAGCTCAAGCTCAATCTTATCCCAAAATGCATGCCCTTAAATAAACCTGTTGCATTGTGTCAAAAACTGGTTTTATACAAATGAAAGGATGTCAAATTTAAAAACTCTAAAGATATTGAAAAAGATAAAAAATTAAGTAACTGCATTTTAAATTTAAATACCCTCGGCCCCAAACCGAAGCAGGAAATGAGTTATTCTCCAAAGCTGGAGATTAAAATTATGATAATAACTCAGACACAATTTCAATTTTTTTTGGGGCGCATTTAAGAAATCTGTTTATTCAACAATTTCTTTTGTTGCCTAGCGATCACAGACTACTATATTTCCTGTCAGTGAAAATGACAGGATGCTCCATGTGTTTATTTATGCAAGGAAAGGGAGCGGACTTCCTTTCAAGTTGAAGCACTTAAACGTTAAAGGGACCAAAACTGCTGAGTGTAATAGCTTTACCCGTACAAGGTCAAGAGGGATCACCCAAAATCTAGGTTATATCAATCTTTATGAATTAATTTTGAATAATAAGGTACATCATTTTACCGCTTCAATATTAAAGATTTGAAAAGAGAAACTTCAGCAAGAAAAAAAAAGGATACTGGTGAAATAAAGGAACTACACAGCAATAAAGAGGTGAAATCGGGTAAAAATAAAATAAGACATGCAGAATGAGTCATAGTATTAAACCAGTAAAGAATATAACCACATGAAAGCCTGTCTGACTAATCAAAGGAAGTTACCGCAACTGTATTACCATTTAGTGGTCATTAATTCAGGTAATCTAAACTTTAAAATTTACATACATGTATTCTAATTTAATCAAAAGATGGGTCATAAGTTCTTACTATCTTCAGGAAACAAACTTTTTTCCCCTGTAACTGTTTACAATACCAGTACTTCTCTTCTAACTGTCCATTTAATTAAAGGTTAAATTAAAGAAACAGTCACTCAAAGTAATGAAAAAAAGAAGAGTACCTAATTAAATCAGTCAACAAAAAGATCAACCCAATTACGGGCAATAAAGATCGGCATTGATCCAGCAGTAAAAAAAACAAAGATAATGATTGAAATAGGAAATGGTACTTATAGAGTTCGGTGATTTTCAAAGACAAAACCATTTCAATGTATTCATGATTTGATGATTGGAAAATGAGATAAGATTTGGATATAATCAAGAACCTGTTTGATGTAGAGACAGATCAATTAGATGATAGAGAAGTGTGTCATGATATTGAAGAAGATATGGATCCATTCTAATGAGAGAAGATAGTAAATGGGGTAGAAGTAATTAAGACTGATTGCAGGTGTGCAATATTGGAAATTGATTCTTTAAATTTTGGAAAATTGATTTTTTATTGAAATTGCACACTGTTGTAATGACAAAATGATGCCCAATGCCCAAATAATTTATGTTACTAACAGGAAAAATGTATGTTTGTTGTCATATTTAATTTGAATAATTTATCCTTTTTGAATATAATTATACAAAATGGTATTTATACAAAATACAAAGTTTCAAAGAAATATTTCATTAGCGTTCAGGTGGGCTTAAAAACACAAAAGGAATAAAACAATGTATATATACATTTTATGATTTATCTCTTTTAAAGCTGTTGCCATTTTATAGAAAAGGCCTTTTAATCAATTTTTCTCATTCAAAATGCAACAAATGTTACAGGCTTTCTTTACAGGCAATGAAAAATTTATTTCAGTTGTATTTCTAACATTTAACACATACTAACAATGCTATAAATGAATTGTGGTCAGTTGTATATATTTTTACTTTCTTAAAGATACCAACTGCATGGGAAAATGTTATCAAAACTTTTCTCTTGGGAAAGGTCAGTTAACAATATCTAACAAAATTTTTAATTTTAGAATGACTTGAAGATTTTGCTGCCCGAATTGCTCTCACTTGTAGGAATTTCTTATTTATAACAGTATTTGACCCTTGGTATTGCGCTGTATAATTTATGGATATGTAAAATAATCTAACTTTTATAGCTTTGTACAGACTTCGCAAACAATTACCAGGTATTAATTGATTTTAAAGTGGTCATTAGTGAAATAAATGCTTAAAAATACTCTCAAATTGACAGGTGATTGATGTATGTGATTTAAGTTTTATTGTTTAAGGTCACATGGACAGTATATACATGTATATCATACCTGTCACATGACAGCAAAAGATCATATGTTTAACTATCCTCTGTCAACCAACAGAAAATACCTACCATTGATGTTTGAGGTTACTTAATAATTGAGAGCAGAGATTTTTGTATTTTTTGTCCCAAAATTATGATAAATAAAATTCATAGCTTCCAAAGAGGAAATGCGCAAAGATCTGTTCTTAACATTGTAACAATTTCATTATTCCTTTTTGTATAACCATACAATCTCTGGTAAACATTAAATAAATAAACAAAATAATTACAAAAGTGCAAGAACAATATGATTATTATAAATAGTTTCATAACATATCAAGTGTAGACTGATCTAATCATTGTAAGTATAAACGATCAAATATCACAGCTTTAATGTGATCAAATTATTGCCGTCATTTATAAGTCTCTATACTAAGTAAATGAAACGCTTTAGAGGTAACAAAGCATGTGATTGATATGTCCTTACAAGCCATTTTGTTGGAGGATTATTATCAACGGTCATTTTGTTACTATTTACAAAATTAATAAGCTAGACGCAACTTAATATAATACACTAAAGCTATAAGGTGACACAAGTTGGACAGAAATCAATTTCCATTTGACTCAGGAATAGGAGCGAAGTTGTGCAACCAAATCAATTCATTTGATGAATAATATGTCACAGGTTGAAAAAATACAATACACTCTGACCCAGACTTTATTGTGTGAATTATCCTTCTATTGTTCATACTTGTGAACATTTTACGGAACATTTTATAGTATAATGGCAAGTTTCCACTGTTTCTAAGTCTGTACTATTGATAAATGATATCAAATTAATGATAGATTCAAACAGACTGATGAGTATAATCAAAAGTTATTGGCCCCCTTGAAAAAATTTCTCCTTGCAGATCTCAACATTAGTTATACCACTAATCTGTTGGTCAAACAAAACCCCTAGAACCCACTGATACCATTGTTCACTAACAAGATAAATCTTATTTGTACAAAATGTTTGTACATTGTTAACTATGGCTTCATCCCTCTTTCTTGTCACAGTTAACTGATGATTCAGGTGTAACAGCTCTGCTTTATGTCTTGATTAAGATTCAATGTGACATTAATTAATTGACATTAAAACCAGAATATAACATTTATTATCACCTGTTGAGAAGCTGTAGCAAAGTTCCTCTCCGATCAATAAGACACTGTATGTATGCCAGACATTATTACATGATTCTAAAGATTTCCACAATAATTCCAACAGAGAAAACAACAATGAAATATAAGGCATATAAAGTTTACCTAACAGACCAGACAACTACATCAATACATTGACATTAACAGAATCTAAAATAACAAATACTACAGGGCTCATTATCACTCTGTAATCTTTGACACAATCTCACTCTCTGGTGGGACACTTCTATAAGCCGACTCCTTTAGGCTTAAAAAAAGTTGTGGATAAAGGTAAAGGAGAGATAAAAAATTTGATAAAAATATCTTACAATAGCAGAAAAATCAATGTCAAAAAAAATATTTACAACCTGTTTGTTATTACAAAGATTCAACTGTATATAATATAGATACAAAGATATGTATTTTTTCACTATTCAATGCATTAATACCTACCTATCTGTTAATTTTCATTTTTCTAGACTATTAAAGGTTTAATATATATTTAAAAGTACTGTAGTTTAAATAGTAGTAAGATGAAATGTTAATACAAAAATGATTTGGTTCAAATTATATAAAACCTGCAATGCTCTAGCTCAATGAATAATGTAAATGTGTTATGTTTATCCATTAAACAAAATTTTCAATTAATTTCAATTTGTTTATATTATTTATAATGGCCATTTATTTACTGTCACTATATTGTCAATTTGACCAGACTGTGATCTGACCATAGGACTTTATAACAGGACATTGTAATCCCACTGTCTGCAGTGTTTGGTCATCTTTTGTTAAAAATAATCATTCACCTCCAGGCAACATGAAAATTTAATTATATTTTAGTGAAATGTCAATGTCATACTTAAGAAAATTAATCAATGATTATTAGTTTTGAAGTTATATGTCATAATATGTCATTATGATGGATAAAAAAAATATATGAGAAAATGTTCCACTGCTGAACTTAATGTTCAGTCAGAAATCAACATTTTTTATAGAATATATATTGCCTCAACATGTATTATAGTATATATATTGACATCAGTTTGTAACAGGAGTGATATGATAAGGAATGCTACCATAAAAGTATAAAAATGTCTGCAACTATCACTGACTGTAAATATGGCACCAAAAAGACCACTGACATTAAATAAACAAAGTGACATCTTTAGGAATTGTAAATTTTTCAATGATACCCAAGTGTATTCAATAAAAATATATACTGTAACAAAAAAATATAACAAAACATTTAGACAATGTATCAACTTAACACAAGTTCAAGAAGCATTTCTAACAAGATTTATTTTTCTGTAGTGTATTTATACGCCATGATTGCAATTGAAAAGGCAATGCCAACACTTGGTAACACAATGAGATAGGTAACATTATGCAATACTGATTGTAAAGTATTTGCTGTTTCTTTTGATGGATTATGCACAACAATGACATATTGTCTAATTTAATCATTGGACTTTTTGTGTGACACAGCCCAGTATTTGATTGTAATATTGGCAGCTTTTAAAAAAGGTGTTAAGGAAAGCTGGCATAAGAAAGTCTTCAAACAACTTAACATTCCATACAACTTATGATTATAAATAATTCAGGAAATTAACAATCAAGTAATTAACATGACCTGATGATTATGTATATTTAAGCATTTATGCCCTTTGATGTTAAATACATGTACTGAAGTTAACATAATTTGAATTAAAACCTTATCATTCTATAATATCTGATATATTACATAAAATTCATTAAGTATTTAATGTTGAACAACAGATTTCAATAAACAGGTGCATAAATTAAATATAAACAATGTAATTAGAACATTAACTTGCACTAATATGAAATGTACCGTATATGATAACAATTTGATAGCAAGGACTCATGTAAGTGTTTGTATATATATAGTAATAATATAAAGCTGAGTTCTAAATTTCAGAACTTATAATGATCGAAAACATTGTTTCAATCTTTGCAACTGTATCATGCATAATCATTCTACACATTACACAGAACATTTGTTGTAACAATGATAAACGGAACATGAAAACGTAGACTGAACTGAAAATTGGAATCAAAGTGTCCCTAAAATAGGCTGAGTATGTATGTAAACCAGGAGTACCATGCCACAGGTGTGCAAATTTTAATATAATATATCACACTGATCAAACGAAGTAAACTTTTATTAATTCCTAATATCAAACAGACATGCAAAGCAATACGGATTTTGCATGCCTTCTATATTTCATACGCTCCCATCGGAAATTTTGCACACCTGTGTAGGTCACGCACAGGTAGATAAATCGAGTCGGCTCTTTTCGTGTCTGTCCGAATTAGAATAATCACACGGTCTCTATCCGAAAGAATACTAAACATATCAATGATAAAACAACGTACTTACCAGTAACATATAAAGTCAAATATATTTTGTTATTTCCAACTATTTTCGAATCTTAAACACGAAAAAAAACACAGGTAAATCCAATATTGTTATTTTACGCGCACCGGGACAGTTCGGTCGCCATTACAGTAAAGTGTCAATAGAGCGGAGGAATATGGTGACGTCGAGAAACCTAATCAGCATGACAATCAAAATAGTCCCCGTGGGCGGCGGTTTACTCATTTTAATTGAGTCACTTTATTCCTCCGCTACTACAGGTGTAGTAAGAAGTAGTTCCACGTTTTATTTACTATTGTAGAGATTTACGGCCATTTAGAAACATCATTGTTAATAGTAACGCATGGAAAAAGTAACAATGTTAAGAAAAACACAATGGAGAATCATCATTATTATTTAAATTTTAAGCAGATTTTAAAACAGAACTGGAACAAATAATTAGGTCTCAATAATATTTTAAATATTTGCTGTTTCCTTGAATTATGCCCCAAAAATGCAGTATTTTAACTTGAAATTAGGATATTTTAAACCCCATATTTATGATAGATTTAGTTAAAAAAAGATGTTAAGAGCTGGCAAACGAGTTCAAACACTACAGTCCATCTTATGAAAAATTAATTCAGAATTAAAATCAGTAAACATACTGTGTATGTATTTAAGCAATTTATGCGATGAATCATGTATGAAGTAAACATAACTATGAATAAAACTATCTTCTATACACGTTCTGATTATTTACAAAAATCTTAAGTTTAAAGGAAACAGTTTCATAAACTGCAAAAATTAAATTACATGTAATTAGAAAAATTTTCCTAATATAGATTTAGTAAAAAAAATCATTTCAGTACAAAAAGTTGGACAACAGTCAAACTATGGCAGAGCCATCTTTGAAAAATTGGCAGTATGTAGACCACAATTTCTATTCCCACCAACTAACTGGTCAGTGTGAATGAAACAAATTATTATAAAACTGATCTTCATACACGTTTGATGGTGTTTTAAAAAATGACAGCAAAAATAGTTTAAACTGCATAGCCATTTTAAAGAATATTTTATTCATTCAAATGCAAATTAATTGTGAAGAAAAAATATAATTGATTGAAAGGAAGTAAAAAGTTCCAGGACACCTATTTCAGTCCTAGATCTTTCCTCATTCCTACACAATGCCAATGACTACTTTATCAGTTTTGGAATGTAACCAGTAAAATAAAAGAGTTTATTAATAGTTACCTCAAAGGCCATTTTTTCACTGTTGCAAAACTTTTTGAACAGTTAAGTACATTTTATACTCATTCTCCAGTAATTTTAATCTGTATTTTGTCCTTATTATTTTTAAACAACTAATGTATATTAAAAACCACATTTTTTAATTATCAAGAATGGTTAAATTATTCCAACATGCATGCAAGTTTATTATTTATCCTGGACTTCAATAAAATTGCTTTGTATTAGTTCCAATGTTGTTAGTTCCAATGTTGTACACGTTACATGCTTCAAATGATTGTGTTGTAAACTATTTCTTAATACTTTATCCTCAATTATGATAAGATTCAATGTATGCTATGTTCACTTTAATATTATATACATATTATATCTGTAATATATGATTATGATAAGATTTTATATATTAACCCATTACGTTATATAGACGCCTTTTTCACCCCCCCCCCCCCATTTTGTTGTCTCAAATGGTGAAAAAATGCCTTATTTAGGCCCCCAACACTTGTTTTTGTTTGAGAAATGTTGTTAAAAAAAGTGACCTCTTTTTCGGCGCGGCCCCCCAACCAAAAGATACATCAGGGGGTTGCCAGAAGGGGGATGTGCCCCCTTCTGTTTGGGGGGTTTGAAGGGGGGCGGAGTCCCCCTCATCGCCAAGAAAATTTTGGACTTGTGAGAGGCTATAAATGACCCCAGATTGATCATAAGGTAACGTGTAACCAACGCTGAAAAGCATTTGACTTTATCTCAATCCATTGAGAAGTTGCAGCACTTTGAAATCAATTTTGATGGAAAAAATCAACGCAAAATAGTGATTTTTGGCAATTTTGAGATGTCCCCTCGTTGCCATGGTAACAGAAAATTTAAGCCTGAGCATGTTGTTGCAAGGGCAATGGACCAGTCAACATTTGTGCCAAGTTTGATTAGTGTTGAAGCAGTTTTTATAGTATTATAGCAATTTGAACTTGTAACGGGAGACTTTTCAATGAAAACAGCCATTTTTCACAAAATGCTCATGAAGTAATGGGTTAAAGTGAACATAGAATACATTGAATCTTATCATAGTCATATAAACCAACAACATAAAACACAACCAAAACACTTTTTTATATGGAGACCTATGAGAGGAAGGATGGAGGCCTATGAGTGGAAGAAGGCAAGGTATACAATATTACTGAGCAAGCTTTGCATATTTGGCTGTTCTTCGTAGAAAAAGATGTAAGAGGCTTTTATCTACTGCTTTCTGATGGTAGTTAGAGAAGAAATGTTATCAAGAGACTGGATCAAGCTGCAGTACATGTATTTTAGCTGGTTTTTGCTGAGCTGGCAGAATATGGCACAAACACACTGTGACTGATCACCATTGTGGGTCAGGGCTGAAAAACTCAAATGATGCCAAACTCCATTTCAAGGCAGTTGACCAGTAGTCAACACTAAATATCTACATATAATATCTGACACTACCTTTGTTTTGTTGGACACATTTTAGAGTTTCTACATTTTTTGTATGTACACCATTTTAACTTTAAAGGCCAATTTGATGGCTCTTACCGGCACAGATTTTTGTAATATAAATCTGTGTTACCGGTAAGTTTTTTTTTGTCTTTTCTTTTTTTTTGTCTTTTTAAATCAATTTTCATGTAAACTATGGAGTTAACAGACTGAAATTGATCATTGTTGGTTTAAAACATGAATAAGATATGTATTCTAATGCATAGTCATGGTGTTACTAAATTTATTTCATGTTTAAATACGGATGAAATATTGTGACCACAGCATATCAATTTTTTTTTTACTTAATAAACAAAGTACTTGTATCATATTTTCCTGATAATTTTATCATGCATCCACTAGTTATGCTCAATTAAGGTAATGTTTTCTGTTACAAAAATAGCCATTTCTAGGAAGTGTTACATAAGCAGAACAGAAATTATTTCCTTGTATCCTACCTAGCTGAGCTGAACTTCCTGTTTATTACTGAAATTATTTTATCGTATTTTTCATGTTTTATTTTGTGTCATAATGACGATAATAAAACCCTATGTTTCTATGTGAGTAAACAAAATTTTTCGAAATTTAATACAATGCATTAAAAAAAATATTTTAGCGAATTATTCTAAAATTTAAAATTGGTGTTTTTATTTGACAAGGTTTTTATTTCTGCATTAAAGTCATGTTCTATTTGGCGTATAGTTAAACGGACGCTGCGTCATTTGTTATTTTATAAACATCAATTTTTTCTGAAGAAGACAAAACATCAAATGCTTAATTTATTAGCTTTAACAAAATAAGTAATGATGACAAGTGAATAGTGCAGTCCATGGTAAGAAAAGCAAAAAGTGCAGTCCATTACAAGACAGCACAGATATATAGATACCACCTGATCTTCAACTGCATTTAAATGGCATAGAACAAATTGCCGATAGCTGGTTAACAGTTAATGGTATAATTTACTATTTAAATCATCATGTTTCAGTTTTATTACAGACTACAGGCTATTTCTGAATATGTTGGCATGTTATAGGTACGGTAATTTCTGTTCTGTGGACAGTAACAGTCTTGCTAGCCTGTATCAAATACTTAATAATAAATTTTGCATCCTAAACATTAAATTCAATTTCTTAGAGTAAATTTTCATAAAAATTGACATATTTTTGACAGCATATTGCTTTAAAGCATTGAAATAGAGATTATCCAGTTTTGATGGAAAAAGGTAACTTTGCTGCGTGGCTATGGATTGAAGTCATGTCTAAAAGCACAAACAAGAAACAGAACTACATGTATCATTAGATAGTAAAAACAACAACATTAAAATAAACAAAATCTTCCACATTTTAAACCATTTATTTCTCTTTAAATACATTTTAATAAAGCGTAAATAACATTCATTTGGTACCTCTTTACAAAGCTACACAGGCTTTACGTAAATCATCTCCCTTTATAAATATTTGCATGGTATGCAGAGTTGTGCCCCTTACATATCCAGCAGTGTGTAAGTTGTTCATTGGTACTGTAAGTAGGCAGACTTGCACATTTAACTTACCAAGCTGTGTTGATATGAATAGAGAATAATTTTCAAAATGTTAAACAGTATTGCACACATAATTATCCGACTAAAATTCATAAAATATGTATAAACATTTTTACACTGAATATTCATGTTAATTTCTCAACAATGAAAATTGACTCACTCATCAACTTTCGCACAAACATAATACAGGATATATTTATAATACAACAAATCGGTCAAATTAAGTGATTCTATAAGCCTTAACCTTAAACAGAAGCAGCATAATTAAAATTCTAAAACTCTTAAACTATTTCATAAAATCTATGGATATGGTAACACCCCTCAACATAATACAGACTAATTCCATGGTGACCTGAGGAGTATCTTACAGCACAATATACATCAAGTCCTCATCTCATTTATACATTAACAGTCACATAGCTTAAGTTGTACACTCTTGTCTTGTCCTTCTTTAACTCTTTACCTGCTTAATACAATGTATTTTAAATAGAATTGTGTGTACCTCATTCTGGACAAAACTATCACCTTTGGAAAAATTTAGTAAGAACTTTACTAACCAAATAGCAAACAGTGGAGACCATGATTAAACAAATCATCCAGTCATGAAGTGTATATGTAACTAGTACACCTGTGTAACAGAGGATGGATCAGACAACACTGGTGTTACAACTGATCTTGATCTGCAATGGTTGTTTTGGTAGAATCAGTTGCCCCATACAGGCTTAGGGTTAAAAATGAGGCTTTTCCACTACTGATTTAAGCAGTTTATCAGGTAACTATGTTAAAATGCTAAAAATAAGCTACCAACAGTATAGTCTGGCCAGACTGCACAGAAATTTAGGCGAGCCTTACCAGATGCTGGTGTCATAAACATAACATTCAAAGATTTTATAAAAGCATGACAAACAAAAGTCTTAACATAACTGCCAGAATTAATTGACAAATTCACAAGAAATCTGGAATAATATGACTGTTTTAATTGCTGTCTATTTGGTATGGAATGATAAATCATGACATATCAGTTGTCCACAAAAAATGGCAAAAGTTTTTAAAAAGAATCATACAAAATTTTATATACGTAACATTGTAGGATGGAAAAGTACAGTTAAAGATGATAATAACCAATAGCAACGCTACCAATTTAGTATATCTAACTAACTAAATACAATGTACTGTAATATGTAAATATCTCATCCTGATTTGTATCATCATGTTAAATTATACTAAATGGCAAAACCTCAGTTTACTAGTTTGCAATGAATTCAATGAATATTTTACAGAATTTCTTAAGAACAACCTCTTGACCTTTGTTGTATATACATGTAAACAAACATCTGAAAAAGTCTTGAAATTAATTTTTTTATAAGCATGAATTAATAATCAAGCATTTTTACATAAAAATTATGTACTTTAGTATGAGAGAAGAGAATGAATGTACATTATGCGACCATGAACTAATTAGAAAAACTTATCATTGAACTTTATATATTATATGTGGTCTTAAAACAGTAATTTTTCCACTATCATAGTTTTAACAGCCATTCAAAAAATACTTTGTACACATACCATGTTTCATTATACTTTATATTTACATGAAAACATAAAAGTTGTTTCACAGTTTGAATCTGCATTTAGTCTTTAGTTTAAACATATTTTATTCCTTTCAATTTCAACAAGATGTACAAAGCAGATATATAGAAAAAAGTATAAAAATACATTTTGAAAGAAAAAGGGTTGGACCACAAGTTCAAATAACATTAGTAATTCAGTCTGTTTACCAGTTACTAAAATAATAGACATCTTAACAAAACATTCAACAAAAAGACATTTATTTCTATACAACCTACATGTATAACATATAACTTGCATTATTGATAGTTCCACTTTATTGCATTCATTTACTTTTGTTTTATATGGAAATGTTGGTATATTAATGTTTTATATGGAAATGTTGGTATATTAAAGGGAATTTTAAGAATTTTCAGTTGACTACTTATTTTTTACTATTTATCCTTATATGGAAAGGAATAGATATTTTATTTGTTTAATTAATCATCCAATTTTGAACAGGACTGACAACTACATGTATATATCTGAAACAAATGTGTCATAAAATCTAGACTTATCAACCTGTATTTGTTTACAATTTGAATTAACATAACTAAGAAATGAGTACAAAGGTATTTGTATGCACACAACAATATGATGGTAGTTTTATTTAATTTATGTAGATGTTGGTATTGACTAGAATTTGAGGTTTCCTATTGAAGGTAGGTCGGGAAGTTTCATGTCCTTTATTTTCTGTGGAATGTTCATATCCTTGACAGCTGATACAGCTCTAGCAGGTGCCGCGGTTATTCCAGCCTGAAAAATATAACATAATTATCATAATATACCAGGTAATATGTCTAGGTAACTCTTTGATATGCTGGTAAAAATAATCATGATAAATATTATTGATAATATGTGACTATGCCACAAGTATGTGTTTAAAGCCAGACCAACCTTCACATAAGTCGGATGAGACTCTTAAACCGTTATCACACTAGATACCTTTGACAGCTTCCATTTTGAGAACTGTCTATTATTTCTTTGGGGATATCAAGATTAAAACGTAAAGATGGTCAGCCAATAGAGCCTGGTCAGACTGCACAGATTAGCAGACTACCCTAGCTGTATACAAGTGGTAAAAGACCAATCACTTTCAGTTCCAGTTTCAGTTCCAGGTATGTAAGTGTTAATATTGGCTGCCTCATTAGATTATCTTATAGAAGTAATAGAATAGTTCAACGTGGCCTTATATGATGCTAGTTTAGATGATGTAGTATAGGTATGTTCAATAGACAGTTCTTTATTGATAGCAAACTGGTCCATTATATAGATATCAGAGCATAACTTCCAAGATGGTATTTCCTATGATCCCATCATTATGTTTCTTTATATCTTGAAAATAGAAAATAATAAAACAAACTGTCTATACTATGTTTTACATACACACTTGATATACCTATGATCTCAATTAATATGTTTGCTAAATGATAGATTTTTTTTTAAATGATCTCACTAGTTATAAAACAGGTTAGTGAATAAATTGCAACTTCATTCATTTTAACAATTGCCTTATTTGATCATTAGTAGAGGTATATTATTACATGTTCATTATACATGTTATGTTAATCACAAATCTTTAGTTTATGCTAACTAGGTATCAATTTGACACACATATACATTTTGTAAGTACAATTTAAACACTGTTAAACTAAAGGTATAATTTGAAGTGCAAGCCAATGCTAAAGACTTTCCTGTAAAACCTTTTTAAATACCTATTTCATGGTGCATATCCATATCGGTACCCTCTTTGCGAAATCTGCTGAAACGGTACCCTCTTTGTACATGCACAGGCCACTCTCTGCTCAAAACAAACCAGCGATGGATAACAAGCCAGTAAAAATTCACTGTAATAAGGAAAGGAAGTATGACACGTGGAAAAGATGTATACCACGGAACACTAGAATGTTTTATCTATGTGCTGATTTGTCATGTGCCCGTTTTTCATGTATTGCAACTTCACAATAAGCTACAAAAATCAACATGTCTTACCTCGCCCATCACCTCTACATACTTTTCGGGCTAAAATGAGCCTGTGGCTTGATTATATATGCATCATACATATCTAATATGTTCATTTACATATCATCTTCATTTGAATTTTTATATCACAGGTACCCTCTCATTTTTTTGACACATAGGTACCCTCAAGGCACGACATATGCTTTTATTTGCGTTAATCGTTAGGTATGTAATATTTCTTTATTTATGTAAATATTACATACTTAACGATTAACGCAAACAAGAGCCCGGTTTGAGCCGGGTGATGCTCCCCGAATAGGTTTTGGACACAGGAAAGTACACCTCTTGTAGTTTCAGAGTTATGTCCCTGGAGAAAGTTCAAATTGCAATAATTCCAAAATTAGGCAAGGCAGAGTTACAGTTCTTTGCACTGCACTTCTAATCAATGTAATCTATCAACCTACAAAGTTTCCTGATGATATCTCTTATGATTTCCGAGTTATGTCCTGGACAATTCAAAAAGTAAAATAAACAAAGGGCAATAACTCCAGAATTAGGCAAGGTAGAGTTATGATTCTTGTGCACTGCACATCTACCCATTGAGATATATCTACATACAAAGTTTCATGTTGATATCTCTTATAGTTTTACAGCTATGTCCTGGACAAGATATTTCTAAAAGGGGAGATTATTCAAAAATGAGGCTTAACAGAGTTATGGTTCTTTTGCACTGCACCTCTACTCAATGAGATCTATCTACCTACAATGTTTCATGTTGATATCTCTTATAGTTTTAGAGTTATGCCCCAGACAAGATTTTTCTATAAGGGGAGATAATTCAAAAACCGGGCAAAATAGAGTTATGGTTCTTTGACACTGCACTCCCCCTCGATGCCCTCTACCACTGTATGAAGTTTCAACAAATTATCTCCAAGGGTTTTCAAGTTATGTTCCGGACAAAGTTCAAAGTATTAAAATAAACAAAGGGCAATAACTCCAAAATTAGGACAAAAAGAGTTATGGTTCTTTTGTACTGCACCTCTACCCATTGAGATCTATTCACCTACAAAGTTTCATGTTTATATCTCTTATAGTTTTAAAGTTATGCCCCGGACAAGATTTTTCTATAAGGGGAGATAATTCAAAAACCGGGCAAAATAGAGTTATGGTTCTTTGACACTGCACTCCCCCTCGATGCCCTCTACCACTGTATGAAGTTTCAACAAATTATCTCCAAGGGTTTTCAAGTTATGTTCCGGACAAAGTTCAAAGTATTAAAATTAACAAAGGGCAATAACTCCAAAATTAGGACAAAAAGAGTTATTGTTCTTATGCACTGCACATCTACCCATTGAGATCTATTCACCTACAAAGTTTCATGTTGAAATCTCTTATAGTTTTAGAGTTATGCCCCGGACAAGATTTTTCTATAAGGGGAGATAATTCAAAAACCGGGCAAAATAGAGTTATGGTTCTTTGACACTGCACTTCCTCTCGATGCCCTCTACCACTGTATGAAGTTTCAACAAATTATCTCCAAGGGTTTTCAAGTTATGCTCCGGACAAGACAACGGACGGACAGACGGACAGACGGACGGACGGACAGACGGACGGACGGACAGACGGACAAGGCGCCGACTATATGCTCCCCCGAAATTTTTCGGGGAGCATAATAAAAGCATAAGTCGTGCATTGAGTATACCTACTTGTATGTGTTAAAAAATGAGAGGGTACCTGTGATATAAAACTTCAAATGAAGAGAGGTAGCCCGTGCCGCTGCAAAACTGAAAGTAGGGTGTTTTTATGAATTTTACCATTATTTTTGACAATGTACTGCCATTTTACCGAAGATGATATGTAAATGAACATACTAAATATGTATGATGCATATATAATCAAGCCACAGGATCATTTTAGCCTAAAAAATAAGTCGAGGTGATGGGCGAAGCAAGAGATGTCGATTTTTTGTAGCTTATTGTGAATTTGTAGTACATGAAAAACGGGAACATGACAAATCAGCACATAGATAAAACATTCTAGTGTTCCGTGGTATACATCTTTCCTACGTGTCATACCTTCTTTCCTTATTATATTGAAATTTTACTGTATTGTTATCCATCGCTGGTTTGTTTTTAGCAGAGTGGCCTGTGCATGTGCAAAGAGGGTACCGTTTCAGCAGATTTCGCAAAGAGGGTACCGATATGGATATGCACCGTGTATTTCATAGCAATGAAAATCTTTAATTTAAATAAGCAAAATCCTTTTAAATTCTTTGATGTCAATAAGAAAAGAATATGTGACAGAATGAGCATTCTTTTACTTGGATTCATATCCAAATGGTATTTTTTAACAATGTGCTAATAAAAGAATGAGATTTATGTGCTTAAAAAAAGACTCCCTGTATTAAAAACACCAGAAAATTGTTTTCTGTGCCACAGAACCTTCTGAATCCAATAAAAATCCTTGCAAGTCAAAGAAAAAGCAATAAAAGCACATGGAGATCAGATAGCTAAGTGCTTTAGAGTTCTTTCTCTTTTGTATCATAGCCAAAAGTATAGTATATTTCCTTATAATCGAAATATGTAAACCCCAGAAAAATGTAACCAATCTGCAAACATGTAAATAAGACATTGCTATTTTCATTTTCTTCAGGTCACAGAGTCAGTGTAGTCAGGGAGACAATAAATGCACAATGTAATAAACAAATGGATTGTTGGAAATTTGCATTGAAATCCCAAATTCCTCTGATTATTTACAAAATGAAATTTATTTGTAAATTCAGAATAAAATTCATCACAAATTTTTGCTTCTCTTTTTACTCTGTGCATCTGACTCAGTGTGTAGTACCTACAGAGCAGGTATATAACACCCTGTCCTGTATTGGGTAAACACATTTCTAATACAAAAATCTCTTATTCTCTAACTACTCTCAGCTATGAAACACAAGAGAAATACCCAATTATTTACAAAAGTCAACAAGATACTTGTGGGGATTGTGTACTATTTGTATAAAACAATATGTACTGATACAGGAATAACTGGCATCAAAAATTTCTCCTTTGTAAGATATTCATAAACTATGAAATCCATTACAACCTGTACTCTAGTATATGTTGATACCAAGAGGATATGACATGATGCTCAAAGTCAAGATTAAATTAATATACATGTAAAAGGGACATAACTCACAAGAAACTAATTTCCACAAATCTTCATCTAATAGCAGTTCTTTCAAATTTAACTTGGCAACAATTTAGATTGATAGTGTACATCAAGGTGAGGAGATTTATTGTCACACTAATACTGTTAAGGTCATATAGCAACTTATCACTGTTATCAGCTTGACTTTTTGCATTATTTCAGCTGTAAGCTGGCACCTAAGTATAAGCACAAATCTTTGCTAAGGTTAGCTAGATAGCTTCCTCACATGGGGAAATTCATTGTCCTTGTCAACATCAACTTCCATGTGAATATGTCACAAAGCAGAGAGTTGTTGTGCTTGCCTACTAGATCAATGTGAAAATTAAATCCCACCTGACATCAAACTTCAAACATGTGTGCTCAAATTGTTCGGTATATAAACAGTACAATTTATCTTCTACATATATTTCACAAACCTACTATGTTATATCTTATAGATATGTTCCAAGCATTATACAGTATTATTACTATTGTTATTTTTCTTTCAGGTAAAAATATACATACATGTAGCCATTTCAGATATACTATCATCTCAGCAAATAACAAAATCAACAAAACAGAAAGGAAAGGTAGAACAGAGGTAACTGCAAACATAATAGTTAAAAAGTCAAGGGTTTACATAGTATTTCAACAACTTACACACATGTGACTTAAATTAATGTCCAAGAATCATTACTACTTCAAAACACTTTATCTAACTTAATGCATTGCATTAAACAAACATATGTCTCAATTAATTTGTAAATGTCATAGTTTAGAATCTGTTCACAAAAACAAAATTTCTTGAATTTTGAAAATCTGACCATGACGCTGATGACCTTTAGGTGTCAAGGTCATATTCAGATTTACTGAAATCAAGCTTTTGAATATTGAACTATCAAAGAATTTGGGCCCTTTTTTATTTTCTTTTTTTTTCTCAACAGAATACAGAATAAATGTAGAATGAATTTATTGTATGTTGACAAAACCTTATACAGTAGCTTGTCAAGAAGAACTCTGTGTTATAAGTATAGATGTTCTAGCATAAAGAATGAAGATGATATAACCAGCCGGTAAGCTCAATAGATATAATGTTTGACAGTGAATTGGATAACCCAGGTTCTTTTCCTGGATGGTACAGGTCACTTTTGTTGTGATTGATCATAAATCCTTTCTACAGTCATATCGCACTGCATATCATGTACAGAAGTTATCAGTTTTTTTTGCAGAAAAGTCAAAGCACTAGTACTAGTAATTGCTTGACAGCCTTCACAGAAATGATGCCGTGGGTGAACTGTGCTCTGATGAATTTTAAGTAGCTCACTGCCTGCCATGACCAGAAGTGTAAACTACAAACACTACCACCATGAAAATGATTTGCCAGTTATGGCAAAGTTAAAGATGTTTGCAGACAGATAAAAAGACAAGACAAGAAGAATATGACACCTAATCTACTGAAAGATGCAGGTGAATAACAATGTTGAACAGCCTGTTAAGATTAATCTTCACAATAATGACCTTGACCTTAAAAAGAAACAATGAGATTCTTTTGGCTTATTTACAAGCAGGCATATTAGCATGTCCTGATAAAATTCATTACTTTCAAGCTATAGTTGTTCATTAATGTAATAGGGTAGATAAATAGCTTATATTTAGAAACATGCAGTGTGGAGAATAGATTTCCCCATATTTCTGCCCATATTAATATTGTTACTATGGTGATTTTTTTGTCTAATTAATAATATATAGTTTATATACACACTGTATTTATAAATCAGAAGCTAAAATAAGTGCATTTAAAGAGAGAAGTAAAGAGAGTTGTTGAAAACACCATTGACCCTCGACCTCTTAACATTTACTTACTAAATGTTGGCAATTTTTTCACTCAAAGTACGCAATAAAGCCGTGTCAATAGATTGCTGAAAATTGTCAACCAAACATAATAATAACTTAAAACCAAAAGTATGATCAGAGTCAAAAGAAATATTTTTGATAGAATATATTGATAACACAGATGAAACTCCAAAGCTCCCTGATGTCAATTTGACAAGATAAAAACAGGGCCTTAACAGGAAGAAATAGAAAAATCTATTTATAACTTTAGTTACCATGACCCAATTACCCTGAAACCCTTTCTAATAGCAAAGGTTCATACAAGGTAATAACACACAAAATATCTAAAATAAATGTGCATTGATGAAGACGTCATGAGAGTAACATAACGACTGATAGATGGAGTATGAAATGACAAACCAACAAATATATACATATACTTTATCAAATAATTCCAAAGGGCATCATGACATAATTGGCATACTTTGTTGATTTACTGCATCAGAATAAAGGCAAAAGTCAATTTTACTGTGGAGAAATAATCCTGACTTAGTCAATTGAGGAGAAATAGTCCTGACTTAGTCAATTGAGGAGAAATAGTCCTGACTTAGTCAATTGAGGAGAAATAGTTCAGACTTTAATCATCTAATGTGAAATAGTCCAGACTGAGACTTAAGTAATTTTTAGAAGATTATCTATTATTTGAACCAATAATTGACAACAATATTTAACACGGTGAATCATGGAAAAAATTATTAGTTATTTTTTTTCAGATTTTGTTTAGATTTTGTTACAGTTTTAGCTCTGGGATGATTATGTTGCTTTTATGACAATAACTTTGATGGAGATGCAAAAACTTGAATTCTTAATGGAAATGGTCTGATGGTCTTATTACATTTGAAATATGAGTAGAAATCAAGAAGTTATCAGTTCAAAGTTGCATACTATATAGAAGCAAAGAACATGGCAATGATAATTTGCAATTACAAGATGGATGGCAACTGTTCATAAAATATATAAAGTTGTAATTTACAGTAAATATAGGAGTTTCTGATACAGCTTTGTAATGATAACTTAATATAAAACAGAAAACAATCCCTCATCATATTTTTAAAAGTATAAAGACTTGCTTTTGTTCAATGAGGTAAGCAAATTGTAGCAGGCATATGAAAATTGAAATAAAAATTCATATGAGAAAGAACACTTGTATATATCCATGCTATTTAATTTGTTGAGAAACATGAGAATCAAAAAAGCGTAAGAATTTCATTCAGCTAACATGTTACTTCAGAATTTCACTTACTGTTTGTTTGAGAAGAAAGTCTTCCCTTTTCTTGTAAATAAAAACACCTAAATATGTTTTTGCAATTATCAGAATCATTTTCAACCAAAAAGTCCTACTTTTGTTAATGTACAAATTATTCCCAAGTCACTTAATACCTTGAATACATTTTACTATACAGTATAATTTTCTCAAATATAACTTTTGATTTTTTTTTAAATGGAATCACTATATGTATAGCTGGTATAATAAACATTGAAGGACAATATGTATAAATTGCTTTAATGTAAATTATTTTCATACAATTTTGATAAGTCAGTTTAATTAACCATTTGATATGTACTTTAGTTATAATACTTTCGGCTAAAAATATGTCACAGTCATTTGCATGAATATATCAATGTAAAGAAAGTGGCTGATTATTCTCTTTTCAGACTGTAAACTTTGGAATCATTTTCACTGCTTTGTCCTTTTTCTTTATGGATTAAACTAAACCAGTCTTGTTCATATCTACTTTTAGAATAACTGTAATGTATGCCAATAGGCTGATCAGTGGGAGGTCACTGTCGACAAAATAAGAGGAACTCAGCAAAGTTATGTTTTATAAAAAAACGACAACAAATGTGTTGAGTGGGTACTATTACAAAACTGAAATACATGTATAGTTTTTAACAACATAAACAATATTGCCAAAGTTTGTATATAAAATTACCTCGGATTTCTCAAGTTTATTTTGTTCTTCAATACGAGTTATAATTTCGGTCATATTGGTCTCCAGCACCATTCCTCCCATCACAAGTTCTGCTAGAATATGATGTACCTGAAATAGTGTACATGATTTGCTAGAAAATGATGTACCTGAAATAATGTACATGATCTTTGCTAAAATATGATGTACCTGAAATAGTGTACATGATTTGCTAGAAAATGATGTACCTGAAATAATGTACATGACTTTTGCTAGAAAATGATGTACCTGAAATAGTGTACATGATTTGCTAGAAAATGATGTACCTGAAATAATGTACATGATTTGCTAGAAAATGATGTACCTGAAATAGTGTACATGATTTGCTAGAAAATGATGTACCTGAAATAATGTACATGATCTTTGCTAGAATATGATGTACCTGAAATAGTGTACATGATTTGCTAGAAAATGATGTACCTGAAATAATGTACATGATCTTTGCTAGAATATGATGTACCTGAAATAATGTACATGATCTTTGCTAGTATATGATTTACCTGCAATAGTGTGCATGATCTTTGCTAGTATATGATGTACCTGAAATAATGTACATGCTCAGTAACTCTACAACTGTTGCTAGATTGTTATGTACCTGAAATAGTGTACAGGGGCAGTTACTTTACAACCATTCCTAGTATAATCATGATGAACATGAAATAGTGTACACAGGCAATAACTCTACAACTGTTGTTTGAAGATGATGTACCTGAAATAGTGTACACACCCAGTAACACTACAACCATTGCTACTAAAGGATGTACCCAAAACAGTGTACATGCGCTGCAGTAACTCTACAAACATTTCTCTGATTTTCGAGTATTCAGAATAAATTAATTTGCTTGCAGCTGTAGACATCTTCTAAATTGTGGTTTCTATACCCTCAAAAGAACTTATTCTTTCATGTGTGAAATGCTTCTTTGTAGCAGGTCAATGGGTTACCTAGGTGCTCAGTATCTGCACTATCAAATGCAAGGTTTGAGGGAAAAGCATCAATACAAAAATCACCATTCTTATCAAAATATTTTATATTATTTTTCTCCTTTTTTCCCTAAAATTTGTTTCCCCATTCTTATGGGGAGACAAAAAAACCCATCAGATTTATAACTTAGATGAATAACTTAGAAGATTTTAACATATTTATTATAAAAACAAAGTTTTAAAATTGACTAAATGAAATGGATTATGATACCTTGTCAACATGGAAGATGAGATCTAGTTCACACACATTCTCAAAACATTTGTCGAGGGTTTCTACAAACACCTGCAAAACAAAGATGAATATATGATGAATATATTAACATTATATCAAATCTTCAACTCAACACGATAACTTCTTCTTGATACAATACGAGCGACATGTATGTATATAACATCATGTTTCAAGTATTAAAAACAACTTAAATGTACAAAAGCATGCAACAATTAGTGACAGATCCAGATTATTTTCTTTCATGATATTAAAAGATGTGTATGTACTTTGTTTTAGTAACAATTCACTAAACTTGATCTAAAATTCAATATATTTGTCTGAATTGCAATGTGTTTAAGAATAACTGTTTCAGTCTTATAAATAATTGTAAACCTCACGAGTCATATTTTTTTTTTAACATTTCATAATAACACAAAAGATAAAAGTAAAATAGTAATAAAATATGTAGTTTACATTGTAAAGATGATGTATGCTACAGACACATAAAAATATTTAGGCAGAATAAAAACTGTATAATAGAATTCATGTGGTAGAGATTTTTTTTATTGAGTTCAAATATTCCATACTGACAACAGATACTCATAGAAATTTACCAATATTGAAGTTGTTGGATTCCCTTACTTATCTAATAATGGATAAGATTACAAAAAATTATCCAATAATATATGTATATAAATGTTGAAACAATATCTCCTTACCTGAATAAGATCCAGTATACCTAGCTCACTCTCTGAGGAGTCAACACAGAATACAAAATACAAGGTGGCATAGTGACGATATATAATCTTAAAGTCAGAACCTCCAATCAGCCTGAAATTATATAGAGCTAAAATGTGAATCTACAAATAAATTAATCCCCTGAAATAAAAGTAACATATAGTTTCTATCAGTATTTACCTCCCTTTGCAAAAAGTGGCTGCCTTTTTAGGGGGTCTATATAATTGACCAATGTATAGATGTTTTCTTTGTTAAATGTGTGCCATCTAAGCTTTTGCTTTTGAGTAATGTTACCAGTCATGCCCTTTACAGTTACAGTGTTAATTTTGTGATGATAATTTACCTTCATGCAATTTCCACGGAGTATTAGCCAAAGATATATATTTTGGGCCAAAAGTATGTTGATGTACAGCAGCCAATGAAAAACCTAAATGTCTCAATGTATAGTAACCCAAGACAATATAAAAAGGAGGTAGCCCTGAAAAGGGCTATTATGACAGCAAATGCCTGTCTTACAAGCTGTCACTTTCTGTGGTAGTGGCCCTCGCACACTAGCACACTTTCTTCAACATCCCTGGCTACTTTGTAGGGCCAGTCACTTAGCTTTAGTCAGGACATTGGCAGCTGGTCTGCAAGTACAAGACTTTATTTCGATTTTTATTCATTTTTGGCATCCCAAGTTCTTCAAATCTTCTGCCAATGCCCTCGGCCTTTTCTATGACATGAATATACCAAGCAAAAGAGAGAAGATACATGTGTAATTGACAAAATATTCAATTATTGAAGGAACATTATATCTTATCTAAGGCACATTATATATTAGGAATGACCCTCCAAATGGGGACCCGGAGACATACTAACTGCTAACTGTTACATGTAATATGCATTTACATTGTTGAAATGAAATGATAGAGAAAATTTGCACCCAGAGATGATTTTGTGTAAAAAAGAAATACTTACGTTCCACCCTCAAGAAAGTTGCAAACATTATCATCTCTCTTAGACACCAGATGAAATGTCTCCCTAACAATCTGTTGCTGCATATCTTCTGGCTATAATTAAAATCAAAATGTAAACTTTAATAATGGAATATTTCTTACATAATTATATTTATCAGATTAACTTTACCAACATTTAACAACTTAAAAAAAAAGGAACATAATTTTAAAAACTGAATGTGTTTACTGGTCTACCCATTGGCTCTGACAAAATCACACAAATTGATTTCCATTTTAGCAATATACAAGTACTAATAATATCCTGTAAAAGGTCCAAAGTTCTAATCCACATGTATCATAGTATAGGACAGATCATTCCATATTTATAGTATGATACCAGGGTTCAAAAAACATACCACTATATAAAATTGTTAATTAGACAGTCTTAGTCACACTCACAGACGGTCCTGTCTATTTATGTTAACAGTAATGTCCATGTGATTGGTGTAACTATTTTAGCTGAAAAATCCATCAAATACTTATAAGCTAGTTCATAAAATCAGCCACCTCAATTAGTAAAATCATCATGTTGTAGTATGATTTAATGATATGCTTCCATGCATCTTTTTGAGTCCTGTTTTCAAGTTGGAAAATTTTAAGTCTGTTTAAGTCATTTAATAAATAAATAAAATAAGATTATTGTCTATTGTGCTTTTAATTTTTATTGTAATACAGCGTGCATATCAGCTCAGAATGTGAAATAACAGCACAAGCATGTCCTACGGGCCCGTACGGCTAGCCACTTCCTTTCAGATAACACAAAAATAGACCCCAAAATATAAAGAAAACAGGTGGGCTGAATTCAATGAACAAGAAATCATTTAGCTGTATCCATGTATGCAAACTTTTAAAGACTTTCAACAATAAGAAAAAACATGTTTTATTTTCACACATATTTAATTTAAAGTCGTGATTTTCAGGTCCAACTATTGGCTGTAATGCCCAGGACCCTAACTTTATGGGTCCAACGAAAATGGCAAGGGCAGCAAAGGAGGCACCAAGGACTGCTAAGGAGGTACCAAAGACTCTAAACCGTCATTTAGGGTCTTGAAAATGATAGAATGGCAAAATTAAAGCTAAAATCATAGTATTAGATCTATGTATTTTTGATAAAAAAAAAATATATCCGAAATATGATCTAGTTGATTGATTAGCTTGTACATACGTAATACTGGTAAAATCTGGAAAGTCGTGGCTTTCCATGATTGTTGAAAACGAGAATAGCTTTTATCATGATGAATCAATATGTTCCTACGGATAATTTGAAGTTAATCAAGAGAGAAACATTTTATAAACAAAATTTGTTCCTCCTCCACGAATTTCCGGCTCTGCGTAAATTTTACTTTTCTGTCAGAATTGAAGTACGGCCAGACTGGACTAAAAGTTAGCGAGGAGTGTAGTTAACATACAAGTTTCCGGATATAAACCAGCTTGCAAGGTTAATGTGATCTCAATCGGCTGAACAAAATAGTTACATTCGAATTACAATAAAAAGTTAATATATTTGTTTGAAAATTATGTGTGAAATCAAGGAGTCAGAAATTAAACACTAGCACTTGTTGTATGGAGCTCCAAAAACCTTACAAACCAAATGAATTGTAATATTTCAAATCCCAGCATATAAACATATAAATAAAATCTAGTAAATGCTGTTTTCAAAAAAGGGTTTGGGAATCGAAACACATTTCAACGTCTTTAATATTATAATTAATTAATTTAATATTATATTGGGTAGAGTAACCAGTCTTGGATTGATTTCTATGAGCAGCAATTAATTACTGCAGAATTAAATAATCTAGATTTGTATGTAATTGGAGATATGAACATTAACTATTCATACCCTAACAATTTTAATAATAGCAAATGGGCGCATATTGTTCAAGATTTTGGCCTCGAGCAATTAATCCAATCTCCTACTAGAGTAACTAAAGATACATCTACTATAATTGACCATTTGTACGTATCTTCCCTTAACCATATTCATGATGTGAGTGTCTCTAATTTAAGCTTAAGCGATCACTATCCATTGTCGTTTACAATAAATTGTGTTACAAGAAGGGAGGCAAATGCTTTCTCGCATAAAACGATAAATTATCGTTCTTTCAAGAATTTTAATGAACAAGTATTTAAAGATGATTTGAATGCTAATAATTTTGATATGATTGAAACTATTGCAGAGCCAAATAACTCACTTGATGTTCTATACAATATGATTGAAACATTATTTAACAAACATGCGCCTGTAAAAGTAAAGCGTATTAAAAGGACTAAACAACCAGATTGGTACTCTGACGAAATTAAAGAGGCCCGCAATAAAAGAGATCACTATAAAGGTTGTAAAGACTGGATTAATTATAAGTTATGGAGAAATAAATGCCAGGCTATTATTAAAAAGAGTAAGAAGATGTTCTATAACAAGGCAGTTGAAGATTCGAGAGATTGTAAATATTTACGGCAAAATTTAAAAGACATATCAAATGAGAATAAGCAGCAACCGTCTTTACCAATCACATTAAACATTAATGATGTTCTTTTTGAAGGAAATGTGAATGTTGCAAATGCCTTAAATAAACATTTTACAGAAATTTCAAATCTAATTAAGAAATCTTATTTTAATGTTAACAATTTTTCGTATTTAAAAGATTTTCTAGATCATAAACTTAGACATAAGCAATTTGACATTGATTTCATAACCACATTTGAAGTAAGCAAATATATTGACAACCTTGATAAAAATAAATCTTCTGGCATTGATGGAATTGGTCCTAATATGTTAAAACTATGTAAAGACTCTATAACGAGAGCAATAACTTCAATTATTAATAAGAGTATTTCACTAGGTATATTCCCAGATAAACTGAAACTAGCACGTGTTATACCTTTACACAAAGGGTGAGATAAGTCAAACCCCAATAATTATAGGCCAATATCTATTCTCCCAACCATTTCAAAAATACTTGAAAGGCATGTTGCAAATCAGCTAAATAATTATCTTCATTATACCAATATCATTAATGAACACCAGTCAGGTTTCCGGAGACATCATTCTTGCCAAACGGCTTTGATCCGCCTTATAGATGTTTGGCTTACGAATATTGATGATGGAAATATAATAGGTGCTGTATTTTAAGATTTTTAAAAAGCCTTTGATTTAGTTGACCATAAAATACTGATGCATAAATTAAAACTTTATAGTTTTTCTTAAAACTCATTAAAACATTTTTTCCAGTCATATCTCTCTAACAGAGAGCAAATTGTAAAAGTCAACAAAAATAAATCTGAAAGCTTGGCGGTCATATCAGGTGCACCACAATCCTCTACTGTTTCTTTTATATGTAAATGATATATCAGGCGATTCAACGCTACACAAAGCTGACCAAAGTTTGAGTAATATACAGTCTGAGTTGCAGCTAGACGTATTAAAATGGTGCACTCTCAAAAATATGGCCATCAATCCAGACAAGACAACATGCATGATAATTGGATCAAAATTTAAAATAAATAACATAGGCAATCTTTCTCTGCATATTGAGAATTCGAGTACAAATGTATAAATAATGTTCATTGTCAAAAGCTAATTGGATTGCATATTGATAACTGTCTATCTTGGAAAACACATATTGACAAAACGTGTTCTAAGCTTGCTTCTAAAATATCTCTGCTGAAAAGAATTCAAATATTTCTTACACCTGAAATGAAACAATTATTTTATAACGCTAACATTGCCCCTACTTATGATTATGGATGTATTATTTGGTCCCAATGTAACAAATCAGATCTAAATAGAATAACAAAATTACAAAAAAGAACCGCTAGAATTATTTTAAATAAACCCGTAAAAACAAATTCTCTTGATATGTTTCAAAATATGAAATGGTTATCTTTTCCATCTAGATGTAAATACTTTTCTGGAATTATGGTATATAAAGCGATGAATGAATTAACGCCAGCATATATTTCTAATCTAATTCCGTTATCGCAAAATAAAACTTACTTACTAAGATCAACACATAAAAAAGATATTATGCATAAACGACCTAAAACAAATTATTTGAAACGTACTTTTTATTATTCTAGTATGGAGTTATGGAACACTATTCCTTTAAAAATAAGAAATCTTTCAAGTCTTAAATTATTTAAATCACATTTCAAACATTTATTATTATCTAGAGATGAATTATAGAAAATTTACCTATACTATAATATAATATTATGTCTGTCTTCTTTGTTGATTAAGATTTACTGAATGTTGTAATCTTTACAATTGCTTTAATATGTCCGTTGTTATGTTTATGTTTTATTGAAGGCCTTGTTGAAAATAAGATTTTGCATTATATATGTTGTATCTAATGCTTTGATGTATTGTCTTAATAAGTTACCTTCGTTAAATAAAGAGTTTATTATTATTATAGAGTGTTAGCACTCCTGTCGCGTGTTTAAATGGTCAACCACCATTGTTGAGATTCTCTTTCGATTTATAAAATCCACACTTGTTCGACAGCACCCAGGAAGCAGTCACCTGAAAAATTTCAGTGCGTGCGGTTTGATTTGTTGGGACAACAAAAACATAGGCAGCAATTCAAAAATAAATAAATTAATAAATAAATAAATTAATTAATTAATTAATTAATAAATAAAATAAGTAAATAAATAAATAAATAAGAATCAGTGTACGCATTTAGTAATCGAAACCATTTCAATTACCACTACGACACCTGTCTCATCAGCACCAACTAAAAGGCAAAATATGCCTCTGAAAGTCTTATTTTCTTAAATCTTCAAGAGTAGTATTTTGACTTCCATACAAAATACTAATTCACAATAATTACACCAATTGCCAAACAAACAAACAAAGACCCTTAAGGAACAAAGATAGTTAATGTATATAGCAAATGAGTATTTTTTGGAAACAAAAAGAATCAGTTTTTCAGAAATAAAAATGATAACATTTCTGAGACTGATGGGCCTTTAAGCATACTGTAAGCTTGGAAAATTTACATCTTTGCAGGAGAGTGCACCATTGTTATGCTATGCACAGTCAAATAGTCATGCACGCCTGTTTAATTGTTTGTTAACCGACTGTAATTTACTTATGTCAGTATTTTTTTTCGATTCTGTATTTCTATGCGCGATGGATAATTCATTGTGCAATGCATTAATTGATTTAAAAAATGAAAATAAAACAATACTGAAAAAGTAACATGTACATCAGTCATTTATTATCATACATTTTGTGCCCTACCCTCTCCCCCGAACAAACCTGAGAAAACATTACCTGTACAGATGAAAAGAAATGTAGTATCTGAAGTAACCCTTATAATAATAAACACATGCTTTATTGATCTGGGATATATTATGATTATAGTTTTACGGACATCCTGTATCTGCCCGGAACCATATGGCAAGACATTCATTAAAACATTTTTTAAATGGGTTGTAAACATTATCTCCCCTGAATCTGTAAGTCTCTTTGTGTAATTATTATTCCTAACATGGTTAACGCGTCGGACTAGAAATCTTTGGATCGCAAGCCGTGCGGGTTCAAAACTCAGTCAGGGGCAAGCCGTTGTTTCTATGAGCAAGAAACTTTACACTCATTGTTTGGTACTGGTTGGTTCCGGGAACGGATTCCAAAGTGTGTCTCTGTAAGCTTATAGCTTCCTTACACAATCGAACTAAAATAAATTCTGTATAAACCAAAACTGTAAAATCAACTGAATCAGTCGCACTGATATCTGTAAATGAAGCACGATCCTTATAGTGCTTGTTTTTTTTCAATTTGTACTTTAGTAAAGGAAAACAGTAGACAATAATGTGAATCGCATGCACTTCTCAGCTAAGCATTTTCTCATTAGATGAAATTAGTACTATAAGGTAAATGTAACTGTCGCTGTTTATAACAAATGACCGGTCTGTCCGAACATTTTAGCAAATATCATTTGTCACATCTGTTTATTTTTCGTCTGCTACACTTTCGCAGACGATTATTGTGCCAATCATTTGATACGTTCTATAACGCGAAAAAATGTTTACCAGCGTTTCTTAATTAGTTTTGAATCGTCTGGTGCTACTGATTATCTGCTATTAGTAATGGCATGCTTAAATGACACTTTACCTCAAATTGAGCATTTTTTCCACGAACTCATCTATGTTTTATGTCGATAACAATTATTTCTGTGATTTGCGATGTTGGCAGAAAAGAAAGCCTTTTTTACAGAATGCATAAGATTTGTGCTAATTTTGTTAAGTTTTGTAAGAGAAACACTCGAAATCTGGAAAGCAGTTCGAATAAGTCGATCATATATAGCCTGAGAACATCATCGAAATGAGATAGAAGTTTATGTTACTGAT